CTCACCGACTTGGGGAAGATCCTTATTTAAAGTTTATGGCTTCTTAACACCCGAAATACAAGTGGGTGGTAGATCTCTATAATTAAATTACGACAGGACGAATTAAAATTAGTTATTTTATCGGGAAAAGAAAACTAGTCTTAGTTTTCATTTCTAGAAAAAACAACTAATTTTAATTCGTCCTGTCGTCCTAATATTCTTCGTTCTAATTTCCTACAATCGTTCAAATGTCATAAAAGATAACAAATTGCTAAAAAGAGTTTTAGTACTCTGATTATTCCTAAAATACTTACTGTATATCTTATTAAAAAAAATTAAAACTATACCCAATGTGGGTATAGTTATGCAATTATATATATATTATATTATATGCAATTAATTTATTTAACCTCTATTTATAATTAGAGAGATATGTAATTATATAATATAATAAATAAAGACAACGGATTTTGCATTTGATTATTTGAAAGCTACGTTCCCTAGGCTACATATTATGTTAATAGGTATCGGTGCGGTACAATAGTAATGTATATATATATATATATTTACCGAAGAAAATTTGTACCCAACAAATATAAAACTAATTTTATCTACAGCAGGTAGGTCGAAGTATACTTTTAAATTGCGACTTTGTAAGAAAGTTGTTATGATTAATATTCATTTATGCAAACAATTATCAGCAAAATAAGTAAAGAAATTTAAGGTCTTCCGTGGATAACACACAAATAACTGAATTAATTTTTTATGTTCATTCCTGAACATGAAATTCAATCACCTATCTGTTTGCTTGCTGTACAATATTATCATTATTTAGGAATCGTGCAAAGTATAAAAGTGTAATTATGGGGATCAATAAATCTATAAATGAGTGAATCTGACTAAACCCTGAAACCCGGTGTTAATAAAATGAAGAACTGCTTGTTGCATTACAAATTTGGTAATGAAGTTTATTTGTAATTTTAAACATTGCAATAAGGGCTGCAGCCTATTTGTGTTTAATCCACTACATTTACAGTCAAACTGATAAAACCAAAAAGAAGAATTTTCATAAATGTTCAAACCAGAAATGTTATATTAAAAAGTTTTAAATAATTTGAAGTAAGTACATATATTATTTAATATACCTGTATTGTGTTTATCCACATGTTTGTTGGGGCTGGCAGGCGCTTCTTTCACATCCGCCATCTCGTAAAAGCTGAATAGCTTTATGTACTCCACAAATATCTGCGTAGAGCAATAATATTGAATTAGTTGCCATAAAAATACAAATATTACTTATACTATTTACTTATTTTGCAGGAAATTTGATTATATATAGTATTTATAGTACCTACTTATCTTTCGTCCTAATTTTTATACGACATCAAAAACTTTTTTGAGCACGCGTGCCTATTTTTCAATGAACTAAACTAAATATTAGCACAATTGTAACAAACGAAGAGACAATTGTTTGTTGCTTTATTGCATTAAGTAAAATTGGTGAAAATGTACACAGGTTCGATTCTCAGTTGGCAATATAGTCAATAACAGCAGTTGTTGCTCACAAAATGTTATTTTTATATTAAATACATTTAGATGTATGTATGCATCTCGATAACTAGTGATTCAAAATTTTTTAGTCACAGTCTAATTTTGTTAAGGTAATATATAAAACTAAATATTAAACTACTCTGCTTTATGGGCATAGCATTATATAATAAATGTTGATTTTTTAAATTTACATGAAAACTATTGGTAGATGATTCATCCAGTCATTCTAATTTGCCACACAGACGCCTAAATTATTGCGTTACATATACTTACATATGTATGTATAGATATACCTATGGACATACATAAATATGTATTCAGTGTCATAGCTAACTAACTATTAATACTGTCTATATTAATAGTTGCTTAGAATAATTTTGCTTTTATACATAACATTTCTGTTAGAAAATAAAGACAATTGTTTATAACTTGTCATTTTACATGTGTAAAATAATATCAATACTATACCAAAATTAAATCTTATCAATTTTTTATAATGAAAATAAATAATATCTTACAAATCAGGTGAGATTCCCGATATCAGGCACTGTACCTTATCACTATAACCACTCACTACGTAAACACAAGAATGAGATGGACTCCGAAACAATACGAGTCTCACGCTTGACACAAAGATAAACACTGCGCGTGGAAACACCAGACGAATGGCGCGCTGATCCGCTGATTGTAAGATGGTGCTGCCAGTCTACGATTGAACGTTTACCCTTCTATATTAAAAATATTAATATCGAATCAAATAGTTACACCGTATCTGATTAAGTAACAAATAAACGTTTCGTATGTAATAATTTCCGTAATAAATCCGTTTATAGTCAACTTATATTTTTATTTAAGATCAGATGTTAAGAAAGTAAAGATCCCAACGATCTTAATTATCATATAGTTAACTACATAAAGACATTATTACTTTATTATCTATAATATTAGTATACTCCACTAATATAGTATCACTCATGACAGTAACTATGGAAGACAGCAGCGACATAAGGGAAAACTGCATCAATTATTAAAATAACTATAAAAACTTTTAATAACTTGTTAATAAATGTTCATCAAAAGATCATCTTTTAACATTTCTTCACTTCAGTTACTTTATTTCATAGATAATAGATGATAACGCCCTAAAACAAAATTTTAAAAATTCTATATAAGAATATCATGTAATACATATTATATTCTGATTAGCTTATGGATCTCCACTCATACAACCCATATAACCTGTAATAGTCGGTAAATATTAAACATGACCACACTCATTTACAGCTTCTCACACTGCAGGCGGCGAGTATATCCGAAAGTAGCCGAACTCTACCGATCCCTTGTATTGATGCCGGGAAAACAGTTTCCGCGCCATTTTTCTTGGCGTGGGTACTGGGGTAAATTTTGGCAAGCAATTGCCTGGACGCCCCTGTTTTTAACGGGCATTGACCAGATAAATTAGAAACTTTGGGATACAAAATATTTTCTGAGATTCATGTTTTATTTTGTTGTCTATCTAGATTTATCTCAATCTCATTAATATCACGTCATCCTTAACAAAGCACAGTTTTTTAGCTACTTAGTTACTTACTTAATTTTCTTGGATTTTAATCGGTGTTTCGGTCGAGGTTTTCTCTCTATGCTACGTTTTATATAGTTTTCAGGAGCAATGAAAAACAATGACAATAGTAAATATGATAAGGTAACACTGTGTACTTCATTACGTATTTACCATTAATAATTCTTCAGTTAATAGTAAAAGACCGACAAAGAGTTTAATTATTCTTGGTCTTAACCCTCAAATAAATTCACGGCTACCTATAATCTGCACTCTACCTTCACACTGAAGCCTCCCGATGCTATATATAAATATACAGAAAGGATACATTGTCTATATAATATGACGAAGTAATTATGGATCATTTTATCTTTATTTGCTACGTATATTGTAGGATAGGTTTAATGTCGCAAAAAATATTTATTAAATTTTTTAAACTATGAAAGTATTCGTCTGTGTGAAAATAAAATACTTTTTTTTCCAAACTTAACAAGGACAATCCGCCTGCTTTGCTTTGGGATGTTTCAATGTGTATTCACAAACAACTCATACGTAATTCAACATTTTGCATGTTGAAATTCTCAATCAATTTGTGTTTCAAAATGAAATCTAAATAAGGATCATCAAATTAAGTTCGAAACTGACGAGGGTATCCTGAGCTATATATATATATATATATATATATATATATATGCTATACTCTAGATACCATAGACTCAATTGCGATATAGGTTAACTCTAAGTTGACAACAGTTTTATGAAATGTAGTGTCGTTTTCTATTTCAATACAGATAATCTATTGATTCGAATTATGATAACAAATTGATTTCTTCAGTCAAATTCATATTACTAGAGGATGGTTTTGGCATCGGTTCATTTTTTATGACCGGACGTCTGCCTGATGTCAACCCTCCTTCGACTTCTTTTCATAATCTTCCCCGGTAGCCTCACCTTACAATAATGTCATAGGAAGACTTTTTAGTTTAGTCTTTAACGATGTACATTACATCGTTAAAGACTAAACTAGGTATAATCTCTGTGATATAAAATCCCATAATTACATATAACTTATAGTCTTCTAAGGTTTATTCAAAGTTGCAAGAATGAATCGCTTTTGAAATAATAACTACCTTTAACACAAAATATATTACAATAGTACCTACCTACCTACCTACTCCTTATTATGTTGAAACACACGAGCTTACCATTAACTCAAAACTGCATGTTATCTATTTAAATACGGGACCCATATCTAATTGACCAACAAGTGACCATAACGAACTAGGTATACAAAATCTATTTAATGAACATATTTCATATATATATATATATATATATATATTATAATATGGGGTATGTGTATATATAACAATGGGGTTAAAAATGACCACTGTAAAAACCGCTATCAATGATGTGAATTTCTTGATAATTTTAAATAGAAGGATTTCTATATAGCTGGCGGAATGATTCACAAATGTAATTACTTGTAGTTACTGCTACACTGGTGACGACTGATCCTAACAATACTGGTCAACCAAGTGACATGTTTGTTTTATTAATTGTTACCTGCGTACCTAGTAATTAATATCTATTATTACACTCAATTCACTACAAGTTCTGGGATCCAATTATAGATTATGCTTATAATACGGATCTTATGAAACTATCATAGTTTAAAGGCTAAAAAACAGATTCATCGCACTGTTCTAGTCTTGTATTCTGCAAAAGAATTCATATCAGAATTTGAAGAGAATTAAAAACAGACATACTTTACTGTTCTCAGTATAATGCAAAATATTTCAATGTGTTTTAATAGAAATATCCTTTCAATTACCCAGTGCAAACGAGAAGGCTAGTTTCTGTAATATTCCTATTCCTATCTCATTAAATTTAATTGAAGATAACACATAAATGATTTTAACAGTTTATTATAAAATAATTTACGGTTTTTTGTATTTTTGTCATTATAAATGTACTTAATAAATAATAATAAATTTAAAAACACGTACAACGTGTGTTTACAGTAATTTAATTAAATCTTACTTTAGTATGTACAGTCATAGATTGTAGGTTGTACAAAATAATTGGCATTGCTGGTGTGACGTATAAAAAGGGGGTAGTCCGTATTTAGATGATGTATACGGGATGTTCAAGGCCGGGGGTGATGTTGGTGGCAGCGAGCGGCAGGCATGACAGCGTGGCGATGGGCGTCGCCGGCGGCGGCCGTATGCTGCCGCGGCCGACGCGCGCTCATCACCGCGCTACGTTTATGCCTCCGCGGCTTCACCCTCCGCGGGCGCAGCCGGCTTAGCGCCCCAGCCGTCGCACATTTTTCGCAGGAAAGCTGCAAAACGACAAATATATATTAACTTAAATAATAATAAAATTCGTCCGTTACGAAGCTGATGAATAAAATTATAATGAAAATTATTCCATGTTGGCGACAGATCTTTTTATAACTTTTATATTTATGTTATTGTAATATATTTTTTACCAATTTTACTTTTTGTTTTACATAAAAAACTCTGTCAAGTGGAAATGTATAAATAAAGCCACGAAGTAAGTTTTTTAGTGATCATGTAGTCCACCGCTGCCCAATATTGGTCCTTCTAACCGGATACTAGTAGCAGGACAGGGGCGGAACATATAGCAGTATGGAAATAAATTAAACGTAGAAGAAAGAGAAGTAATGATTAAACCAAATTAGTGATGAGACGAAAACGTTTAAAAAAAAGAAAAGTCCGGCGACAAGCGTACGAAGAGTTGCGATAGCGGTAGGTATCCTTCACATTGATTGACTTACGATCTTATAACTAAAGATATGACGAGATGAGATGTCTTCTACACCATCACCTTCTTCAGGAATGCTGGAAATGGAGAATTGGTAAGAAGGGGTCACACACACTACATATTTGGAATTCATGCTAAAACTAATAATATATATATATACTCTACATTATGATATGTCTCAACGTACAATTTATAAAAAATCTAATAGATAAGAGATACCAATGTTCTACTACTACATTCTAATAATAGTATAAAATTTCCATGGTAAAACAAATTACACAAATATTAGCGGGTCATCAAAAAACTTTTATTGTTCTCGATGGATTACTATGAGCAAGCCAATTACTTCACTTTTACTATTAAATAGTTATAATACAAAATTAGGTCTTTGAACTTGCTACGTAAAAATACACGACATGCTTATATGCAAAGTGGTTAAACAATCGTAATCCACCATGTGTACTCGTACATATGTACATGTAATTATATCCTGATGTAATATTTTCTAAATAACTACACTAAAATCACACAAGTAGGTATACATTTATGTACAATTATGATATTATATACAATAAATGGTCAGAACCTTACAAGAATATACAAAACTAATTTGTCCTATGTAGAATATAATACGGGGTTGTTGGATACCAATGTCACAGAAGAAAATATATTAACTTACGTGCGTAGGGAATCATGCCGTCGTCATCTTCAGGGTCCATGCAGTCCTTTACGACTTCCTCGACTTCTTTGTCTTCCAGTTTCTCTCCTGATAGTGCAAACAAATTTAATCTATAAATATCTAATAAATTGTATTCTCGAAATAATATCCCGCGAATTAAGTAAATATAACATTTCTTAAAATAATCTAAATTGATCTGAAGAAATTAGAGTCAGTATGATGTAACAAGCATTTTATAAAAGATAATTTAATGTAAAAATGCAATTTACAAAATCAATTTCTCTAAATATGTAAGTTAACTAAATGCATTACGTTCGTGTAAAATATGTTTCAGTTTTACTTGAGTAACAAATTTTAATATTATATGTGATTTTTAATGAAACTGTATATAAAAAATTAGTTCTATAATCAGATTTCATTATAAAAACTCTACAAGATTAAAGAACTTTATTTGGTGCTATTTTTGATTGCACTAAAGAAAACTAACTCTACTACAGATTATATTCACTAAATTAATGTTCATTTTACTCATATAAATAGGTAATGTAGGTATAATGCTTTAGTAATATGGTGTATTATCTTAAATTTGTAGTAGTTAGTCTAAAATGATTTAAATTAGTAAGATATCTTTGATTATTATAAGATTTTTTCCGAATTAATAATAAATAACTATTACAGGATATACATAATAACTTTGGTACAAATATAGATAAATAACACAAATATTTAGGAGACATACCTAGTACCTACACTACCTACACTAACTAAATTATCTACTGGATATTTTGACACAGTTCGTATACTAACCTAACGCAAGGAGGGTGTGTGTGAGCTCAGCGCCGAGCATGAGGCCATTCTCATTCTTGTCGTACAACTTCAGACATTCCAAGAAGTCTTCGTAGCAGCCTTGGTCTTTGTCTTTCTTGATTTGACTGTAGATGGGAAGGAACTCTTCGAGCTATAATTAAAGTAAAAGGTTCAATGAGACAAGTACAGTGGAATGATGGTTGAGTTTCGATGCCCTAGTAAGCCCACACCTATTCCCTCATAATTATGTGACACCATCTGATAAAAGATATTAATACTAATTTCTTATAAATACTGAATAATAAAACTGTTGAAAGTATAATACTACTACTGTAATCAAGGAATAAATCCTTTGTACATTTTTCATAGAATACGTCACTTTAGTATCTCTGTAATTTTTATAGTGTCAATGTATAAACTGTTACCATTTTAATATTTTCTCTATTGTGTAAATCTCTATTTCTATAAAAATTAAAGACAAAACTCTACACATTAAAAAAATTGGTGAAAAATATGGATATACAAATATGTAAAACAAATAAAGCCCAATTGACAACCTTCTTCTTAAAGAAAGTATCAAATCATTTCGCCGAATACATAACCAAAGAACGAACATAAATAGGTTCTGATAAATCTTATATATTTATATAGAGTATATAAAATTTGTGTTTTACCGAACTAAATCGATCTCAGTCAAACTAAGAAATTGACTGCATATTAAACATTTGGTAGAAGAAAAATAGTCAATATCATACCGAAAGCTGCTTTTCGCCCTTCTTCTTGGTGCCGCCGAGTTTCTCAATTGTGGCGAGTGTGGGGTTGGAGTTGAGCGCCCTCACAACATCACCGAGGTTGAAGGCATCGATTTTACCGCTGCCATCGAAGTCGTAGATGGAGAAGGCGAATGTGGCCCCTATACAAACGCAATGGGAGCATTACTAACAAAAAATACATAGTATTTAGATTTATAGTAGTAGTCTTTGTACAAAGTTATCTACGTAGGTCTGTGTCATCTATTCCTTTGTTTTTTACCTGCATTCCGGTTTAAATCCTTAAATGAGATATAAAAGCAACGAAATTACAGCAATTTGCAATTGACTATCTTAAAATTAAACTATTTACTGATTATGTAATTTTCTGTTTTATAGTAGCGTAGTAAAATACGTGGCCTACATGCTATACAGAATGAACGAGTGAATCACACAAAATCTTTTTTATTTTAGTATATGCCTATTTAAAGTTTTAGTAAAAATTAAAAACCAAATATCGCAAACGTTAACTTTCACGTTAACACAAACTCAAATCATCAAACATACCTACATAATGTTTAATGATTTAATTGTTATTACATTTGTACCTCACATTATACATGTTTAAAAAATATATTTTTTCGTAATAATTGTATAAAAAACGCGTATTAATTCGATCTGGTGTTTACGTTAATATAGCTGTTGTACACTATTGCACATTTCACGAGAACGACATATTTATTTACATTATTTAAATAAACGATAACGTATTAAACCGTATAATTCATTTAAGAATAGCTATTGCGCTTTACAATTAATTTAAGATTTAAACGTAGCATTTTATACTTTATTCTGGAAACGGTACTATCTGCGGCAGGTAGAACGCTGGGGCGGGCATGCGTAGGCGCACATTCTCAGCTTAAAATAATATTTTCCACAGCACGTTTCAATATATTCACTTGTGACTCACATTCTATTATTAACACATGATTGTTACTATGCCCTAGTTTTAACCAGGTGTGAATAGATCAATAAAGTTTTCAAAGAAAGATTATGGAAAGTAAATTCGCACTTGTACCTAATGATCACGTATTACATAACTGTATATAAAACTATAAAATCTATAAGTTTTTCCAATTAATATTTATATTCCACATTGTTTTTCTGATCCATATTTAATTTCAACAAAAAATAAAATAACATTCTATTTATCTGCAAGATGGTTTAAAAGCCAAGATGATTTTAAAAAGACAATATAAAATCTGAAAATGATACAGGTGTATATAAATCTCCTAATATGTATTCCCATGGGATATTATAAAATTCTGTATTAATATCAACTCAAAATAAAAATTAGTGGACGAAATCTCAAAATAAGAAATAGGTAGTGTAATAAGTAAATAATTTTATTATCATATATGGCTGACCCAGGCCCCATACTCAAGTTCAGCAGCGCCAAGTGAACATCTATAATTCTTGGTTATATAGTTAAAAATATGTATAAAACGTAATTAAACTTTATCAATAGATTAAAATTTTAATCCATATTTAACACCTGAGCTATAATCGAATAATTTCTAATTGAAAAAAATACTTATGTCATGAAATTTGGCAGAGTTTTTATCAAAAAAAATCGTATCAGAACTAAAACAAGTGTCAGCTGATTAAATGCCGCATTATGACCTTGATATTGACAAGATTATCATGATCACTTCACGTACATAATATATTATGTTGCACGTAAAGACCAGTATAGCAGACACACCAAATATGTGAAGTTCTTTTTCAGTGAAATCCGAGTGGAGTTTCTCCGTTTGGGCGGGCGGCGATTTAAGATCACGTGACACGAGTTTAATTTTGGAACGCAACGCGCTCGGCATGGCCGTGCCACTGGACGCACAGAGCTGCCGACATCTCTTTGCAACGCGAACCTTTTATGAGAAACAGTGCTATACTTAGATGTGATACGATGCACACTTTCGTTGCGTTTATCTAGTTGATGACGACTAAAAAGATGCATAAAATACATCATCGACACCTAAATTTGTCCGATGATACCTACGTTTCATATAATAAGGTTAATAATATTAATTCTTTCTAACTTCAATTACTCATTCACTCGTTGCATTAAAGTATTGTTAATTTAATATGTTAGTAAATTAAAAATAACTTTATAAAGAATACTCACTATCGATATCGTTCTTGCTGAGGTCGCTCTGAAAATTATTAAAATACTCATTACTTTTTAAATTAAAGTGAGTTATGTTTATTTAGTTAGGTGGTGTGTTTAAAGATGTTTGTTGGTGTTTTTAAATTATTTTACATAGTGTACGATACCATTTTTTCTCACTGTTTATCGAGCACAACACTGAAGTTAATTTTTGAATTATGTTTTAAACAATCGATTCGCTCCCGCGTTTCCGGTCTGCGGAAATCGTACCGCGTGGAGCTAACGCGCGTTTTCGTAATATATCACTTGTTGAGCAAAATATTCGTATCCACACTGAACACCTTCTTCCTCACATTATCACTGCCATCCCAGATGACTCACCATTTTGTGTGGTGGTAGTTGGTTCCCTCCCGGTCTTCACTGGCAGACGTTCAGACAAGAAGTGGGGCTCGGTAACTTTTCGCGGGACTGTTTTAACTGGCTTAGATGGCGCACCCGTCTGGATATTTGAGATTTAGCCCAGGAATCCGCGATCGTTCTATTTTCGGCGAAGTTGGTCTAACGTCTTGTTATCTTCAAACAAATGGTGCTCACATAAGAGCGAGCGAGATGACCGGCTTTTTAAAGGGCTCCATGGATATATCGGCCTAACTCCGATTCCTCAGATATTATATACATTTGCGTTAAACTATTTCGATCGATATGTGTGATGTGTATGTAAATCCACTTTTCAAACTCAAGGTATCCAAGACAACAAGCATTTTAATACAACAATTAATCAATCTACTTATATCTTCCCAAAAAGTGTATATGATAATGATACATGTGAAGTATTTATAAATTTAACTAAAATGTCTTTATTAACCTATTTCTTAACAGAAAAATTACAATATATTAATAATCATAAAAAAACAAAAAACTAAAATAACCAAGGCATACGACATTCATTAATAATATTCTCCACATTCATCAGGTTTTATATCGAATGTGTATTTCTTCCAACGGGAGGAATTTACTACAGCCTCGTTAACAGTATTGAACTTCCAAATAACAGCTCTTGAAGGTGAAGGGGTGCGCATCCGACTGTGGTCCAGTAGGCTGGCAGCACGACGTCGAGCATCAGGGGACAAAGGACACAGTCCACGAACTGAAACATGGGTCTCCTGAAAATTATTAAATATGGTAATTCAAAAGAAAAAAATGTCTACTTAATGCATAAATATTTTGCCACTTGTATACAAAATACCTTTCGATTACCCGGTTTTTTACGTCTCCACCACCTGCGTAAGCAAGCTAGTAACCTGGCACCTTGGCTACGACATCGATGGACCAAGCTGCTTTTGCGAGATCCACTGGCAGTTGCAGATATTGCAAATGTTATATTACGATCCTTCAATTTCTATTTTTAATAGGGATACAAAAAATTAAATTTTAATTCATTAATAATATTCAAATACTCATAAATCAATTCTAAAGTATTCCACAAACCTGGATGAATTTTTCATCCGGGAACAAATCCTCTTCCGAAGTATGAGCAGTTATTAATTCGACTTCTTGCAATGTTAGTGCCTTTGGATCCTGTAATACAGGATCCCCATCTTCTTCGGAGTATTGTTCATAATCACCTGCAAAAGATTTTTATTTCCTGTTCAGGTAAATAATCAGTACCTACCAACTGGTAATAGAACTCACAATTTATTAACTAGTAAATGCCGGAAACAGAAAAATGCGTATGTTTAAGTAACATATTTACTCTCGCATCACAGTATCCATTAAGGTAACAGAATTCCCAGCATTTGGCTACCAGATTAAATATGATATAATACTAGAATTAAACTAGTTATAAAACTAAATACTCACGATTCAAAGTTAAATAAGCATTTTCATATAAAGAAGCATTTTTATTCTCATCGTCCACGGTAGCTTCTAAAGCGGATTTCTTTTTTACATAAAAAAATATTTATATTGAGTTAGATTTTAATTATTTAATATTATTAAATTTTCATATTTATTTTAGAAATAAGTGTTTTATAAAAGATATATTACCTCTGTTGTTTCTTTTAATTTATTCGATTGTGATATTTCTCTGTCGTGACTTTCCATACTAACTCGACCACCTGTTAGTAACGCTATCTCATTATCCATGTTATTAAGAGAGGCATCGGAGAGAAAAGAGTAACAGGAATAGTTAGTATTAGAAGAATTATCCATTATTGGCGTTTCATTTTCTTGAAGTTCTTCGTTAACAATAATAGCAAGAGCAGCATTAACACACGAATCCATTATTTTTGAAATATCTGTAGTAAGTGAATCAGGTTCTGTAATTTTAACTGGAATATCTTCATTATCTATAATTACGCGTTCGACTTCGCTCATATCAAATAGATGATTAATAAACATGGATGTAGATTGCGTTAATTCTTCATCATGCTGAAATTTTATTTTATTTTGGTTAGATATCAGTAGTTATTATAACTATTTACTGTCCTCATAGTAATATAACATAAAGAGCAAAACGTATTACAGTTTTTTCAAAGTAATCTCCCACCTATTCTGAAAACGTATAAAATTAAAAAAATAATGAAGAAACTAGGTAATATAAACTTTCAGGCAAATCGCTAATTATTCTTTTCCAACAATTAACTTCTTATTAACGGCTTCTTAAGTACTTACTATATCAAAGTCTTCATCGCCTTGACCAATAAAATTTAAGTCCTTTACTGTTGTCAATTCATCTAAAAAATATATTGATAAATTAAATGATGTTTGAATACTTGTACTACATTTTTTTAAATCTCTACCAATAGGACAGAGATAGAGAACAGCCTAGTTTTTAAAAGGTTTCTACTATTATATATATTTGTTTGTTATTTATTAACGTAACAATAACAACGTACAAGTTTTATTTGCAAACTAATTTCTACTAATTATACTACACAAATAAGTACTTGTATATTATTATAATACTTTTTATAAACCAATCCCTACTCCTAAAGCTCCACTTTAATTATTACAAAGTAGATCTTTTAAATGATATTTTTTAGAGTAGTGTATTATAATTATAATATAATACACGATTACCACATCTATCTTTACTTACTTGAACCCTTTTGGGGTGTTGATGTAAAAACAATATTGGTAGCAGTATCCACCTTATCAATACTCAAATTGTTACAATTCTCTCTAGAATATACATAAGAATTTTCTCCTTCGGCAATTTCGTAGTGCTTATCTCTTAAACTCTTCATCGCTGACAAACAACGCCAGGGCTGACCTATAATCACAAAATGTTCTATTTTTATCCAAGAAAAATATGTAACATTAATATTTTTACACACTTTTTAATAAACACAAATTCATGTAAAAATGATGATGAATTTTGCGTTTCTCTTTCAAATAAAATTCCGATATCTGCAATTTCTATTTTTTTTTATTTATCCTATTTTATTCTGATAAGTTGCAAATGATTAAAGATTGGTATTGTTTTTGTCTATTATATTGCGATAGCAAAATCTATCCACTTATAATATAGGCAGTCGGACCAAAACTGGTAAAGTATTATTATAATAAATAAGGTAAAATATTATAATTATATCAAATAAAGATTAATTTAAAAATTGGGAATTTTTTATAGAGACTATAACCCCAGGGGCGATTGCTTATAAAAGCAGGCTTCTTCTAGCGTGGAGGAGTCTCTTATTTTTCATGTGTAACAAACGAAATGAAGAACTCCGATGAAGCCTAAGGACAACGATGTTGCAGAGATTCTTGTCAATCTTAGTCTACGTGGATATTTCTATATATTAAAGCAGTTACTAACTGCTTTAATATACAGTTAATAACAAAAATGTTGGGCAGAGTTAGGTAAAGTATGAAAATGTCAGCACCTGAAACTCTTGCAGCATTTGCTATAACGCACGCATCATCCAAGACTTGGCTAACGACGTGGACTGCTAACAAAGCAGCCAATCGCGGATTGCAGGATTGCTCTAAAACTATATTTAATGGTTCTCAATTTAATAACTTGATTTGATACTGAACTAAATACTATAAATAGTAAAATCCAAATTCAAAAACAAACCTTCCTCGTTTGTCATCTCGTTTGCTCTTTCATCATATAATAAAATAATAATGAAATCAAACTGGCCTTAATCACAATTACGTCAACGTCAGTAATGCAAACATGTTTTCTATTTTGTACGAGAAGGTTTCTTCTATTTTAATGGCCAGTAAATAATTTGTTTCATTCAAGTCATTTATCAATTTATAAATGATATAGGTACCTACTTGAGAATTTCATAATATTACATAATAAGTTGATACCATATTGATTATTATAAGAACGGACATATGAAAAAAATAATAAAATATAAATCAGGAAATAATTATAAATACGTATTTTATTTCAAATACTAAGTGATCAGAATAATAGAAGACAATAATAGTCAAGAATGCTGCCTCACTTTAAAAACCTAGAGAAAAGGTTGAAACAGACGAAACAGCAAATTCTTTATACTATTATTAAAGCCAGCTATTTTCTACAAAGGGGTTAACATAATTTAATATATTTTTTTGTATGGAGAGCAAATAAAGAAATTCGGATTTTACAACTCCAACTCAAAAAAACTCAGATATCAAGACGTGAGATGTTAATCCTGTTTGTTAGATCTAGTTTCTCATTTGTCAATTGCATTCTAATATTCATTATATTCTATTTATCTATTTTTAACATTTCTAATATTAGAAATTTTAACCCCATAATAATCCGTTACTATTGCCAAAAACTGAATCACTCGACTGACTATTGCTACTATCTACCTGTTCAATAATAATGTCTTTTATAAATCAATTTCGATCAAAAATGTAATATAAGAAGATCTTGCGTAACATACAAAAAGTAAAAAGTGCAGTCAAATTGCGAATCGCTTGTATTTGGCAGACAGTTCTAGATATATTGAAAAAAAAACAGTGCCTCGAGAGTATATTATTTTAAGAGATACTTTTTGATAGTACAACAAATATCAGAATATTGCATATAATACTAACTTTATATTAGTAAGTATAGCTTTAAAAAATCCTAAATACCTACATATTTCATTCAAAACAGCGTCGCTATTTCGGTAACGCCCCGTCGATAGCTACAGTATTGTTATTCGTCAACCTCGTGCTATTTTTATTCTTGTTTCGTATCATAATTTAGGTAAAACTAATCTACTACGTTTCACGATACACAAATTAAATTTGTATAAAAGTTATTTGTGTCAATGTTGCTTATAATTATATTCTAAAAACATTATTCTACAGCAAAATAGCTGGTTTAGGCTACCTATGTTTACGCTTAGTTATTTTTGCTAAACCATACAACAAGTTATGAATCAGTTTTCGATGTTATGTCTAGAATTTCTTCCCGTAGGTTTATATGTATGTATTACACATACACTCATGCAAAGCCGAAGTGAATTAAGCGTAGAGTCATAAGAAACTTGCACTGAGAAACATTACAAAAAACTTTTACTATTGTTATATATATAATATAATTTTAATGAAAAGAATAAAATGAGAAAAAATCGTTTGTAATATAACACAACTTTTTTTTGTTAACGGCAACGAAATGGTAATCTAAATTATTCATAAAAGGGGAAAGTTAATGATATCAGATCACTTAACTTGCCATGGCGAATTCATCTTAAATACTATATGATACCACAGACAACATAAATGATACTAATGATTATGTATATGAGAATACAGAGCTGGTAATAGAAGCTGTTGCCTCCATTTCAATGAAGACCTGCCTTCAACTTAGCCCATATATTTCGAAATGTAGACCTTAAAGAGCATTCAAGCCTTTTAGACCAACCCTTCATATATAATCCATCATCGTCAGAGAATACGGTTGATCCTTAATTCAGCCATATATTTTACAAAACTTGGTATTATATAAGTTATCATTGTTATTAAGTGTAATGTAAAAAATAAATTAACGCAGGCGTGATCTATCTTTGATTTGATAGATGTCTTCTTTTAGAAGATCGTTATATACCTACCTACCTATAGGTACCTATGACAAACCAAACCTGGTGATAATTGTATCCGATTTTGGGGGTATTCCACTACTGATGTAATTGCGAGATATTTTATTTAATTATCTATTATTTACTAAATGTGAGTAATATGTCTGTAAATATTAAAAGGATATTCTTATTACTTAAATTCACTTAGGTATTGATTTCTTAGCAATAATCGTTGTCATGTATCATTTCAAATGAATTTATTGATGTCCGTAGCATATACATATATATAATATTAAAAGGCAACTATAAACAACAATGTATTAACACACAAACAGAAACAATCTATAGAGTGGGAACTGTTTAGTGGTGCCGCTCCCAGGCAGCTCTATTTATAAAGTAAATTGCCTGACGTAAAGTGAACATTGATATCCATGCCAATCTCGCCTATTCAATATTAGCTATTTGACTAATTATAAACATACTTATACTTACTTATAACATCATGAATAAAATCTGAATCCCAGTCATAACAAAATTTCATACAGTGACTGAAATAAATAACTATCCGTATCTTCATTAGAAAAGCCTATTTTATTCAAATAGTATTTTTAATTTACAATTTGTTTGTTGAAGTACAATCAACCAACCTGGATGTTCTTTCTTTTATTCGTAGGTCCATCAATACTACCTAATTAACTCTCCTAGGAACATAAAGTTACTAAGTAAATTACTTTGTTTGTGTCTATGAAATTGTTCTACGGCTTTGTATAGTTGATCTAAACGTGTGGAAAAGCTGAATGAATATGACCCATATTTACAGCAGCTCGATTGGCGGCCATAGAGCTAGTTCCCATGGCAACGGGAGGCTGCGCGCACAGATCAATGAAATCTTTATAGGGCTGCTAAAATATAAATTATTTGCCGATAGTTAAGTTCAATATAATGTCTTATAGCTATTGTATCAATTCATCTATTCAAAGCTACGATTTATCATATCTAGGTAGGTGTACAAAGTAAATTCATCAATGTCTAGAATAAATTTAGACAATTTATAGAAAGTACATGTGTTTGTTACTTGAGTCATATCATAAGTTAGTATATTCCATAAATACCTAATAAAAATATGACCACTTAGCAGCTAATAGAATTCAGCAACTGAGTAAAATGAGTTTTTAACAAACTAAACCTTGCCAACCCTACATCCCTCTGGATACGAATGCGCAAAGCCTCATTCCTGTCCGAGCTTTCCTTCTGTTACTGCGCGCCTCTACCTGTGTTTTCTACGCCATTTTCCACATACTGTGCCGGCTTCAAACTTCTATCAATATGTAATTGTAAACCGTACTCCAAAATTACATCTTCACACGTGGTGGACATTTTAAATATCACCTACAGTCTGTAAGTACCTACCTTATTATTTTATAGTTATTTACAAATTTATATTAATTATTTACTGCAATGACGTATTTATTTACCTTTCGCAGAATTCATTCTATGTTACTTAAAGAAATCCAAGCAATCCAAGCAACAAGGAATATTAGTATAATTTTTTCGAGCAGCTTCATAAAAAATTGAATTCCTACCTTATTTTTATTTCTTAAACAGTTTCTTACTCATTCATTAATTCATTTAATTTTTTTTTCTCATAAACTTAATTTCGGAAAAGTTAATAGGCCAGCATCTATCCTTTAGCAGAGGTTGTATGTACTAAATTAAAAATACGGTATGACATATATATATTATAAAATATGACTATATAATTAATTTATACTATTTTTAAAAAAATCTACTAATAAAAAGAAATCTTAACAATGTCGAATCAAAATATTTATGACAAACAAATGAACTATCAATCACTGAAAACTATCTCTACCACGTAAATCTGTGTTAGGTACAAATATGTAATTTCAAAACGTGTTATTTCAGACACGTATTAAATGTAGTATATCTATTACAAATTTATATAATTTATAATTGATAAAGAGTCCTTATTCATAAAGCTGTATATTTGTGATGGCGTGCAAAGGTAAACCAACACCTTTTAAAATAAAATATAACAGTGTTGTATGTAGACACTAACTAAACGTCATCATCCAGCTTTATCTTCCAAGGAGTCTCTCTAGTAACTACGATTGTATGATTGTTCGAGATTATTCAAGAAATACCTCGGATTTCGATAACGTAATAATATATAGGTATATATTTTTTAATGTCGACTAGAATTGAAATCGGCGGCGAAGGACTGCATGTAAAGCTGCATTTGGTACCCACGTAAATATTGAAATTATTATATACTCTACCACATATTAAAGTACCTACTTAAATAACGTCAGTTACTAAATATGATATGACTATAGAACACAGTACTTGGACTAGCAAGATTTACAATAATTCATTGTGTAAACTCAATATACTCGAATAAACTACTTTATATTCTATATAACTATAATTATAATGTATAATACTTCCTCCTTCTTTATATATTCTATGTATAATAAATAAAGATGTCTGTCATGCATTAGTTTTGGGTTTATAATAAAATTATTTTGGGTATATCTTTCAGACACCTGATAGGTCTGAATATATAAACATGAAAGGGACAAGTGATGACGATCCCAACTCAGAGGAGGTTATACCGATACCCGTTCAGATATTCCTATGGACGCAAACAACGCCATTCGTACGGCCGAGACTTGGAAAAGTTCATGATGCAGATTGTATGGTTAGTATCATCCATGTGTACCTAGATAGTCTATGGTCTATCGGTTTAACAGACCGCCATACTTCGATAGTCGCTTGTTTGATTAATCACACTGTACTGAATGTTACAATGTTATTAATGAGTATGTTTATATTCGTCTGCATCTTTTCTATGTATGTATAATATGCTTTGGATGATAACAGAAGCAGCAGGTGCTCCCGCCTGCGCTAACGGTTTACGCTGGCGGGGCACCAGTGGAGGATGATAAGATGAACATGAAATCAGATCAGTTAGCACATCGTGACAAATTCACAAGGAATATAGGTCATATAGGTCAACCTTACATGGCACATTGCTAGCAATGGTATCGACAGTCCAGATTACTAATAATGCCCTAACAATTCCCCCTATGTATAATTCAGGTACACATACAAAAAGTATTTAAGAAATTCTATCAGTTGGCTAATATACATTATCTCACCCTTCAACCGAAATACAACTTACAACACAAGTTGCATCGACTGAGATAAGACACAGGCAACTATTTTGTTTACTCACCTAAATAGGGGAGAATTGCATCACGACTGTGATTGTTGAGACTGATTATAATAATATATTTTTTTTAAACAAAATTTCCCCAACATCTAAGATATTAATCGTAGATAGTAATCAATATTTTTTCTTATACCCTTAACAGTTTTGTCAAAGAGCTCCAGGACACCACGTGAGTACAAAATTATGAAAAAATTAAGTGCTATAAGCTAAAAACTAAATTTTATTCTAATTTTATATTCATAAAACGGTTTTAAATATTTTAGTAATATTTACGATGTGAATAATATACTACCAAAACAACTTATTCCTATATTATTCTGTAATATTTACGAACTGTACTATTATTTATTGTATTTTTACGTAGCTACTCTATGGTGCCAGCTGGAACTGACAGTTGAAAAATGTTTATCAATGTGTCAAATGAAAGTTTTAAATTGTTTGTTTATTTATATTACTTTTGAATATTGAAATTGTTTTTAGATTTTACGAATATAAAATTTTTATTTAAGGGGTAGTTCTTAAAATAATAACTATATTATTTTATGGAAAAATTTGATTATATAGTTTACTAATTTTTAACAACAAAAAATATTTATTATTGTGTTTTTACATTTTCAATGCTCGAAGGAATTAAAAGAAGCCTGTAAGGTAAATTAAATCCACTATTTACGCATTATCTTTGTAATTTAAGACAAACAACACTAACTTAATTTATTTTTACAAAGAAAATAAATGTTTAAATATTAATAAACAGTGTAGAAAAGTTTAGTTAAGAAATTCCACAAGCCAATGTTACTCAGCGCAAATTGTATTATTGCCTTATTAATCTTTTTACTATTTTTCCTGAAATTTCATAATTTAATATATTAATTTTCTCCGATTTTCAGACTTTCGCTACAAAAGTGTGATCTGTTTTACATGTTAACCCATTAAACTTAGCTTAACTAATTGTGAAAATACATGTAAAAAACAAATATTCCAATAACTTTCTAGTATTATATCAATATTATGCTCAATACATTTTACCTTAGGTATATCTTTTTATATTGTAAACAGATATATAGTTTCATAGTCTGATGATTAACATATAATTTCCACCACACTGATAAATTACTTCTAGCTCCTAAGTTATTTAAAATAAACATATATTATTTCAGTCATTTGAGAAAGTCTTAGTGCAGAATATCCGTATTGAGTTGTCTTTAAGTTTGAATGAGGCTATTGAAGCAATACCACGATGGCGTCTCATACAGGCTTCATTCCCCCATGTTATGCATGCCTTGGCTGCTTTGTTACACAACAGGTAAGTATATTATGCATATATTGTAAGTTTATATGTCTTTCAGGATTAAAGTTAAAACTAAACTAAACTAAACTCATCAAAATATAGGACATTCAGTTTTGACTGTAGTTTTTGTATGTTATGTTTACACTCACACATCTAAATTTTGTCAAAATTGCACCAATGAATTTCCACAAGCTAATGTTACTCAGCGCAAGTTGTATTTTTACCTTATTAATTTATTTTATGGGTGGTAATGGAATGGTGCACCCTCCTGCAGTAATGGGTTACGCTGGCGGGGCTCCAATGGAGTATGATAAAATGAGCATGAAGTCAGGTCAGTCATCTTTGCAAATAGCAGGGTATACAACATGGAGGTCAACCTAACAAGGTATATTGCTAGCAATAAATTATAGGGATTGTAATATTGTTATGTGAATAGTTTGTTTTGTAAGCCTATATAATAGACAACTTTATTAATCTATTTACAGAGTAAAGGACAACATGCAGTCTCTAGGCAATGTGGAAACCAGATTATTGTATACATTACATTGGATCCTCCTTGATGCATCTGATGAATGTGCTGAGAATGACTATGAGAATGGGATTTTTATTTCCAATCCCTTCCACTACTTATTTTCTGTACCTGCTATGACTGTATGTATTTACATTGATAGTGTTGAACTTTTTACCTAACCTTCCATACTTGGCTTTGTTTAAACAAATATATAAAATTAGAATATCCCTAAAATTTTTGTCATTTCCAAATAGGTATCAAATTCAGGTGTGCCAAATTCTTATTAGTATAGTTGTTAAGGCACATTAACAAATATAGTTTCACATACTATAATTTATTTTTGTCCCAACTCTGTCTGCAGACCTACTGATGAATCAGGATCAAACAGGCTAATTCTTAATTACTGTATTTCAGTATTTATATTAGTTGTCTAGCACTCATAACACAAGTTTATCTTTCCATTAGATGGCGCTGTGTGAATTGTCTTGAGATATTATTAACAATATTAAATTTTATCCAAAAGATAATATAATAATATACTTGAAATATATTTTATTTTTTCAGCTGTTTGTCTTCTTATTTGCACCAATATCACACCATCTTAAGGAATCTGACTTCACTATAAACTATCGTCTTGAAAATGGTTTGAAGCTGTGGCAAGCATTATGGGAATTTAGGCACCCTGATGCGCCATGTTTCACAACACATGTCAAACCTAAGCCTAAACCTTTAGGTGGAAAATTCTCTAAACGGAATCAACATGGAGATGTTTTCATGGGAAGTAAGTACAGTTATTTAAAAAAAACTACCCTCATTTTACTTTCTATTTAATTAAATTAAATTAAAGATGATGTAGTGATGTTCCTTATTATTTATTTATTCATAAATGAATTTGTTGTATCCCCAATTTTGGCTAACCGTAGTTTAAAGCTAAAAATGTTTCTTAAAATTTGTTGATTTTACAATGCTTTTACAGGAAAATATTCTAAAGAGGAGGGTCCAGTAAGTGGAAGTCCACCAAGTCAAAATATATCCATGTCTCAACCTGAAGTGCCAGTAAAGCAAACTAGCACTGAAGAAGAACCCTGGCTCTCTTCACCGAAGGATACAATCTTCCCTGAAACAATTCCAGAAGAAAGCTCTAGCACTGAAGAAGAACATGTGGTAATAATAATTATCTAGGCTTATAAAAAAGTACATTTTGATTAGTTTAAATCCAAATGGTTCTCACCTTTTAATCATAACATAAAGCTCGCCAATATTACAATTAGTAACAGAAATATTAAGCTTTATGGACTACCATTATATTTGAGTTCACTTTTTTTACTTATATTTTTGCTTTTTTTTTGTTAATAAATTTTACCATAATACTAAACTAAATTACATGTAATTTCTATTGTTTAAGTTTATATACCGCCTTCCTTCCGAACAAAACTTCGGTGGCGCCATCAAGGAAACATATACTGTATACGCAGCCGATCCCAGCTTATTCCAACTCCGAAAATCTGACTCAACCAAACCAACTTTGCCTGGCATCAAACCACTACCCCAAATCCCTAAAATGAGGTATTAATTACTGGCACTAGAACTTTATAATTGTACTAAAATTTATTTGATAAATTAACTTAATACATACTCATACATTTTTTTAAATTTCAGCTCATCAGACAAAGAATCACTAACAGATAGTGGTGGTGGTGGACAAGGGCCTAAAGACACTCCTACTACTGAGAATCCACCAACATCGAAACAAGGCAATGTAATACATACTATTAATTATATTACTAGTCTTAATGTGTATTATATATATAATAATTATTTCATTGTCATATGCTACTTCTTTAACATTAAATAGACTGAGCGAATTTTATCAGTTGACTTTTACTGGATTGAACATATTCAAGGCTCTCCCTCGCTCTCTCCAACTTATTGTACTGTAATTATTTGGTTGGTGTAGAATTTCTGTTCTTCAATGATACTTACATCGTTAAACGACGTTTCACTTCAGCTTACTGATATTTCAAGCTATATAAAGGTTACCTTCAGTTACATTCATGGCTTGTAAAATATAAGACATTATTCAAAATTCAAAAATCATTTATTCATGTAGGACATTTTAACCGCTTATGAACGTCAATTTTTTTACATTCTAATTTTAATTTTTTCCCTACCGTCCAGTTCGGTATACAGATCCAATTGAGAAGAACTGGCAAGAAACTCAATAGAATTTTTTATTTTTTAAAAGCCAGTTTATTTACAATGTATATTTATATAGGTGTCTATGTCTAACATTAAATGAAAATCGTTCGTCGAATCACTCGTCATTCAAGTAATGGGTTAGTGAGTAATAGGCTTTACTCAGTAAATATGATTTAACAGATGTTTTGAACTTATATCCTTTGGTATCTTATTGTAAATTTTTATACCTATTCCCATAAAAGACCTATTAACTTTTTCTAAACTATACTTGGGGACAGCAAGTTTGTCTTTAAATCTAGTATTAGTATTATGAATATTGCTGTTTTTTGGAAATAAGTCAAGATTTTTATGAACATATAGGATATTTATTATATAAAGGGAAAAAATAACATTAAAAGAGTACAGATATATAATAAGAAAAATAATTATAATTACTATCTACAGTAATTCTTTTTAAGGTATCAGCAGCCACGTTTCTAGATGTTGCTACATTACGATGTCTCTTTACATCTCAATGGCAAGAAGAAGGTGTATATTGGGCACTACATTATTTATATAATAGGTAATCAAACTGTATAGTTCAACAATCACACTTGTTTCTTTAAACTGTAGATTTTCTAGATTTATTAAAAAAAATATTTTTCTGTAAGGTTGCGAGATATTTGTGACGATATATCAAAACAAACCCAGCCACGGAAAAGAAGCAACTCATTACCTATACCAAAAATAGAAGTATCTGTATATCAAAGTCCTGATATTAAAGAACGAGATTCATTAAAGAATTTTATGGAGGTGCCAGAAGTCAAAGACATGTCACCATTAAATGAAAACCCATTTCCAAACGCGCCAAAAATTGAGGAGGAATGTACTATGTCGAGGCGCTCTAGTGAAAAGATAAAACGGAAAATGAAAATGGCTGATTTAAAAGCATTTGTTGAAACTAAGCTACTCTCTAAATCTGAGAAGGCACTAGAAAAAATCGGTCAAGAAGACCATAAGTTTTCATTTCACACAGCCGTAAGAATGCTATCTGTACTTATTGTTTTTATAACCATTATAATCTTTATTTTTTATCATTTGACAATGTTTTTTAACATTAAATTATAACATTTCAGGATTACCACAGGAGCCTAGATAATGCTGACGATAGGCCGAACTCAGCTCTCGGTAGCAATTTTCCGCCAATAGCTCCTAGATTAACTGGTGATTTTCTACAGTGTAATCTAATTAAAGGAAAAAGCATGCCCAGTTTAAGGCAAGTATAATATTTACGGCGTCTACTGTTTACTACTTTTTATTCAAAATTTTCACATATGTATCTCTCATATTTTAACTCATTCATCGTTATTTTAACAACATATCATATCTCTTAAACTTTATTCAGATAAAAATTTGTAAATTGTTTATAAATTAGTTAGGCAATTTAATTTTATTCTTATTGACCAGTAGGAAACTCCGCAATATTTCCAGATTTTATTCAAGAAATTCACAAAGTGTATTTGCTATTCTTAACGCCGCCTTATACAAATTCACAGTATTCATTTCACAGCACAGCATGATTTGATTTTAACACATTCTCTAAGTAATATTTCCTATTTAAAAATTATACTTTTTTCTCTTTTCTCCCATCTTCTTAACGCTTAATCCCGTACAATGTTGTAATGGATGAACAAAACGGTCGCTAGCTGTCTGATTGATGAGCTAGCATCTAATGGGTAAGTGTAAAAGCAGCTGTGCCTACAAGGATTTTAGATGCTTCGTAATTAGATTATATTAATGCTGTGAGAATACAAACACTACGTTGTATTGCTTAGGTGTTGGAGTTTGATAAATTTATTTTGTGTATAAATTAGCGTGTCACGAAAATTCATGGCCTTACAATGCTCTCATGAATACGCAAGCTTATTGTAAGAGATTAAACAATTACTTTGATAAATAGGAAGTATCAAACACATTTGTATGTAAGAAACACAATATCAAAGTGATTGTGTGCACGCACTACACATACCACGTATCTAGTACACTATCAACATCATATTGTCAGTTATATAAATGAAGTAGTTAGTTCATGGGAATCGCTTATAATTATAATGCTTTAAGCATAACATTTGTGATGTAAGGTGCTATAATTCATAAATACATCTCAATGAGAATGCCTATATCGCTATAACATTATGAATAGAAATATGTAGCATGGCGTAGAATATTAAGGTCATAATTACAGTATGTTGCAAGTACATTGATTAAAAGCAATTCTGCATTTGCAAGCATTTCTGTGCAACAAAACACCCTTTCGATACAGGAATACAAATTTAAAGTTTACTTGTTTTTAGAAGTTTTTCAAATCCTATATCTATCATAATTGTCTGCCCACAAACTACATATAGTACATCGGTAGAATATCTATACTCTAATAATCCACATCTGTTGTGTGTAGAAGTAACTTATTTTGAACTGTTTGCATAAATTGTTTATTGATAACTGTATAGCTATGTAGATAATTTACAGTGAACTTTACTTTTAAAACAATGTGTTGACAAAGGGTGGTTTAAATATTTACAGCATGGAACTAATGATTATTATAGTATATACATATTATTCTACTACTACGTATAAAATCATGTAAACATACATTGAAAAGCAGACAGAATGTCTAATTTATTAAAACATACTTTCTTTTAGATATTGAGTTCACGAATAACATCATACAAAGTTACATGAACTTTACATAGCCATATATTAAAATTTCGGTGAAATTTTAATATATAAATAGTGTAAGTCAATTATTAAATAGTCCGTTATATTTTAGATACATTGGCGAAATCAAGACCGAAAGATCCCACGGCCCTTGCAGTACTCTGCCTGCAAGTATTCAGAAAAAGAAGAACCCCATAATAACAGTGACTGAACATACACCAACGCCATCTCCGGATTATCTCTCTAAAACGAGACAGGTAAATAAAAATAAAAATTATTTAGCATAAGTAGACTTATGCTAAATAATTTTATCGATAGCCTAATAAGTATGTACTTCAAAGTGTCGTTCATAAATTGATACCTATTGAACGCCAGATATCATTTTAATTTATTTAAATTTTTAACAGATCATCGGAAGTTTAGTCGCTTTCGGGCAACCTAACGATTAACCATGTAGGAATGGGTTACTATTTAATATCTATTATTGGTTTACCTCTAGGCCAAGCGCTCAAACAACTGTTAACCTGATCAATTTACAACATATAATAATAACATTGCACCTAATCTTGACAGGTTTTAAATGTGTAATATTTTTTTAAAATTATATTAAGGTAATTGGAATCTGCGAATTTTCTGGCCGTTTAATTTAAAACAAGTGGGCAACCAGGTTATTAGGTACTTATGTTTCGCTTATTGTCCAATCTGTGTTTTTACGTTTTGTTTCTCACAGAGAGGTCATTTAGTGTAATGTTTAATATAACTATAACTCCTGATGAATTGTGCTATCGAATGCAAAAGAGTTACAAATAACAAATTCATCAGATTTATATCAATAGATACAAATACGCAATTTTTATAAATCTTTACAGGGTTCAATGGAATCTCAGATAGATTCAGTTAGCATGCAAGGTTCCCAACACATTCCTACTCCCGAGCGTAAACCAAGTTTGACCCGATCACAAACGGACTCCAATATTACTTACGTAGTAGAAGAGATACAAGAGGCACCTGGAAGCTTATATTACATTACTAAAGATGGGGACATAGATTTCCAAATCGTTCTTAAGGTAAGTTAATGATAATAATTTTACATAATGTATAAAAGTGATTTCTGACAGGATGACTGTAGTAAACAATGGAAAAACAATACTTATTCGTCTTATATAATTTTGCAAAGGCAAGACGACTTTGACAGCCTTCGCAAGTTACAATATGCAGATGACACTATTCCCAATATTCCCGTAGTTTTTTTATCATCGTATTAAGAATATACCCAATAATAAGCCTCATTTGTACTTTTACTTGTAAATAGAGATATGCTTATGTATATATTTCTTATTGTATATTTTTTAGGCTGTCTACTCAGTATCTATTATGGATAGCTTCTATATAACCTTACGAGTAATGGAAGTAATGTTGAATTTAGTTGATACACTAATGGAAATCGGAGTTCACAAAAACTGGCAAAATAACCTTTCTGAAGATTTACAACCAGGTTCAGTGGATCCATTATCAGATTTTGGAAAAGATAATAAGGTGATCAATTCCGCTACATTGATTTTAGATTTCAACGTCACGGCATGTTCTAAATATGCCTGCGTTCTATTTTTTAATAATTAAATATATTCTTTTAATAGAAACATAATGCAATTGTATGTTATTATCCAATTTGGATGATTCTTAATAATATTGAATTATTATTATTTTAGGAAAGGGATTCTGGTTTGCCTTGTGCACAAAGTCAAGATTCCACTAATATAGAAGGTGGCGATAGTACTAAGGAGAAGAAAGAGGAAGAAAATCTAGATTGTCCTTACTTCATGATTATGAATATTATTCTCAGGTAAAAACATTATTCTCCACTATATACATGTAGGCTACCAACCTCCTTGCATTAACTAGCCATATAACACAAACACATTTTAATAAAAAGTATATTGTCAAAAATTGTTTCGCTTGCAAATTACTGATCTAAATGAGTTGTTAAATTAATTATTATTTGTTATTTTTAATTCTGTTATTATATACACTGTCATATATTCAATCTTTTATTAATATCACTCCTTCTGTATATCAACACGCCAACCATAACCACACTGGTGACACCCTATTGAACATTTTTATTTGGAAAATTTGGAAGATAAAATATGACAGAGAGCAGCACTACATCTACAGTACGAGACGGTATGTCATCTGAAATTTTTAAAGTAGCAATAAAAGTACCACCCTTTTGGCCCGAAGAGCCGGAAATATGGTTTGCTTGGAAGGACAATTCGCTATTTCAAAAATTACCAATGATTTAACCAAATTTAATTACGTAATAGGTCAACTCGACCAACAATTTTCTAAAGAGGTAAAAGACGTAATTATCAATCCGCCTTAGAGGGAAAGTATGATAATCAAATCAGAATTAGTTAAGCGTCTCACTGCATCAAAGGATAAAAATGAAACAATTATTAATGTATGAGGAGCTGGGAGATCGCAAGCCCTCGCAGTTTCTAAGACATTTGCAGAGTTTAACTGGACCGAAGGTACCGGATGAGTTTCTTCAAACGATTTGGACCAGCCGTCTTCCTGCACGTATTCAGAACATCCTTATAGCACAACCTACGGCTGATTTAGATGTATTAGCGGATCTAGCTGATAGAATCATGGATCTCACGCCATGTTCACCCCACGTTGCTGTCATGAGTCGTGATGATGCAGGCCCTAGTTCCAGTAATATGGCGAACGAAATAGCAGAGTTGCGTAAACAAGTGAAGTCACTCACTATGCAATTGGATCGTCATCAGCGCTCTAGGTCTAGGAATTCACATTCACAACGTAGCCGATCATCATCAAGGTCCTATAACAATTATAAAAAGTTTCCCGTATGTTGGTATCATCATAAATTTGGTAACAAAGCGAACAAGTGCGTAAAACCATGCGACTATAGTCAGGAAAACTAACAAGGCAGTCGACAGTGGCGACAAGCGATTGCCCAATTTCCAGTAGTCGCCTTTTCGTTACGGATCGGAATACAAAGACTCAGTTTCTCGTTGATACCGGAAGCGATCTCTGCGTCTTTCCTCGATCACTACTACGAGAACGTCGCACCAAGACTAATTATCAACTGCGTGCCGCCAACGGAAGCGTCATCGATACCTACGGCTACGCACATTTGAATCTGGACTTGGGACTACGTAGGCAATTTCCATGGAGATTTGTAGTTGCTGATGTAACTAAGTGTATTATAGGTGTAGATTTTTTATCATTTTATAATTTAATTGTTGACTGTTATAATCAATGTTTAATAGATAATACCACTACACTTACTGCGAAAGCTACACATTCACATCCTTCCAACACAATTCAATCGATTTAGGTGATTCTAAATTTCATAATATTTTGGCTGAATTTCCTGAAATTACTCGACCAGCAGGTGTACATAGAACCATTACACATAACACAGTTCATCACATACGCACCACACCTGGTCCACCCGTTCATTGCAATCCTCGACGTTTAGCTCCAGACAAGTTAAAAATTGCGAAACAAGAGTTTGAGTCAATGTTGGCTAATGGTACAGCTAGACCTTCAGAGAGTCCATGGGCATCCCCATTGCATTTAGTAGCTAAAAAAGATAACGGTTGGCGTCCTTGATTATGGAAAAACCAGGACGATTCCTGATAGGTATCCGATTAGACACATTTATATGTAAAGTGTTTTCTACTATTGACCTTGTTAAAGCGGTCAATATCGAGGACATACCGAAGACAGCTATTACAACTCCCTTTGGTTTATACGAATTTCCGTATATGACCTTCGGGTTGCGTAACGCAGGTCAATCTTTTCAAAGATTTGTTGATGAGGTGACTAGGGGACTTGATTTTTGTTATAGTTATTTAGACGATTTCCTTATTTTCTCCCGATCTGATGCAGATCATGAACAACATTTACGTACAATTTTTACTAGAATGAGAGAGTACAGTATAATAATTAATACAACTAAATCAATTTTCGGTGCATCAGAAGTTACATTTTTAGGTTATCGAATTTCTGAGAAAGGTACAAAGCCACTTGACACTAAGGTGCAAGCTATTAAGGATTTTCCTCCACCAAAAGATGTCAGGCAGCTTAGACGGTTTTTAGGCATGATAAATTTTTATAGGCGTTTCTTACCTCATGCTGCTCAAACACAGGCACCCCTCAATTCTCTTTTAGCAGGTTCAGTTAAAGGTTCTAGTCCTATAAATTTAACAGGAGATATTCTGAAAGCTTTTGAATCTTGCAAAGAAAGCCTTTCCAATGCTACACTTTTAGCCCATCCTGATTGCGAAATAATCTCGCGTTAGTGACTGATGCTTCAGATACAGCTATAGGTGCAGTATTACAGCAACTTAGGAATGGCGTTTGGGAGCCTTTGCATTCTTTTCTCAAAAACTCAGTCCATCTCAACAAAAATACTCACCATATGACCGGGAACTGTTAGCAATTTATGAAGCAATAAAATACTTTCGTCATATGCTCGAGGCTAGACATTTTATAATTTATACTGACCATAAAATCAGTTTTGCTTTTCATGAACGGAAAGTTAACTGCTCGCCTAGGCAGTATAGGCATTTAGATTATATTTCTCAGTTTACCACTGATATCCGTCACATATCCGGCAAGAATAATGTGGTAGCTGATACATTATCTCGTGTTGAAGAGCTACAATCACCAAGCAGTTTAGTGGCTATAGCACAAGCACAGGATACTGATTCCGAATTATCTCATTTCTTAGTTAATCCAAATTCTTTGCGTCTTGAAAAACGAGAATTATGGAAGTTGCGTTTCCTTGTATTGTGACATCAGTACAGCAACTCCTAGGCCGTTCGTACCCAAGACATTTCGAAGAGAAATCTTTAACAGTCTGCATTCTCTGAGCCATCCTGGTCCTAATGCGTCAGCTAAATTAATAGCTCAGCGCTTTGTTTGGCCTGGCATCAGAAAGGACTGCAGATTGTGGGCTAAGTCATGTATAGCTTGCCAACGTGCTAAAGTAAGTCGTCACGTATCCACTTCATTAGGCACTTACGACTTACCTCGAGCACGATTTAAAATAGTGCACATTGACATTATTGGTCCTATGCCTTCATCTCAAGGTTATAACTGTCTCACTGCTGTTGACCGATTTACAAGATGGCCGGAAGCAATACCTATAATGGATATTACAGCAGAATCTGTCGTTAAGGCGTTACTTTCTGGCTGGATTTCTAGATTTGGCTGTCCTGAAGAAATTGTTACAGACCGTGGTCGTCAATTTAGTCGGCAATGTTCGAACATTTGTCTAAGATGACCGGGTTTCAACACAAACGAACTACAGCCTATCATCCAGCTTGTAATGGTCTTGTTGAACGATTTCACAGGCAACTTAAAACTTCAATCATGTGCCATGCAAATAGTTCTTGGACGGAATCACTTCCGTGGGTACTATTAGGTATCGAAGTTCTTTTAAGGAAGACTTACAAGCTTCTCCGGCAGATCTTATTTATGGAGAGCCGATAAGACTATGGTGAATTTTTCGATCGTTCTTCAGAAGGATCGACCGATGTAACAGATTTTCTTGCACGTTTACGTACATTTACAGATAAAATTAAACCTGTTGCTGCTTCACGTCACAGAAGTGACAAAATATTTATTTTCAAGGATTTAGCCACTACCAATCACGTTTTCCTCCGAGAAGACGCTTTGCGTAGTTCACTTCAACCAGCATATACAGGTCCATATGTTGTAACACATAGAGGTGATAAAATTTTTAAATTGCTTGTAAAGGGTAAGGAAGTCACTGTGTCTATCGATAGGCTTAAACCCGCTTTTATTCTCAGTGACCAACACGAGTCTACCAATCAGGATTCCAATATTACCACAGATCGTACTCGTACTACTACTAGTTTTGGACGTCGTGTACATTTTCCAGACTTTTATCGCCCTTAGCCAGGTCTCAAGGGGGGAGTAATGTAGGCTACCAACCTCCTTGCATTAACTAGCCATATAACACAAACACATTTTAATAAAAAGTATATTGTCAAAAATTGTTTCGCTTGCAAATTACTGATCTAAATGAGTTGTTAAATTAATTATTATTTGTTATTTTTAATTCTGTTATTATATACACTGTCATATATTCAATCTTTTATTAATATCACTCCTTCTGTATATCAACACGCCAACCATAACCACATACATAATAATTTTATTTATATTATCTACTAAATTTTATTTCTACGAATATAATTTGTAACGAATGAAATCTAATTGCAGATGTATTTAATATGTTTTTAATAATATTTATTACTAATATAACTTAAACAAAATTTTATTTAAAAATTTACCATACAATTAATTGCTAGTCATTACATCGACTTGTCACGACCTAGTCAATTTGTATATGACATGATTCGACGACATATGCAATAACCATATAGATAAATGTATCATCCACTAAAGTAAGAAGAAAAAACAATGTGCAGTAGGAACTGTCGTAGAAAGTATCTAAGGTACTCAAGAGACCTAGACTACTTTCAACGCTGTGATAACGCTCATGGCGTTGAGAGCACTGAACAAGGACTTGTTCTTTGGCAATATAGACTGCAGAATATACCAAGAGCATATTATTATGATCTGTGGCCTCCACAGACTGCTGCGACAACTGGGTTGCTCGCACGGGTGCACAAGCGCACTGCGTGGGCCCCAGGCGGAGTGTCTTCGCGTCCAGGCGCGGTGCTCATTACGACAACTGCGGGCAGCGTCCATACCCAAGTTCACCTTGCGCCTCAAGGAAATGACCAAGTTCGCACCCATACGCGAAGTACTCGATAACTTGCACTCCACCATTGGGTTTTGTGTTGAACCTGCTTCTTTAGTCTCGCCTATGAGTAAGTTGTTTTTGATTTTGATCCCTTATTTCTCATTCCCAGTAAGTGATTAAAATAAAATCAATATGTGCTATGATTTTGATCCATAAAAGCCTGATATTAGATATAACAAAATTAGAATGTGACCTACACAGTATTTCTAGTTGAATATAAGAAACAAATCGCAGAAACACAGAAATAGTTCACCTTCGCCAATTCCTTATATGTTACGGGGCACCAATATCTCACACTTCGAAATAATTCTATATAATATTAAGTATATTAAAATTGTCTATAATGTACTATAAATTCGTGCAAATCTGTTAATTTATAAAAAAAAAATGTATTCATGAATATATGCTCATCTATTGTCATGTCTGTCTGTCAGTGTTTGATTTCAATTGTACTGTATTTTGTTTTCCGTAGATCAACAAAAGCGCAACAACGCAAAATCACCAGAAATGAGTCATTTACAAGCTGGGTACGCTACAAATTTTGGCGCGACACAAGGCGCCAATGCAAACAGAGCTATAGAGACTTTCATAATAGAGTCAACGTTTAGAGTGCTCGTCACTAGGTTTGCAATGATGCACAAGGAATTAAAAATGCTAGATAATTCAGTAAGTTATAATTATAATTTCAACCCGTCCCACTTCATCCCATCTAGCTATTTATTTAAAAAAAAATAGATGTTTGTAATAGATATTATTATAATTAAACAGCTTATATCATATTGTTATTATTTCATTAATTTTATTATAATTATTGTAGGCATTATACATGGAAGTTCGTTTACTTCTAAGCTATGTACGAGAAGCCCACGGCGGACTGTTCCGAGTAGTTGCGTTCAGCGCCCTATTAGATACAGCTGAGAGGCCGGATAGTCAACAGAAGGAGTCAAATATGCAGACAACACGAGTAATAAGGTAAGGAACCTTATGTAATTTAAATATGCTCATATTATAAGAATAGTCCGAATTTTATGAAAGTTCTTACATCATTATTAATATAGTTAGGTTGTATATCATTCAACCCGGGTACAATTCATATCGATATCTATAAAAAGTAGCACATATTATAAAGTTAAAAGCTTATTATTAAAAAAATATAAATGAAATATAATTAATAACAATACAATAGTTTCCATCATGTGTTTACGTTGAGCTTTTTTAATAACGTACCAATAATTTTTTTTAGGCATATACCTCGTCCGGCAGATGATGAGCGTGGGTCGGATACAGGTGCGGACTCTGGATGTGCTGCAGATGACCGAAGTCACAAAAAGTTTACGTTCAAGAAGAGAAGCGCTTCGTCTACTGGAGCTCATGTCAGTATAAATATCATTTGAAACAACAAGCCGTCACCCGTGGTCGCATCATCATTGTCATCATAACATAATCATGTATACAAATATTATAAAGCTAAAGAATTCGCTTGTTTGATTGGTGAACCGCTAATCTCAGGAAATCTCTCTCGCTTCTGGTTCTAATTGAAAATATGTTTTATCTTTGGACTACCTATTTATAGATTATTACTATTTATAGGCTAGATAACAACATCACACATCAAAAATAAGTAAAAATGTATTCTAATGTAATAAAATCCCCAGTCACAATCACCAAACGTGGCGATATTATATCTCCCTCAAATTATACTTACAATTTCTATCATTGTCATTTGTATATCTGCAACTGGTAGCATGTAATTTGAGGCAATCCGCATCTATTGGAAGTGAGGCATTGTGCTAAACCGATGGACCACCATAGATGGGTCGTCAAATGAGATAAGCGTATGCATCTGTAGAGCCTACTGGAAACGGAAGGTGCGGAGTCAGCGAGCCAGTCGCCGCTGTCGGTGCGTGCGCGCCGCCACCAGCTGACGCCGCGGCAGTCGGAGCGTGCTATTCCTTCAATCGCAGCTGCCGCCGCCGCCGCCTCCGCAGCCTCCGCAGCCTCCGCAGCCTCCGCCTCTTCCGTGGCCGATCTCACGCCGCATCACAAGCTCTCGCACTCCAAGTCCATACCCTCCAAGTTCCACATTAGCGGCATAGGTAATATTTCTACTATATGTATTACTAGCTGTGTCCGCGGTTTCGCCCGCATGAAATTTATAGCCTATGTGTCATTCTGATGTATAAGCTAATGCAAATACGTGATACGTCGTGCAGTGAACTGGTTCCGGCAAAAGCCGCAGCACAGCCAGTCGTTGATCCGCAACGGCGGCGGTTCTGGCGAGTCGCTGCCGATGTCGGGCAGCATGGTGTCCCTGGCGCGGCCGCTGTCGGCGCTCCCGGGGCACCACGCCGCGCGGCCCGTGCACGTCAAGCGCCGCGTCGGGTACACGCTCACCAGGTACTACCACTCATACTACAGCTCGCTGCACCTCATCACTCAACGTCTCACTTTTTTTCAGCCGGCTACATAACCGTAGTCTGCCTCGACACGACGGTGTAAAGGAACGACGCTATAGTGATTCGCCCCAGCAGTATGCTCGGCTAAAGAGCATAAACTCGAGGCCCGTACCCGACGGCCAGTGAGGGCCTGCGGATGACTCAAGTCAGAAGTCAACCTCAAAAACAAAATAAAAACTTTAAAACTACTCCCGAAATATGGCGAAGTAGTGCCACGTTTACTTAACGTTAGAATAAGTTAATCTTAGGCTTCGCATTTACTTAAAAATCTTGCTCTTGAATCGATCTATATATTTCCAAACCAGATCCGTCCGATGTCAGTCATCACTCTCACTACCGTTACCATTCCTACCACTACCTTTGCCTACCTACCTCCTTCACAATGCGTTCTGCAAGCATAAGAGGTTGCATTGATATCGCTATTATACCGTTACCTGAAACAAACATATATAGCGGCAGAAACACGTATGACATACAGACACCTGTCTGGGTGTCTGTATACTTACTTTTTACAATTTAATTTCTGGTAATTATAATTACAATTCCTTCTAGGGCAAGAAAGCGAGTGGAAGACAGACTTAATAGATTTGGTCTAAGAAAAATGGGAAAGAAACGCGATGGCAGCATCGAGGAAACCAGCGGTGGATGTGAGTGTGTAACATAAAAACATAAATCGAAATTAATTCAACATGAAAGTGCGCGAAACCAATGTGAAAACATGTACAGACATGTCACGACGCGGTTCGGCGGAGGGCGGGTCTGGCGGCGGCGAGTCGGAGGTGGTGGTCCTGAAGCGGCGGCGGCTGGTGGCGGCAGCGCCGCTGTACGCCGGCCTCGCCAGGTTCAGCTTCCTGCTGGACGCCACGCAGCCCGGCGCCACGCCTGATGCACTCTTCATGGCAGCTCTACTCGATCTGGTAAACGTCATACGTGTAATACAATGCATTTGATTTTAATCCTTATTACTGAAGTGAACTTTCTATATATAGTTAAGATTTTCAGTTACGAAATAGCTTTACCATCTGGTTGACAGTGTAGACGGTGGTAGGGGCGGTGCAGGTGCTAGTGGCGGCTCAGAGAGAACAAAGGCAGTCCGTTAAAGTTTCTCTTCTACTCGTACTACGACATATGATAAGAATCTGTATAATAGACACACACGAATAAATATTTAATTAGATTTGTTAATTTTTCCAATTCAATTCCACATTACAGAAAGAGAGAAAGACATTTAACATACTAATACTAAATAAATTCTCATGTGCGAATCGCGATGAAATTTCACGCAGGAAAGAATAAGCATGTAAAGAGAACGAGAATTCAAAGCACGCAGCCAGCTCGCACATTCCTGCGTCCTTCAGTAGCATGTTTTTTTTGTAATAATTAATTAATATTGCAAATTAGCTCTGTAGCAAAACCCTTGAAAATTTAGTAATTTTTAAATTTTAATCGTGTCGTTCGAAAATAAGATCTGTGGAACTAATAATAATCATCTCGTGTGCAATGTGGTTACAGTATTCATTATACTTGTCCACATTGGTCATTGAACGGATTAATATAAGGATATGCAAAATATATAATAATCATTGGAAAAACATAATATAAAAATCATAGTACAAATCGTGTACCTGTGCAATGTTCATGCTTCAATGTAAGAAATTTGCTTGGTTTCAGCCTCACACTGTTGTAGTAGGAAGAGCCGCTATTCTACTGGAATGTGCCCATTTAGTACACAATTGTAACAAAGGTCAATGGCCGTACTGGCTCAAGACGAATATTGCTAAAAATACTAGTAAGTATTCACTTTCAAACACAATTCATCGAACTTTGATAACTGAAATTATAACTTAATTATAAATTTGCAGTGTCCTCAAGTCCACAATTAAGACAGAGATTAGCAGCCAAGCTTTTCTATCAATGGGCCGAGGTAATAGCCTTCTTAATATGTATAATATACATAACGCTAATAAACACGCTCATGTATTTAATTAATTCTCTTCATAGGCAATAGGTAACAGATTAGAAGAAATGCTGGTAGAAGACAAAAAACATATTGATACTGTTATCAATTTGGTCACTGATCCAGACGGACAGCGAGATCTTTTGCAGCAAGATGAAGAAGAAGATTTTCTAGATGAAGGTAGACATCATATCCTTTGCCTTAATCTTTTCGTTTATTAGAGTACATTAAAATCAGATATATTAAAAAAACATGGCCGATCTATTGATAGCTTAAACAAAATGGTATATTTTTTTACGTATAGCCAGTATCAGGCTCCCTGGAAAAGCTATTGGCGCCGAATGTCCACGTGCTCTACGCCTGGTGGCCTGCGTACTACTCTTTGAGATTACAGCCTTCCTACGGGAAACATATCAAAACATACCGAAATCGTGCCGGTCTTCATTAAAGGAAAGAGGACCTTGGGACAGAGTTTACAGGTAACAAATTTAATTAAATGTATAATAATTGTATTGGTAAGTAGTGAATATATAATAATTTTTAATAATTCGGTGTAAATTGATTATGTTTTGTTATTATGTTATGCGAAGATGGATGGAAAAACGACGTTTGTTGTGTAAGAATAAGTGAGTTCCTTATGTTCCGTTCGTTTGAAATGATGTGTTAAACGAGTGCATATTTTGACGAAACTTTTATTTTAACAGGGCTCTTAGCAGTCAACACACATTAATGCCAGTCGAGTATGTGTTCTAAAGAAATAATGCATGTTTCCTTGCATACTTGCACTGAGCGTGCATGCGTATATAGAATGTACATAATTCTAAATAATGTACACTTTTAAGGAGTAATATGTACAAATTCACTGCGACAGTCTAAGTCTTTTAGCGATTATTCACCTATTGACAATTTTGGCACTTAGGGCCTACGCAAACGTAACCGCTTGTGACGACATCCGATATTTAGATTTTTTACCTTTGTATTAGTCGTATCCACAAACTGGCTACGCAAGCGCCGGCCATATTATAATAATAAAGTTCAAATTATATCGTAAAAAGTGCATATGCACAATTAAATTGCATGGTATGTTATAAAAATCCACATAACTTTGCTAACTATTAAAGAAATACTAAATTAATTACACAAATTATAAAATATTTTTTATCAATACACCCTTTCAGTATGGAAATTTCCGATAGTTTCTTTAAGCAGCAAATAGTTTAGATTGAATTAGTATACAAAGTAAATAAAATCGCTTTGCTACATTGGCATGCACAATAAGATCTAAAAGGATTGATATTTAAAATTAAATAGTGACAAAAAATAGAAGCTACTGATCTTCTATAGCTGTTGTATCAAAATCATCGGAAAATTCTACCATCTTTGATCTGTTAATATGTTTATATCAACGATACAGGGAAGCGAACCGCCGTTGGAGCATGGCTCTATCCAGTATGGGACACTCCCAAGCTTCCGCCCAGAGCTTGCAGTCAATTGCTTGCGCTGAGACTGAGAGAAAAATCTCTTTTGTCATTCACGAACCTGAAAACGTATCCGGTGGCAGTAACGCAACGGTAAGATATTGTGACAGAATTGTACAGCTAGGCTATTTTCAGAAGCAACTTTTAAAGTAAGCAAAAGGACACACCCTATCATCTGTTACAGCTGATTATTTTCTCGGCAATTTTATGTGACCGAGGCTAAAACGTAAAATATTCGCCATTTTTTTTACTATAAACGAATATTAGTGTTCAAGAATGTAGGTCACAGTAATTTATGTTCACCAATACTTTATATATATATATTATTTATTATATAGTTAGCAGATGCAGTTCCAACTTCGGCGGATGATAAGAAGGGTCGCTTGGGTTCTCGAACTAAAGCGGGCATGCATCGGCGCAACACGCAACAGAGTCACGCATACGGCTCCATCAAACGTCGCTCAATAAAACTGAGGCAGAAGGACACAAGAGAAGTCGAAGAGTGTAAGTTAATATTTATGTCAATTACAAGTAACCTGTGGAGTGGAGTAGGAGCAACATAATGATAAATGTATGTATATATTTCTTTATTAAACTCTCCATAGTTCTAGCTTAAATGTAAGAGCACATCTCTGATTTCCTCAATACTTTTACTTCATTTGTGTACACATTTTCATTCTTCGTCATCTTTAACTTACTTCTACTCTATTACAGTTATTACTAGAAGGTCTGACTCTATACAGAGCAGAAGGAAAGTGTCCTCGCTTTCTGATAGAAGCGACACTTCAGAAGTGTATCCAGGGACAGGTAATTATATTGTATATATATTTATACTTACTTTATATAATTGTATTAAATATGTCGTATATTAAGAACCTTTGATTGACCTGATATACATGCATATTTTAAAAATACGAAATTTGAATATTTTTATGGGTTCAATAGATTATCTACCGAATCAGACGTATATGCTGCAAGTCTTCAAAATTCATATAAAAATCCATGCAAATAAGTTAGTAATCACAAAAACGTTCTTTTTTAAACCTATTATTTTTAAAATCTTATTATTCTACCTTATCTTATCCTAACTGTTCTATCACAGCACAATCGAAAAGTCTTGGTTGTAAATCCTGTGAATGTGTTTTTCTGAAATATTAATTGAAAATAATAATAACAGGTTCCTTCTTTTCCAAACCTCGAGAAACTACTAAAAATAAAATAATATTATTATCATTAACTATGTATTTATATCACTAGAATATCATAAATTACTTATGTGTTGTATTATATGATACAGATTAATTATAATGGGAAAGATTAATTCAGTGAATATATATGTGAATTTTATTTATTTAAATAAATAGACTCTCTTATTATAATTAAGCATCTACTCTCTATTACTTGTAATAAACGAGTCTATTTGTATGATATATATATATATATGTTCGTTTATAATAACACTGTTCAACAGGGGGTACAGTGATAATGCCGAATGAAGTGGATAGCGGCGGCGAGGAAAGTCCAGGAGTACTTTCGGACGACCACGACCATCCGCCTGATAGTCCGGACAGCAACTCTACAGATCCGCCGGACAACAACAAAGGATTCCCTTGGCTTAAAGTATACTTATTCTTATAATTATATTTTGTGTCTCTATGACTTTGAATTTATATATAACACTTTGTAATATAACACTTCATGTTTTAGGTAATGGTGAAATTTTTAAATTCATTCAACTATGTATGCTGCCATCAAAACTTCTGTCATCCTTATTGCTTCCAACGAAATATGCGAGCTAGTGTGAGACTAATGAAATCGGTACAGAAGGTAAATACTTTCACATTCCTTAGAGAAATATACATTTGCATTTTTATGACAAAATGACTGAATAATGCCATAATTACCTTTCAGATATATGGAGAAAAATTTGGACCGGAAGTGCATACAACTTCTTCAGAAGAGGGTGTGTGTGGAGGACGCCGCGGTCGCCGTACAAGGAAATCATCCGAGCATTGTACTGATAGGTAACATATTTACATCTATAAAGTACTAGCTGTTCCACCGCGGTTTCACCCGCGTGAAATCTATAGGGTGTGTGTTATTCTAATGTATAAGCTATATTATTTTAAGGTTTCATTTAAATCTATTTAATAGTTTTTGAATGAACAGAATTTTCATTATTTCTTTTTTTTAGTTCTGTGACAAATGGAAAGAAAAATCTTAATTTTAATTAATCTTACTTCATAATTTGGTACTTATATATTTTTGGCAACACAGTACTTACATATTGTTGCGCATTAGAAGAATAATTTATTTTGACAATCACTTCATTAACATTATCGCTCAAAACGACAAAACTTTGTGGTCACAAAGTTGTTTGTGATAGTATGTATGTCTTTGGCTCTTCTATTTTCTAACATGATTCTGCAGCTACAGATTTATTGCATGTTTATTTTATTTATACCTATTCCTTTGACTATCTTGAGCGGGGATATAATGAATCTATAAAATCATAATACATATGTAATACCAAAGTTAATATATACAGGTACCGGAGTTAGGCCACGCTAACCTGTCAAGATCAAAGTTATCGTGTTATTTAAAGGAGGAACCAAAAATCTTCTTAACCGTAGTGCATACCTGAGATGAATTATAAATGTGAATGAACCAAGAGTTCTGTCGAAGGGTAAAAGCCAATATATCTGTACATTTCCTTAAACTGTCAGGAATCAGCCATGAAAATATATGCATGTATATGGCGACCCATTTTATCTGTTCCCTGTGCTTATAGCGTAGGAATCGGCTGTGATTCCTTACGGTATAAGCACCGGGAACAAGTGTATGTATATGGTGATAGGATCGACCGGTCGGTGATCGAGAGTGCGGGTCTGGCGTACCGCGCGGCCGGCGGAGAAGGCCCACCACCCGCGGAGGCTGCGCCCGCGCCGCGCCCCGCAGCTCTCCCTTACCCGCCGCCCGACCCGCCCGCTATACTCAAGTACCTCAAGGGACAGGTCAGTTTTTAGTAATACCCCCAGAGGAGTCCCCTCCGTCGTGACCGGTTTAAAGCCCAAGATACAACCGCTCACGCAATCTTGAACACAAATCGAAACGGTAAGTTCGCTCCGTAAAGCCTGTGAAGATACCTGGGGGTTTCTGTGCTTCTGAGAGGAGCCTGGCTGACTACTTTAGTAATGTCGACTCTACACAGACTACGTCCAGATGAGAGGCTAAATGCGAAGAATGGAGTCCATATTACATTACATTATATTACCCCTAGACAATTCACACAACGCCATTTAGTCCCAGAGTAAGTAGAGCTTGTTTGTGTTATGGGTATTGGACAACTGATATAAATACTTAGATTTTTTTGTAAAAACATGCATAATATATATAGAAAATACACAAAACGATACAAATTCATTATTTTTATCGGTTTGGGTTTGTACTCATGAATACAAATGTTTGTACTGAGCGAGGAATCCCATCTGCGACTAATCGCGTGTGCAATAGGCGGTCGGCGGTCTAGAGGAAAGGCTGTGCTAATCAGATCGCCTAGGACGTCAAATGCTAGTAAATAAATAAAAGTGTTATCATGAATAGGTGCGTGACGCGTACCACACACCGCTGGCAACGCTGATAAAGGGCGCGACCACCATGAGCGAGGAGATGTTTGCAGAATGCGCCCCGGTAGCCTGGCAGCTACTACTGGAAGCTGATCGTGAGCTCAGCTCGTGCGCCGCAGCACTCTTTATACTCGTCGCGGTAAAGGCTCCGCATACTGCGTCCGAGATCATGCATAATGATTTGAAGCACGCCGAGCCTGGGGTCAGGTATGTATTCATTAACTAGTTACTAACACGCGGTGTTGACCACGTGATATAAGAATTAACTCGAATCCATTTAGCCGTTTAAAGGTGATTGAATCATACTAATATTATAGTACAAACGCGGAAGTTTGCGAATCTGAATGGATGTTACTCTTTAACGCAAAAGCTATTCAATGGATTTTAAGGAACCTTTACAATGATATAGCTTATACATATCAGAATCACACATAAGCCATAAATTTTACACGGTTGAAAAAGCGAGCAATGCTTGTTATTGATATATTTGTAATAGATATTAATCAGGCTGTAGTAACATTTTCGCCCTATGATGTCGGAATAACAATCCGCAGTATGTGATGACGGGCTGAGTTATTCATTCGATGTGATTTGTGCCCAATACTAGTATGATATTATCTATTGTCGTAATGAAATTATGATAATACTTTATATTTTTCTAATTTATTAGAATCAACGCTATACTAAGATTCCAAGTGATGTGGAAACTTCGGTACCAAGTGTGGCCTCGCATGGAAGAAGGCGCGTCTGTTACATTCAAAGTACCGCCACCGGGTATTGAGTTTACCCTTCCATCGCCAAAAATTGGTATCGAATCGCTGGCCGTCGTTGATCCTCCGTGGAGTCCTCAAGTCAAAGACAAGGATATGGAAATGACATTAAATCAAGAACGACATGTAAGTAAATGTTTGATAGTACAGACAAATTAATAATTATATTAAACAATAAAATATTTTGTATATAAAAAAAAATTAAAGACAGAAAGTTTTGTACATGTTTGGGACATATATAAATAAAATTTTCTTCAAAAAGTATGTACATTTGTACCTTTATTTATACCTATATAAATACCATACAAGTTTCTTGCCTATCCATGTTTTTTATAGAGTCATAAAAAATATAGTAGATTCTATTTGTAGTTTTTAAATTATTAGTACACAAAATAACTGTGTCAACTTCGTTCAACAGCGTTCTTTGGTGACTGCAACAAAAACTCGCAAAAAGCAGCAAACAGAAGCAATAAAACGTGCATTACAACAACGCAATGACAAAAAGAAGGCGGAACGGGAAAGTTTTCTAATCACCACTATACCCATAACGAGGCAAGCGGCACGGGAGCCCGCGCTCGACCATGCTGCTGATGATCACATAGAACGTAGGCTATATTGTTTTATGTTTTGATAATGAAGGATATGTTTCTCAAAGAGCATATATTGTATTCCATATTTTGATATAAATGTAATTTGCTATTATAGAGACTTGTACAAATTTGTTGATCTATTAATGTCTCATATCAATCAATTTTAAGTTTTTTTAGTTGTAAATATCCTTTGTATCCCCGAAATGTTGTAAGAGATTACTAGTAGAAAAAAAAATGTAGTTGGGAAACACTCCAAATATATTAAGGCACAAGAGGAAAAACTCTACATAAAACAGTATACCATCTCGTCGAGCCTTTAATTTAATTGAAGTAGGCATTTTACTAATTATAATTCTAAGGCAACTGCCTCAAAAAAATAATTTAATTTTATAGCACCAGCTGATGAAGAGATGGCGGAAGGTGTACGAGGTTCACATCACACGCAAGTTGCATCGGCCCTATTTCCATCTACTTTATGCTCTGCCGTAGCTGAAATAGTATCCTTATTGGATGATGCTGCAGTCTCACGGGATGGTTGCTCTGTATATGAAGTCGCATATCAGGTAAAATCGTGGTCCTTCGATATGTTAGGTAGTTTTTACATATCTAATATTATGTATAGCAGCTGCAAACGTAAAATAATCATTATAAACTAAAGTTTCTTTCAACCGTTTTCAAAATTGATAAACTCAAAATGAATTACTTTTATGTGTATGGTGACGCGATATCTGCACAAGTTACATATGAATTGTAATGATGCATACAATGATCTATATAGAGACTAAAAATTGTTTTTTCTTTTTTTAACATTTAGGTATTTTTTGTGCATGCACACTTTCTGGATGGTCTTATATTAAATTGTTACTATTATAAACATTGCTCTCCAGGTGATATGGGGTTGCCTGGTAGAAGACTCTGCCCTGTTCCTTCGTCATGTACTGGAGCGTCTAACTCGTGACCATCAAGATGAGATGTTCAAACTGTTGCGTCATCTGATACGGTTCATACCGCGACTACCGCAGCAGGCCGCTTTCGCTCTGTACAATTACATAATAGGATATGTCATGTTCTACGTGAGATCCCCTCATGAAGACGGACAAAGGCTTGTTGGTGCTGCGTTATCTATACTATGGATGGTAAGTATTTTTTATTACTAACTTTAAAATAACTACAGAATAAATTAATATTGCTTATTTGGAACATGTTGATAAAATAATCAATTTAAAAGTATTCATTGGACATAAAACGTTGGAGATTGACCTATGTGCGGGAAGTGCAGTATATTTCAATTATTTTGCTGTTTTTGCCTAATGCTATAGACAATTAGCGTAGCGTACGTCATTATTAATATTTATTATATACATTATCCATTTTTCATAAAATTCTTTTTTAATAAGCTATTACACTTTTTATACTGTCTATTATTATTTTTAGGTCGTACACAGCGTCCATGGTATTATGTTCAAAGATCTAAAACAAATACTTAGAAAAGAGCAGTGTGATGCTTCCATTCTACTGACTGCAAATGTACCAGCAGCTAAGAAAATTATTGTGCATGGACCAGGTGAGTTTCAGACATCAGTATGAACAATATCGAATATAATAATGATTAAGGGTTACATAAATATCATGTGATCCTGCCTGTTTCAGCTGATAATGAAGGCAGCATCCCCTCCCAATTTCCAGTACAAGAGGACACGGTGTTCTCTCAGATACTGAAAGAATCGTTGGATTTCTTCAGCATTCCTGAGAATTTACACCGCGAACATTTTCTTGTCGATTTTAAAACGCGTAAGTTTATTTAGTTAAATAATTATGTATTTGTATATTATTAATATTATAATAATTTTGTGTTATAATACTATTTATTTTTATGTTATTCAGGTCAAATACATAATCCACAGAGCTACGTGCGCGATCATTATTTCTTCAAACGTTCGCAATACCCACAACTTGGGCTCGTACATATGGAACCCGGAGAAGCTTTTCACAAACTTCAAAAGCAGGAGTTGTTACAGAAATTTGTAGAGATCGGCAAAGTATTACTTACTTGGGCAATCCTCAAAAACGTTGACATGGTATGTGTAATGCAAAATTATAGAAATTAAGTTTGTAAAATTGATCATATGAAGTATGCTTCACAAACCAAATACACAAATTAATCGCATTTTCATGTAAAGAATGACATTATGATCCTAGTACTTCTAGCATTCTATTCTGAACTGATTAGTAATGATTTGTGCAATTAAGAGATTTATCAGTTTTGTTTTGAAACTTGCGCTAAACTCTAACCGAATTAGCAATGAGCTACAACATATGGTTAATTATATGGCGTCAAATTCGTGTCTCTTGACGACCAAATTCATAAGTAAGTGTTAAGAATATTTTAAATTTTGATTGTAACATTTTACATAAATTTAAATAGATGACTAACTTAAATTACTACTAAAAATATCTATAACGTTAGTACTCAAACTACATAGATGAAACATAGTCTTGGGAGATAGGACCGCAGGTGCTAAAAATATAATTATTATTCAAAAAATTATACATTACAAATTAACTAATTTAAATAATAATAATTATACTGTAGTCATTTATTCTATTTTCACTATGATTTTATATTTTAGGTGGTACAAAGGGTGGTATTCTTACATGATGAACTTATGAAACTACCGTCGTTTCCACGTAAAGCGCTTGAAGTCGATTTAGCGTTATACAGTGGTGGAGAACTCGGTACTCTTTTATTGGGTCTAGATGTTCTACACAAATTTATGTAAGTTTTGCATAATGAATATGTATGCTATATTCCTTATAAGATAAGCATAGAGAGCTTCTTACTTGTGCAAGAATAATTAGTACCAATTTCTACATTTTTAAACATTTAAGCCATTGGTTTTACTTAAGTCTTGATATATTCTGAACAATAAATTTCAAACAGTATAGCTATTTCTTTGTTTTGAATAGTGGCTCCAATTAAAATCAGCACTGCAGTCACACGCTGCAGCACCAGCTGAGTAGTGGCCCTTTCAATTTATAGCGCAATATTAGTTTTTAAGCTCTTTTACATTTTTCGTGCTGTATTATACTATGCTAAATCAATGATTATTATTATTATTATTATAAATATGTTATTATATCAATTAACTACGTGTATATTATTGTCATCAAAAAAATATATATTCAAATAATTTTAAATAGTTATCCCTAATAACAGATTCTATTAAAGATCACTAAAGTGATTAACATGTTATGTATTCAGGTGGGTGCGTCTTATAGCTCGTATGTTCGAAGCTATGGCTGGCAACTTCACGTCCTCTCGAGATATCCACTTGTTTTTGAACGTTCTGAATGGTGCACTGATGTTGCACAGTGAAGATTCATTGATACTTAGATATGTGATCGCTACATACGTCAATGCTGCCTTTAACTTTAAGAGCATATTCTCAACTAATGGGTATGTATTTTGGGACAGATAATTTGCTATATTTTTATTATAATCATTATTATCGTGTCACTATATAAAAAGTAAGTACAATACGCATACATGTTATGACATATCCTCTCACTAATACAAAGTCTTAATATTTTCATCATCTCTTAATATTTTATTACTAGTATATTAGTGAGACAAGTTCCCCTCTATATATGCCAAGAATATGGTTCCATATCATTTTAACACATTTATTAAACGACTACTACTACTACTACTAATTATTATTATTGAACACTACAGGTATAAATGTAGTGATTTAATGTGTAATTATCTTATTTCAGCTACTTACTTATAATGCCCACATTACTCCAAATATACTCAAACTTCCAAACAAACAAATTGGTCACCACAACTATCGAATATGCGGTAAAACAGTTTTACTTATTGAATAGGAAACCATTTATTCTTCAAATGTTTGGATCTGTATCTGCCATACTAGATACAGATGAAGAATCCACATATGGAGATGCTAGCAAAGTGAGTGTTGAATATTATTTTTATCTGAATACAGTATATTAATGTATTTTATTGACATGTATATTTAAGTATATCTATACCTAAATGAGCACGGTACAATTTCAACGGTATCTATTTTCTGACTACATAGTCAAAAGATATAAAGCAACAAATTATTCCTAATACTTTGCCGCTGATCTAATCTAATATCTTATTTATATATAATAATATTCCAAAGCAGTTTATTATTAAGAATTTAGATGTCAATAAATTATTTCTCAATAATCGCTTAAACTTAAAGAAAAAGGAATTTGTAGCTTATATAGGCAATAGTATATTTAGAATAGAATTATCTCAAAAGCTTAAAATTCCAGGTGCAATCAAGCTGCCTATTTAATCTCTTACTAAGTCTGGAGACTCCATCCCCGGATCCTCTGCATATTGCTGAACTAATTAAAGAGGAAAAACCATTGAAGCCAATTGATTTTTGCTACCGCGATGAAGAGGAAATGGTCAACGTGCTGGATTGCATCAGCTTATGCGTAATGGTGGTGTCGTACTCTGCTGAGAGTATGAGAGGATATCAAATGCTTGTGAGTATTAATAGCACCAAACTTTCTTTAGCATATAAAGTTAAGCTATATTTAATGAAAATAAACTAAATCCTTTAGCCATTTTTGCCCTGTCACTATTTTACAAATTTATTCAATGTAAAGAAAAAAGAAAAACAAGATAATACTATAAAACATACCGCCATGACTGTTATCCCAGATAATATAGTCAGAGGCATTATCAACAATGTAGTGGTGAACTCAACAGTGACATGTCCACATTTTGCTCGGGTTATTTTTGAATTCAATGTGCCAGAGGGCGCACTTATCGTCATCGCTCGGATTATTTTTTTGGTTTGATATCCGTATTTCGTTTACCTTTTTGTTTCATCCAGATTTGAACTCACTACCACACAACACAAAGGCCACAATGCTCGCTATTAAATGCACTACTTACTACGAAATCCTAGCCTCGAATCTCTATAGCTTAGAATAAATTGAATTATTTATTTCATCATTCAGATTATCCTGGAAGCAATATTGCCTTGCTACGTGAAACAGATACAGTTGCCATCATACAACAGAGAAGGGAAAACAGAAAAAGAGATAATTCAACAACTAGCCATTGCAATAAAAACACTTGTAAATAACTGCGAGGGATTGTCGAAGTAAGTATTTTACAATATCCAATTTCGTATAATACTTATATTAAAAGAAAACCCCCCGGTCTATATTGTGGCGATCATCTTAAAAACTACTGAACAGATCATCATGCGGATATCATTCATCAACAGAATGATGTCTGGGAAACATTAGGTGTATAATCCGTTAAGATTTTGTGTAAATTAATGAAATATCCTATTATACCGGAGCTAGTTAAATACTTTACAAAATTGACAAACGAATATGTTTGTAGATTCGTTTACGCTAAATGAATGCAATATCAGGTGATTCGTTCTTCCTCATGTAAGTAGGTTTACAACTAGTTTTAACTACTTGTCTAATGTATTCAAACTATCTGGTCTAGATTTTGTAAATTTTACTATTAATTATTTTTAGGTCTTACAATGGTCCCTACAGGACCTCTCCAGAACATAAAGGCTCATCGCAACGAGCCGGACCGCGTTCCACTGCTGCCACTATTATTGGCTTCGAGGAATCGCACTCGAAGTTCGACAACAAAATCCCTGTCCCAGAGTATACTGGCGCTGAAGATTCAGAGGTATACCTTTACGAAAATGAAAATATTTTATTTTTATTTATTTATTTTATTTATTTATTTAGGAAGATTAACGGTGTAATTTTACATGTTACTTGTCATATAGAATTGTCCTATGCCAATTAATAATCTTCGCCAATAGTATTACCAGATTAAATTTTTCATTAGCCAATTTTAACATATTGAAGTAATCACGTGACAGTGTTTCAGTTGTAGTTATACAGTACAAGTACATAAATAGACCAACATACCCACAAGTAGCGATGTATCCACAGAATACACAAATAAAGTACGGCTATGTACCGTTAAAGAATTTGTTACATATGAGTTTCCTAACTGAGGCAGTGCTGGAACAAAACAGGTCAATATCATGTGGTACTTGGTTAAAAGATTTATGCTCGTAAAACGAAAGTGTTCTCTCTGTATCTGGTCCTGACTGTAGGGACACTTAATATGTAATATAAAATATACTTCTATAAATATAACTTGTGAAGATACCGGGACGCTTTTGCGCTTCTGGGTGGACTTATACTGGCTACTTTAGCAGTCTCCGCTCTATTCACACATCGGCTCAAATGCGAGATTAAGTGCGATGATATGAATATCACCTTAGTGATTTGATTTTTTATATACCTACATTTATTGTGGAGTAATCATTACAAAGTTTAAATCGTATTAATTTTAAAGTTGCAAATAGTTATTTGCATTTTAGAAATGTGTGAGGTATAAACAACTTCTAAAATAACTTACTACATCATAATTTTCGTGTCTCTATTACCAAATCTTGTCTTCTACATTCAGCAAGTGCAAATATAATGGTACTATGTACAGTACTGTAGTATTACTTTTTGAACAATAAAGTATATCTTTATTCAGTTACCACAGGGATAATATAGTAACAGCTTAAAAATAATTACCATACAGCTGGTACGCGCGGAGTACCGTCGTCCGCGCGATGTGCTTCTGTCGCTGGTGGGCGAGTTCATCGGCCGCGCCACCGCTCGCCTGCTCGATCTCAACGGGTCCAAAGGCAGCGGAGGCAGCGAGGGCAAGCCAGTCGAACTGTTGGATTGCAAGTCACATGCGGTGGGATTTCTTTTCTAAGCCGGCACCAACAAATAAACAGTCATTCTCAAGAATCAATTCTTTATACCGTTCGAGGAATCGAACCCGTGACCATCGGAGGTATGGTGGTGTGTTACACCACTAAACCACTGAGACCGTAGTAGGTAGGGTCTATAGATACCTATAATTAAAATGTGGCTGATCGCCCTGTGGCTGATTTGCACTTGGATGATATATGAGAGAAAATATTATTGGAGGGCATTACCAAAACAATGATTGTTAGAATTTTAGTCTATGTGTCTGTGCTCGGTAATCTCTGAAGTGGCCTTAACCCATTTTGGTGTAGTTTTCTATAATCTATTATGTTAAGTTTCACATAATCCTTAGTGTTTGTTATAATCCAATCGCTTAACAAACATAAAGCCACGTATGGGTACGAAGTAGCTGGTTCTGCTAGTAAGGAATATTTCTAGTTCTGGTCTATTTTGCCACTACCAGAAAGAAACATTTTCAATTTTTTGAAGATATAGTAAATACTTCACCATTTAGTATGTAATAGTAGATACACATTTTTTTTATGTTTTCATCTAGCGTTTGGCGGAGATCGCACACTCGTTACTAAAAGTGTCCCCTTATGACCCGGAATCCATGGGATGCCGAGGTCTTCAGCGGTATATGACGCAAGTGTTGCCCGCCGGTGACTGGGCTGATGACGCTCTTCGACCCGCCCTGATAATGATTCTACGCAGATTGGACAAAGTCTTTTTGAAGATAGCTAAGAAGCCTAGCATAAGGGTGACTAAATTTGTTTATATTTTATACATAGTATATTATGACTCCATTAATTTCTGACGTCATAAACAAACACACACTAACGCACGCTTGCTCGCACGCACACACGCATGCACACGAATAAGGACACACTACTGAATACTCCTACTGACTGCCTCTTTAAAGTATGTCATCCATTTTAAAACAAGATACTCTGCTTCATTTTCAGAGAAATACGGATTGGGATTCAGCAGCAGTATTGTTGAAAGGTGTATATGAAACAATGATAAGGTGTCCCTACATTATGCACTGGCAGCAAGTCAAAACACTTCTCAATACAGTACAAGTATGCATATTGTGTGATAAAAGTGAAATTTTTAGTGCCTAAGTTTATTAATATGTACAAAAAAAGTATATAAAAAAATACTTTATACTGCCAGGCGCTGATTGTATCGGAGAACAACAGTGGTGAAAATCTATCATCCGCTACAGCAGCTTTGATGTCCCAACCGCCTCCACCGCACTTCTGCAGCACTGTCGTTAGACTCATCGCTTTACAAGTTATTAACACAGGGGTAATTTAAATTATTCCTACTAATTTAAAGGTTTCTACACATTGCATGGTAATGTGCGAAAATCTTACTTTCTTCAGTTTGTACTAACATAATATTTATTAATTTATTTTAAAACTACAAAGGTCTTCAAAATCGATTGCAGGATAGTTATTCATTGGAACAGATGTGCGGAGGCAGCGCAATATTCCCAACCGCAGAAAAGACAGAAAACATGCTAATGAATTTGTTTATGCCACTTTGTTTACGAGTTGGCAGCGGTAGAAAAGGTAAGTTTAAGACTGTAATATAAATCATGTTATGAATATTGTATGGCTGTGCCTAATATATGAGTAATATAAGGATAGAAAACGCTGTTTAAATAATAAACTACAAATTATTTTTTGACACATTTATTGTAATAATAATAAAGACATTTATTCAGCATTACAGTATTCTTAGATGCTATCTATCTTATATACTATACAACTTAAAAGCTAAAAGCTAAAACATTTGACGAAAGCACGAATGACTGCTTGTTTAAGTAGATGTATGTGTATATGTAAAGGCAGCTAATGACGTGTTTAAGTCGATGTCCTTGTACGCAGACGTTCCACCGCTGCGTCAGTCGGACGTGTCGTACTTGGTGTCGGTGGTACTGAGTGCGTTGTGTCCGCCGGCGCCGGCTGCTCAATTGGCAGCTGTTAACGCGAAGCTTAACGCGGCCGATGCCCGCGCTAACTCGCTCACCTTCACCGGCAGCCGGGACATCAGAAACACCTCGCGCCTCTCAAACCACACCTACAGGATCGCCTTCCTTGGTAATTACATATTCACTAAGCATAAAATAAATATTTGAGATCAAGCACAGCACATTAATCTTAAGATGCGGCAACGCATACGTGATAACTTTAGTGGTTCAAATGTCCACAGGCTATAGTAACCGTTTATTTTCATTTATTTATTCAGGGCAACAACACCTTACATTATTGCTGCTACTTGACAATTTGCTGGCGTGCAATATCTAACAATATCACACATTACGAATGCATAACAATGAATATAAGAAATAACAAAATACGAAGGACAAACTATTCATGAATATAGGTCTTTTTTCCATCTTCTCTAATGCTGTTGGCCGCCGCTGGCCTACAACTACACCGAACTGTAGTGGGCGAATGCAGATAGCACTCCAAACCTGCGGAAGGACTTATGGACTGGTTAACCCCTGTCTGACGCGTACCCTTTAGGGTAAGGGCGTGCCCTTATACTAAAGGCGTGTCAGATAGAGCGGCTTGAGTCGAGATTTAAATTGGACGAGGGATCAATCGGAAATAGGTGTTGGGTGCGTTGGTTGCTTATGAGTTTGTTTAGTTTATAGTATAAATCTGTTATTTAAAACAGTAACAACCCTACCGGTTATGTAGCTTTGAAGGTGCTGTGCGCGTGCTTCACGAGCGAGCTGTGCTGTGAGTGGGGCCGCATCGCCCGCGCCATGCGCGACCTCGGCCGCCGCAACGAGGCAGCACACCACCTGTGGGACTTCCTCGAGCACGTCGTCACCTACCGCACGCCGCTCTACATCCTGTTGCAGCCCTTCATCGTGCACAAGGTAACGTCACCTGCCGCATGACGCTTAAAATTATTTATTATATTATACAGTTAAACGTGCAGTGTAACAAAACCGGCTCGAAGGACGATTTAGATGTTCCTAAAAGGAGCTGGATTTTTTTCTAAAACAGATATCCTCGAGCCGATCCAATGCTGTGATAGAATAGATTATTACCGACCCACATTAATACACGAGCGTTATCAAATATTTGCAGAGAAATCGTCAGCGTTACCGCGGTCCATCATCTACTCAGTTTGTGAATACCTGTTTGTACGTACAGCTGTCGCAGCCGCCGATTGGCGACAACGAACGACACATGCAGTTCGTGGTGCGGGAACGCGTGCGTGGATTGAAGCTGCCGGCGGCTCGAGCCCGCGGCGCACTGCTCGCCGAACTAGCGCGGGAGCTACGCACCATGCGCGATACTCATGACCAGTATAAGTTCGGTAAGTACATGCTATCATATATCATCTTACAGCATATCTTCTCGTTACAGCCCTAATATCCTTAGTCCTTTGATAGTAATGTTTCTTACTTAGTGTTAATCGTTGTCTGCAAAAAATATCGTCTTTTCTGTAACGTATTGAGACAAAGTCTAAATCATTGTGATTACACAGAACAAATAGCCGAGAGCCTGGGCCAGGCGGCCGGTGGCGGCGGCGGCAAGCGAGCGTCGGAGGTGTTCGGACGGTCGGCGGCCATGCAGGAGAAGCACCAGCAGCACCGACCCTCGCTCATCTCCATGCTGGTGGGGCGCGGCGGAGCCCTGCCTCGCACGCCCGACCACCCGTCCGCGCCGCTCTCCGCACAGAGAGGTCACATGCTTTCACAGAATAGAATTGAAAATTCGTTATTCTAATAATACTTCAGTTTAAGCAGTTTTGGCTGAACACACTATTTCATTTAATCTGCCGCTCATTCGGAAACCTGTCTTATCTCCTGAAGAACGAGCAGTAAAGGATAGAATAGAATTTAATTTATTGAAATAAACTTACATTGAAGCACTTTTAAACAATCATCACGTTTTTTTAATCTGTCACTCATTCGGAAAACTGTCTCATCACAAGAAAAACGAGCAAGAAACTTGCATGTTGATAATTATTGTAACTTAAATTCTTAAGTTGAAATGTGGGAATAGGGTACAAACTAGCAATTAGCACTAATACATTAAAGTCATAATATTAAATACACAATGACAGGTTAAGTACCTAAAATGATTAAATCAGTTGTAGTGATTAGAGAAGAGCAGTATTCCGACATGCAGTAATAAGCAGCAAAGCTGTAGAGAAAACTACTCTAGTAAAAATGCCGTTTAAGTAAAAGTATGAGATGTAGCCAATGCAATAGATGATAACATTTACTTTTCTCGCAGAATCCCTATCTAGCAGTTCTACTACAAGTCAGCACATGCCCACATTCGAGGTGGCCATCAATAGCGGCAGTGGTCGACTCAGTGATACCAGTAATGTCAACAATTCTCACATAGGTAATAATGTTATGTAACTATTGCATGTCTTTGCTAATACTTTTTATGAAAACTAGCTAATCTGAAACTACCTGGTATTACAAAAATAACATTTTTTTAATTAATAAACACAGTCGAAATTTCAATTTCGTATAAATTGAGTCATGTGATATCGACTATTAGAAGTACAAAAATTATACTAATATTTCTACTATATATATTGTCACACTTTATTATATTTCTTGAATAATAATTAATTGGATTCATTCTAATCACAGGGTCTAATAATTATGGTAGTGACAGACCACTAGTTGGTACGCCGTCTTACGGAAATAATCAAGCAAGATTACGCTTCGTACCATCAGTCGAATTCAAATTTACTACAGGTAACTGAATATATCATATTGAGAATTTTAAACAAATTATCAATTAAAAAAAACCTTGACTATAATCTTCTTCTCTATGTTACCTTTGTGTAGTGAAATTATAAAGACAAAACAATTCACAATAACAATTTTAATATCCTATATAAAGCTATTAATATAGATTAAGTACGTAGTAATTAGTATTACATTAAGTAAGTAGTAAATTTAAATAATACTTTGACCTGTTCACTTGCCTTTATATGCATTGATGTCGAATTTCATAACTATTAACATATTTTGTGAACGACCTTCATTTGTATTAATATATTGAGAATTAGTGTTAAAATGTAAGCCTTGTTTTCCTATAATAAATATTAAGTCGCTGTCTCCCTGTAGTACACACACACACACACACACACACACATTCAGACGGACAGTTACCGTTAAACTGTTCTATAATTACTGGGGTTGGAAACTCCAGACACATTAATTTATATATGAACAGGTGAGACATCAATAAGCCCGTTGTCCCCACTGTCGGGTGAAGCGAGCGTTGCGGTGCGCGCAGAAGCGGAGGCGGAAGCGGAAGCGACAGCCACTCCCACTGACAGTCCCGACGTCAGCGAACGACCGCGACTGCAACGCGCCCAGGGACCTTCTAAGAAAACATTCAAATTCCGCCGCAGTAGACATGCCAAGCCCGATGTATGTTGAACACATTAGTTATCAAAGCTTATTCAAGGAAATTGTAATAGTTGTAAGCTTTTAAACTATATCTCACAGCTTAAGTACTTAAATTGATAATGTTCTCTATACATTTTGTATTTATTATATTTTGAATACCACTTTCTAGATGTAACTATACTTTAATACATCCTCCTTTATATATAAAGTAAATGAATATATAATGACATTTCTCTGGAGCCGAATGCTAAGAAGACTTTCTTTGCTCCGGCTTAAACTACAGAGATAACAATAGTTTTCTAGATCTTTATAGTGTCTGTTTTTAATTCTATAATTAAATGGTTATACCTATACATTAATGGCACTGGTCTTCTGGTGGTAGGTTGGGGCCTCGGGAGAGCCCTTTACTCCCGTAATGACTAGAGGCAAAAACCTCCGGGTATATAGATTGCCAGCCTTTTGGGCGGGTTTCTAAAACAAACTTAAATTTTAAAATATAGTCAGAGATTTTAAAAAAGTATCCGATCTTATCCTTATTCTAACTTATTTCTGTTTTATTTCTTTGTTTTGTTTTTTTATATACGCTACCTATACCTATACGCTAAAGGAAATAAACATTTGTCTATGATCTAAAATGTAAAATTTCGATGACAGGTGTCCCATGTGCGATTGGAGTCGGATGAATGCTCATCACCCGGGGCGGATGGCGGCGATGGTGCAGACGTGACACCACTGCGGCGCGTGTGCGTGTGGCCGCAACCGTTACTGCAACCGACCAACGTGCACACCGACACGTCGTACGACAGCGAAATATCGCAGACTTCCTCCACCTCCGGATACAGGCTAGCATTACCACACAAATATCTTTAAATCTATTCTAATTGATCTAATTCTAATTTTCTTCTAAGGAGGAACTAATTTTGTATGTGTTCTATCTTACAATTATATTCGATTCGGTTTGGATTGCTTTCACCTGTCTTGGCTATTCGTTTATTGAGAATTCGAGTTAATTTGTGGTTTATGTAACTTGGGTTTGTGTGGATCATTAAATAATTTAACTTTCATTACTTGTATAAAATAATACTCATTAGAATATCGTCTATTGAGAAGCCAAACAAATACTATTTTTTAACATTTATAATCGTATCAAATCAATATCAAATGTTGAAAGTAATATTAAACAAAAAAAAATTGAGTATAAATTAATATATATTTATCCACATTAAAAAAAGGAATAATCCTCTTATGTAGTTATTTTCTGAATGTCAATTAATTGGGAACCTAATAAATAGTAAACCTAATAACATAGCATTATTAACCTATTGAAATAAATATTTATTCTTAGTTTGGATGACATCGTAATATTGTGGTATAAATAAAAAGAGAGTGCGTGTTTTGCGGTGTGCAGGGAGAGCTACAGCTTGCAGGCGTCGATGACGGAGTCCCCGGGCGGGTCGCTGCGGTCGCGGGCGGGCGCGGGGGCCGCGGGGGCTGCGCTCGCGTCCCCGGAGGCCCGCAGCGGCAGCGCCACGCCGCACGCCAGCCCCGACGGTAAACACGCCTTCGTATGTACCGCACATTATAACACTACCGACTACCCTCTCTACCCGACTCTACTCTGCTCTACTACCTGCCGTTTAGGGCTCAATTTGGAGTGCAATGTGCCGCCCGTCGCGTGCCAATATTGACGTATCCATTTAGTGTTTAAATATACTACACAGTTAGTGTAGATTTTATGTTTTAATTTCAATTGGAAGAACGATTCCATAGTCAAGTAATTTTTTAAAGTCATCTTAGTCCTTTTTTCCAGATGTAGACTTTGTACAGTCTGCGTGGGTACCTCTATCTCGTCCATTCTAGACTACAAGTATTATATATTTCTTTCATTTATGTGTATGTTTTGCTGAAAGGCTATACACGGTATTGAAATTACAATAAGCGCAGACATGAAACCTTAGTTCTCTGAATAGCAACTCATGTAAGGCACCATTTCCCTCACAAGTTGCTTACTCTATGTATATAGCGATGATTACCACTTACAATCGGTAGAGATTATTTATCCCGTCTTACGACGTTTGATACGGCCTACACACGACACTAAAATTAAAGCAAATTTCGAGCAACGCATCCTAAATCGCTGCTGTAGTGAAGTTATGGTCGAATTCTCAGTGTCCCCGCCGAGGTTTCACACCAATACTGCTTCGATATTTACGTCATGTGTAGGCCGTTTAACTTAAATAAAACACGGTAAACCTATTTTCTATTTTGACACGCTTTTGACTGTTTATTACGCTCTAAAATGGCCCTAATATGCCTCCTTTCACTCACTAACACTTGGCTTGCTTCTTCTATTTTCTTCACTTGCCTTTCTAGATATATTTCGGACTCTAATAATTGTATTCTTATTTTTAGTAATATGTGCAAAAATTTTTATTAGAAACAAATTAATTTCAAAATATTGTTTTTACAAATGAGTCATGGTTGTGTTTTCATGTAGGTTCAATAAATATCTTTAATATTAAAATAGCAAAGGATTTGTAAAATACAAATGTCTTTCCATATTGTTATCACTATCTACTTTAAATTGCCACATTTAAATTAATGCTGAACAATATTTTATATTCTTGTTCTCAAGATATGTATGTTTCCTTAAAAAATATGTATTGGGACATTAAGCTATTTCATGAACCTAACCTTTAGTATTTCATTCACTATTAAACAATTTTTGACAATATAGAAACACTTATACCTGCCCTTTATCTGTAATGATTATTAGTTTACTTAAATTGAATGAAATTTAAATCTGTGACAGTAGCTCTGTTAGAGATGGCAAGCAAAATATGTTAAACAGTAAGTTATATAATTTGTATGCAGCATCTCTAAGCTGCGACTCAGCAACATCCTCGGCGGAACGGACCGCGCTGCTTGGAGCTGCCAGCCAACGCTCCTTACTGGGCAGCGATCTTCGCGATGAAGACACTCTACTTTAAAACTACAAATGTAATTCCACTTTGACAACAGCCAATTTAGCTGTGGATGGAACTATTAATAAAATAGATCATACCTACTGGTATTGCATTATTATAATCCTAGCTAAAAATATACTACTTCTATTCCTGATACTTTTAAGGATTAAAAATTACTAAACATATTGTAATAGTAATCAATGTATTAACATGTAGCCATCCATAATTAAAAAGATCAAAAATTGTAGTGTTGATAGTTCTTGTAGCTACTTCTCGACCTTAGATAGTTCCACCAGTTTGCACTATAACTATTATTAATTGTCATTATTATGATGAACATAACATGTCCACATATAGTGTAAGGTAAAACGTTATCTATAAAAATGAATGTTAATTTATTAATAAAAACACAAAGAGAAATATATTTCTCGTAGTGTCTAGCCAAAAATGTGATAATTTCAATTTATAGATTTTATTCATTGTTTGTGGTAATTGACAAATTTAATAAAAGTAATGTTTTAGTATTTTGTTTTTTATTACAAATAAATTAAAGCCAATTATAAACCAAATAAGTATTAAATTATTATCACAATCATGCTTCTTTACATAATAAAAAAGGTTGTATGGCAATTTGAACATCAGGATCTAGAGGAATTTCATGTATGTACTTGGAAAAGGTAATAACTATTTTATAAATGCTTCTCTTTACTGTTGAGATCAGTGCAGTTCGAATTTTAATTGCAATTGCATCATTGAGAATGTGCTTCCTGGGTATAAGTCCAGGTTTCATCAGTTTATCTAAACTTAGTTTGAGATTTATCAACTTAGTCATAATTGTAGGTAGATCATTCTGCACTACTCCATATTTATCCTCTGTCAATGATGCTGCTACTATAACAGCCAAACCTTCACAGGTCCACATAACTGGTTGTGCTTGCAACAGTAAATATTTCAATTTGGTATCGCTAAGTTCACCAAAAAAGTAATTTATGCCAGGTTTTTGACATAGTTTATGGAGCATTGTATTGCACTCTTCCTTCACAGAATTAACAAAAGTATCATTGACTGTGTTTTTATTATGATCTTTCATTTCCAAAAGTTGAGGTGACTGCGCCATATTCCTCAAGTTATTTGTATACAAAGCAGATTTAGGGCTAAAACTGAGCTGTGTTCTTTGGCCAGTATTATCAATATCTACTGGTTTACTGTCACCATTCAGGCATTCTATTTCTTTTGTAAACTCATTTATTATATCCAAACACTTCACCAGCAAGTTATTCCAGTTACGTGGGTGACCACCAGGCAAAGAAAGTGTGAAGATTTGCAATCTTCGTGCAGGATCACACATGGACATCATTCTTAAATCTTGAGCACCCAAGTAACCATTAAACTGTGATTTCTGGGCTAAAGCATTATGTAATGTCAGGCCACTATCAGACTCAATGGGGAATTTCATTGGCTCCGTAAGGACAATATTAAAAACAGTTTTCATAATATACACAGAAATAAAAAACAAGCTTGTGTAAAACCACAGGCCAATCCAAATGCCTGATTTGCTTAGATTAAATGTATTATCTAGTGGTGGATCTTCAAGGTAAAGACTGTAGACATCAGATACTACAGATCTTAGTTTATTGCCCCACAAAATATAAAAGAGGCAATAATAAGCAACAGGCATAACAGAATTCTTAAATCCTGAAGTTAATATATTGCTAATCGCCAGCTTAATCTGTTGAAATTTATCTTGGTAAACATGTGAAAACAGAGGAATTGTGGGGTGAAATATATGTGAATTTAAAAAATAGTATATTCCTATCCACATACCACCAAATTGTAGATATAAACTTTGTTCTATAAGACATTGCCCATCATAATGATCACATTTCTTTTTAAGTGTGTTAAAATTACTTTTTGCTAATGAAGAATACAAGCTCATTGCAAAATACCCACTCAAGGCATACAGTATACTAAAAGTAACATTTTGTAATGAAAATATATTCAAAAACATAGAAAACCGAGTGAAATACTTCGGTAAGGGTATCATGTAATAACTGCCGTAGATATACGCTTGAAAAAATGAAACAAGTCCAAGAAGCACAATGTTAAGTCCCATTCGCCAGCCAATCACTTCAGAAAAAGCTCTTGAGAACCATGTTATCGGGTGAATTAAATCAGTTTCTATAATTAAGATTAACAGCATAGCAAGTAATGATTGTAATCCGATGTTCCACAAAACTGCGACTACCAGTCTCTGAGAGAAAATCTCACTTTTAGGTTCCATGATATAGGGTTTGTCACAAAATTTGTGAGGTTATAAATTAGACTAAGAAAATATCACAACACAGTTACATGTTATTTAAGATCGTCTAAGGTAAACTGTAATTTCAAAGGAGTACTATATTGATTGAAAAACGATATTACTATACAGACTTTAATTACTAAAATAGAATTAAAATTCTTCTCTATATGTCAACGGTCAACATTTGAACGAATTGTGGAATTGTCAAATACTAATAGTGATGCTCGATATGAATCGATATTCAACAAACATCGATATTTTGGAATCCATTTTAAGTTCTCGATAATAAAGTTAATGTTATAAAAATAATAATATCAAAACAACGCTGGACTTTACAAAAATGCAGGAACAGAGAAGTACGTCGCAAAAAAAGTAGCTATTATCATGTGCCGGCTGTGAATAAATAATGCATTGTCATTAAGTTTTTGTGATCTATAATTTCCAATCCGGTAGACTAAGATAACGAGTCTCTGTAGTCTGTAGTTTCATTTGTTTTATTTAACATTACCAGATAAAATACATTTAACTTATAAAATATGCTGCCTGTAAATAGTCATTACGCACGGGATCCTAACCGTAGCCCACAGGGGCGTCCTTCCATAAACTTGTTCCTGACTACGTGACAACAAATAGCCATAAAATAACAGTACCCACTAACCTGCAATCCAATTCAGAGCACTGTAAAAGAACAATGGACACACCGGGTTCAAACAGAAGAAGACGTTCGAATAGCAGGAATTCAGAGACAGGCTCTTGCGGAATATTACGAACTCCACTCGCGAAATATTTACTATTAAAAATTAACACTGGCGGTATCTTTATCTAAGAGCTATTTACCAGAACTGTTCAATGACCCCTGTAGATAAATATTTATTTTATACAAGAAAACCGATGCCAAATGTTTAAAATTTATGACATTAATAATTCATTTTATATTTAAGTGAAAGTGCACTTTGTTAGTGTTTAGTTACATATTTATTTCGTAATTTTAGTGCGTAACTCGACAGAAGTATTTAGCCACTAGGTGACCGCTAGATTATAAATATCTAAAATCTATCAGTCAAGGAAACTATTAAGTATGTGAAATTTAAAATTGGTATTTAAACCGTTCAATCACTGCCTATATCATTTCTATTGATTACCAAATAGTTACGGTGTAAATATCAAATTTTCAAATAATGTTTAATAGCGCGTAGCACTGTGTCTGCTAATCTGATTTGTTAAATCGTATTCTTTTATTTTAAACTTTAGTTTTAAAGGTTTATATTTACGCAATTTCCACTGCTAATTTTCAAATAGATAAATAGTTTTATAAATAAGCAGTTAAGCTCTGTTTTGGTGAAATATAAGTTAATAATAAAAATATATTTTAATACGACAACCCTATATTTATTAATACCTATTCTTTATTAATTTTGTGTGAATGAACACCCACATATTTTTTTAGTGTAACCGATATAAAACGGTTACTAATGTTAATTACGATTGGACGCGGTACTATTTAAAAATCGCAAAAAGTTATCAATATAAGTAATATAAAATTGGTCTCTTAATAAAAAAAAACTGACTATGGGATACTTATTTTTAAGATTCCGATACTTACAAATGATTAGAAGAAATATTTGTTTTATTGTGAAGAATTGTTTGGTATGATATAAATGTCGCTGTCTTCTACGATGGCTATGTAGTCTGTGGAGTAAACATAATTTTAGTATACTATCTATGGAATAATCCCTCCCTTACCTATCTTCGTCTCTCACTGTCATTCGTATCATATCATTCATTGTGATTAAATAAATTAATAATTTATCGTTTTGTGAATATTACGTTATGTTGGTGGGTTATTAAATTGGTACTCAGTTACAGTACTAATTGAGGAAATATCTTAAAGAAAATATATTAACTCACATGTAAGAAGAAACAAGACCCTTAAATTGGTGCCAATATTTACGCTGAAATCTATCACATCATAGCAACTTATTTCTCACTTAGAACTAGTGCCCTACATTTGGATATTATACTTTTCACGCAAAATTATGGAAGAGTGCTCTATACCTAAAGCATTTCTTTTTACTGAAGTGACCTAACATTACTATGGAACATTTCCCGAATTTGTGCTGGCGTAGTGTTAACTAGGAAGCTCTTAAAATGTATACATTAGTAGAAATTGCAATTAGTTTAGGTGTTTTTGGAGCATTGGCTACAGCAGTTTCAGCATGTGTTTGTGGCTGTAAAAATTCCAATCAAAAGTAAGTCATGTATATTACATTTCATTCCATACAATATTACACATTATTAGTCATTAATTGAATCAGACATGTAGCATTATCCAGATAATTATTATTATGTGCCCACATATTGTGGACATCCACTTTCAATAACAATAATAAACAAAACTATGGTAATTTTCAAAACATTTTAATAATACATCTGATTTATTTTTAATTACAAATTTATTTTTTCTATATAATCTTTTTAGAGTAGATCAATAAACTCTACATATTTAATAAAATAAGTTTCAACAATTATAATACTGTAAGATATTCTCATTTAATGTCTATCCAATAGTAATATTTTATCCTTAGTTTTTTTAAATATCAATTGCAGTAGAAACCATCATCAAAGTAATGTAAATAGAAAATGAAGATATTAAATTACAATATAATAGGTTTGAAATTGCTGTAACATTGCATGATGCATATCAATTTGTTTCAAATTACCAAAAAGCTCAATTAAATTGAAAGTAATCTCAATCAAGCAGTGATTTATTTATATGGAACTCTAATCAAATGAATTATTGCAATGCAATACAAGTGTAATCATCATGAAGTTTCTTTTATAATGTTATATATTATTCTTTTGAATTTTCTTGTTTGAAAAATATTACATATCTTATAGAAAACTTGTTTAATTTATGTTCCAGAAAGATATATATATATATCTTTCTGAACTGTTTATTTTTTACAAAGTCTTTAACCAGACTCAACCCACTGATATAAGCTTAATATGTTAAACATATTATGTTTGTGCTACAAATGTGGGTGGAAATTAGTACTTTTTAACCAGTAATACAATATTTATTGGTTGAGTATAAAAAGTTATATATACATGAATAGTAACAATTACTTGCCATTATAGTATAGTTATCTAGGTAATTAAACAGGCGGATAATGGTCTCTTATATTTAACAGAAGTGAATTGGTGGGTACGGCCGGTGTGGTCAAAATCCGTTTTGAGGAAGAAGTACCATCTCCAACGCCTACCACTCCGGCCTCTATCAAGCGGTTTGTGCTAGATCTAGCATGCCTTAAAACTATAACCCAAAATATAACAAATTGACTAAATGATTAATAGTACTAAATTGCATATTTACAAATAAATATCTTTTTGTATACTACTGGAGGTAGATAAGATAATAATTTATGACTTAAATTGTTGTACTACCTACATATTTAAACCTTTGAATATATAGAATAACCACCCATGACATCATTGTTTGTTAACACAGATATGGATACAAATAAATGCAGCTTCAAATACCTACTTTGTATGTGTTTACTTCCTCATAATATATGAGTTACTGTAACGCCTAACTTGGGTTTAAGTATAAAATGTACTTTGAACAGTGATTTAGTTTGCTTTCAATTAATAACTTCTGTAACCCACTTAGTACTTAGCCATACAAATGGAAATATTAGCAACATCTGTCTCAATCTATTTCAGAGATTGCTACTCTTGAGGCTAATTTAATATCTTTATCAAAAATTGTGTTATATTAGCACAAGACTCTACCACCAGTAGTATATATTTTATATTATATACTTATGTCTATACATATATTAATATAAAACTAACCCTCAACTAATTATTCCCAGTAGATATTATTTAACTGTATGCCTCTATTATTAATTTCCATTGATATCTTACCTACAAAGTTAATGACTATTACAAATAGAATGTTCTTACTAGATAAATGTATTATTTGTATCACAACCAACTGTCAAATGATGTATCCCACTTATGTTAATTTAATTATAACTAAATCTGAATGAATGTTTATATCATGGGTTAGATGGGTTAGGTAAAGTAAGTAACAAGATTTAGGTTCACTTCTATATCAGAATTACATTTTAAGATCTTACACAGGGTGAGAATCTGTTACAGACAGCCTGGTGTCCTGCAGGGCAGCAGTTTAGGACCCATCTTTTATTGCATTTTCAACTCAATTCTTATTTATTATTACAAGACATGCAGAAACTTTCAATTTATTAGACAAACAATATTAATATTTTGGAAACTAAATAAATACAATTACTATGACATAGCTAGGTTTCTGTTCAATGGTCAGAACTTAAATCTATCACATAAAGGTACATTATCTATAACTTAAATGACATCAGAACTAAATTGTTGTAATTTACGTAGATACAATAACATTTAAAAAATTTCATTCATAGTTTTTAAACTAAACTAAATTAATACCATTAGAAAAACAACAGGGGCACATAGTAAAAAATGCTAAAGGTATGGATTACCAATGCATGTTAAATTAAGAACACAACTTAGTTGTTGTAGAGTAAATTAGTAAGTAATATTCAATAATATTTTAAAATATGTTCTCCACTTTAAAATATTGTTGAATATTACTTAATATTTTATTCTATTTATTAAATAGAATAAAATGTTAAGTTATTTATTAAGTATTATTAATGTTAAAACTTTTAGTATTGTTACTAGCTGTCTAATGATATATATGGTAATAAAAATCAGGATAACTATTTACTGATAGCATTCATTAGTATTATTATTAATTAATAAACAATTAGCTGATTTCCTATAGTTATCACTGACACAACCAAAATAATATAATATTTTCATGTGACTGAATATCAGCATTCCATCAACTTTGTTTTGTTTAATTTAATAGTTATGTTAGATATATTCTAGTGCATGTACATACTGATTAAATTCTAACTGTTGTATATTTTTAGTATTAGAATTATTTATTGCATTAAATATTGTATGTAAATTTAAACCTACTAATAACTGGTTTAGAAATACCTATTAGTTTATATATTTGTTATAATTCTTAGAATGACATAGCTAATAGCATGAAGAGCAACATAGGTCTCACAAAGTACCTTGTGACATCTGTAGACCCATGCGTTTCCGTTCCTGTAATAAAAGCTCCATTAATTACGGTGGCGTCAGTCCCACCCTTTTCCCTGCTGAGATGTTGTCATATTTGGTTCGACTAAGGTTCTCCCAGAATGTCACGTGAGATTTCGCGTTTGGCTAGGCGACTTTGGTAAGCAATTGGGAAGGCTATTCTGCTAATTGCGTTTGCGATAAATATTATTCTGTAGAATTCAGCCATGTTTAAGTGATAAAACGGAAAAACATGTTTCACTTAATTTAATCCAGTTTTTTCACATCCTACTGTTTTTTTGCGGAAAATAATACTTAATGTTTCCCGAATAAGCTCTCCTGAGTTTCTCCCTAAAGTGAGCTTCGGTAAGATTTTGTCCATAAATTTGTTAATACAAACAAATCTTGAAAAGTTATTAGTGTCTTTTACAATCATAGACTTTCTTAATCTATAAATCAATAAGTTAATTTTCTTTATTATAATCTGTCGCAGAGCATCAACACAAAATAGCCAAAGAAGTTTACCAGAGATTCCACATCCCCATCCAGTGGGTCGACACGACAGCGGGGATACTGCTTCTGAAATAATATATGCAACCGTAAATTTAAATGAAGGTAAAGTATATTCATTTACAATTAGACTAGACATTATTGCTAACAATGTTCCACGTCCCGCCAACCTCCATGCGGCCTCCCGTAGAGACAATTGTGATTAATTACTGATGAATTCGTGACGATGATTTTACTGTGTTTTCTATTTAATTACAATGCACTTAGTTTTAACTTCGTGTTCAATAGTCATTAGGAACGGGAAAAATGTTGCATTCAATTTGTAAGAATTCGAAGGTAATGTACTAAGCACGGCCTACTTTAAATGGTCCCGCAGTCTTTGGCTAAGTGGTTTATAATGGAAACGGCAAGGTTTAAATATATGGGTTGTACATAATTCAAAATAGGACGGAAACTACAAAGTCACGAGATGCTTTTACTGAAATGAATGAATGATTGAAAAATATACCGTGTCGCGATATATTTTTCATTAACAAAGTTCACAATTTAAATCTGATATACCAGTTATCTTATATTTAGTACGATGTCGGCTACTTCATATATAGATTCAATATCAGATTGTGTAGATCTATAAGATTAATATCAAGGCCAATTACTGGAAAACAGTTTACCTTCATTAAAAAAGGAAAATTGTACACAAGTTTTGCAAAACATAGTATCATTTAAAATTATATTTATTAATTAAGTAGTACGTGTGTAACGTGATAGCAAATCGATTAAATCAGTATTACATATAATATCTACAATTAAATCTGAAAGATGCCGCCGTTTAATTATATATTTGTTCTTGTAGATATTAGAATTATATTACTACTATAAACTCTTTGTTTTAACAGGAAACAAGGCAATCGCAACCACATCTACCGCCAGAGACCATCCATATGAACATGCTTATGCTAAACTTCAAAATGATGCCCACAATATGTTAGTATTCGAATAGAGAGATCGTTTTAGTAGAAATTAGTAGATTATCCAATCTATATAACAATATATATAACATTTTTAAATGAGAATTTTGCAAGATCTCATTTAAAAATGTTATATTTAATAGATAATTTGCTTAAAAAACTTATAAATTTTAAATGTTTCTGTTCAAGTACCATTGTCTGTTGTTTTGTTTATTTTGTGCCATAAAGTGTACTTACAATCTAAGTATTACATCTACTTACTGTTGCCCTCGTGACTTAAAATATCGCAATGGTTATATATTTATTTATTTGTATCCCTGAAGTGAAATATTAGGCCCGTCCGATGGTAAACGGTTACTAAATATAGGCTATAGTATGACCATGAAGAAACAGTCTCACTTTTTTTAATACAGGTACCATACACTATAATAACCCATTCCCATAGGTCTCCATCTTTACGCACATTTATTGCATTCACTGCAGTCTGCAGGATATTGATGGCTTCTTCATTACAATATTAGTTTGAAAGAAAGAAAATTGATTGACTCAATCTACAGCAATATTTCAATTTAAAAACCCTTTTTTTATATGTTCACGACCGGACGAATAGCTGTTATTTGGCATAACATCTGGATTTCATTTTGTGAAAAAAAAAATATGTTGAGTTTGGTTTTCAATACAAATTCTTAATATTTGTTACATTTATTTTATTTTACAGTACCGTAGAAATAACGCCAGACCAAGGATCCGAGAGTGATATTCAGATTGAAGAAAGAGATACTTCAGCTACTGGCCCAGGTGTGTTGTAATATATGTTTATATCTATTTATTTTCATATTAGCTCTCTAACTAACGTATGTCGACGTTGTAGGTACTATCTAGATTTCCATAAACAGGTAAAATAAAAAAACTGATGTGTTTAAGTAAAACTTTATAATGTTCCGACTCGAATCTTGGATTGTTGTACCCACTATATTTCACAGCAAAATTTTTGTTTATACATATATGTGAGATAAAACGATAAATGATATGATTACGATCAAATTGCTACGAAATCACAATACGATTAAAAATTAACAGTTGATTAAATTTTTCGGCATCATGTTATTGATTCACAATTCGGCAATCAGCTGTCAAAAATCGCACGTAAGGATGAATTGGAATTACACTACAAATATCTTACATTTTTATATTTTACCACATATTTAATAAAATATATTTTTTTCTCTTTTTAATATGTCATATAATTATTATTAAGTGTGAATATTTTTTAACTATTACCTTCTTAAATTAAATTATATTCGTACCTTTTTCTAATAAATTGTTAAAAGAAATCTAAATTATTAATACACTATGTCATATATATGTTTTGTGTGTGTATAAATTCGTGTCATAATGCTCTCCGAAACGGCTTAACCGGTTTTTATGAAATTTTACATGCATATTCTACCCTAAATTTCCACCCTTCTATCACCAACCCCTATTTATTTTTTACCGATTTTAATTTATATGGCAAAATAACGTTTGTTGGGTCAGCTAGTATAATATATTTATATGAAATACATTCATATGATTGTATTCAATTTTGATACTCCTGTACTTATGTTTCATCACAAATTTCCTATAAAAAATAGTGAATCACATTTATATGAACACATTACTTGTCTAAGTAATATATGTACTACACTAATTAAGCATTTGTGCGTTGAGTCAATTTCATGAGTTATGAGCTCAATATAATTTAAGTGACTTTACAAACTATGTAAGGAGGATATATAGCCTACTACACATAAAACCATGTAACGTAGGAGTACATATGTAAGGAGAGTATATTAGAAATAAATAAGACCGATGTACCCATATAAGGCGAGTATATAGTCTGAATATGTGGAGTACATATTCAGACTATATACTCTCCTTACATGGGTACATCGGTCTTATTTATTTCTAACACCAAGTGTAGATAAGCTCGGATTTGAAGCGTGAAAGTTGAACACTAAAAAAACGAAAGAAGTACTATAATGCAAAGAAGTATAGCGCATGAGGCTGCTATGGGAATCGGGTGTGATGTCGTTCATGCCTACTGATAACGACTACCAATTTACCCTCAAGAGCAGCCTTAATTGTCTGTTACGGGATAATACTGCCATAATTATATTTTACAATATGATACCAAAAGATATTTTGGATTTAAGTACGATTAATTAATTAAAAAATACTTATTGAATAATGCCTATTACACTGTAAACAATTAATTGGTAGACGACTTTGTATGGCGTTCGTTAGTTGTTCAAGCAAGGATTTTTTTATTTTAAATTTCAGTTAGACAGATACTACTACGTGCACTAGGGCCGAAAGGTCCAATGTGAATAAATGATTTTGAGTTTTAGCTCGAGTTAAGTTTAAAGATCGAGAATAGTAGTTTAAATTTTGACTAGAATTGTTCTAAAAATTACTCGAACTTTAAAGGGTGAACCAGAAAAAAACAATGTTTTTAACGATTTCCAATATTTTATTATGTATTCGTCAAAAAAATAGTATAACATAGTATGAAAGATAAATGCATAGTATGAAAATCCTTAAACAATAAAACATCAAATCTGTTTATAAACTTTTTAATAAAATAAAAACAATTTGTAAAGTGACTAAATATCCTATAATATATAATGGATACATTATTTTTTAATTTAAATTTAACGCTGGGTGCGCTGCGCTGGTTTAAGCCGTGTGATTACTTGGTTTCGTCAAAAAAATCACCTGTATTAAATGCTACTTGTACACTAATTTTATTGCTAGTTAAATGTATAATCTGGTGAAATTGCTTGTGTCAATTAGATAGTGCACAGTGAGGATGTGCGGTTGCCTGTACACCTTGATTATGACCACAGAATCGAAATTTTCGTAGAAGAAAATATTAGAGTTTCTTTAACTCAAATTAATGTAACTAAATTATATGTATAAACAATAAATAATTAATAAATGTTTACCGGTACTTGTAATCTATAAATTTATATGGTTTTTTCTTTTGTGGCAGAGTCTGTAATCATATCTGCTTCAGTGGCAATAAGTGGGCAACTACCGTCAAGTCAAGAGTTACCGTACATCACTCCACCATCGCCACGACCCCATACTGACACCACTGTTCATTTCAGTGGGGATTCTACAGATTCTGCAAGTAAGTTGGGTTATTATTGTAATGTATGCATATTAAATGTCGGCCGATCGATAATATCAGTGGTTGCCTACTCGGTTTTCTTAGCGAAAGGTCCTACCGTGCACAGTTATTTAATAACAATATGAATGAGTAGTTACAAGAAATAGTTACCTTCCCCAGAATCATACACATTATATCCAATAGTATAATATTATGTCTTCTAACCAATAGTATTCTCCAACGGTCTGATTTGTTCTGTAATTAATGACAAATTTAATTAATTATACTCGACATAATACGTATCCATCTCTAAGATACATATACAGAAGAGTACAATTTATTTATAGCTACTGTTCACTGTCGCGCTCTCGCAACGCGGCTTATTGGCTTGTTAATTCAATAATGGCTTACGTTAGATATTAGGTATAGATACTTCACAATTTATAGATAACATATATATAGCTATGGATAATAAGAAAATATCACTTAATATTGAACAAACAATATGAAAACCTATATGTTAATTTTATGAACAATAATGTCTAGAAAAAGATCCGCCAAAATTACTACAATTTAAAAAAATTGTACTTAATTTATACTTAAAGTGTCAAGTGTCCCACTCCGACCTACTGGCTAACGATAAAGTATTATCTGTACCTAGAAATTGTATTTAATAATATTATATATGTTAACATGATTGAAACTCTTATCGGACAAGATCAGTTCAGTTTACACATCAACTTACGCATAATGATTAGTTTTTAATCATAGTTGTTTCTAACGTTATTTATAGGTATAGTTACGCACACCTTCTTTAAAATTTATAACCTTTACTTTCTTTTTAGTTACACTAAACTTGAGAATATTTTTAATCGTATATTTATAAAAAATATGTTGATGTTGCTTAGGGGCTCACATACTCGTGTATCCTTATGAAAAATGAGTTAGATTAAATATATTTTACATGTAGTCATCTTATAGTAATCCTATACAAGGAAGTTTGAAATATACGAGGACGTTTTGCGTCAGGAAACTATAAAGTTATATTATATATAAAGTTAACGATAATGAAAACAATGTTTTGAGGAAGGTGTTAAATATGTATGTGGATGTAAAGGAAGAGGATGGAAATAAAAATTAAGATAGAGGCCCTGTGTGAAACATATTATAAGGAGAGTATGGTCATATTATTTGAATAAAGAATTTTCTAATAATAATCCTACTATGGAGGGTTGGCCACGTAGTGAGTGAATGTGGGGCTATTTAAATATCTAGAATTTTGCCGCTGTGAAGTTGCCATTATAATCAGATACAGTTACATATAAAACCGCCGCGATACGAGAGTCCCCGATAACTTGGTTAAATATTAGTTTTAGTTATAAATGCAAAAAAATGCGGTAATAATAACAGCCTTGTATACAATATATGACACGGATATGTAGTTATTTATCATAAACCTGATACAAAATTAATTACTGTACATATTGATAAATCAAATATATCACATGCGATTATGACATCACTTATACAACAGGGTCTTAATTACAAATAAATTCGAGTGAGATCGATTCTTATGAGTTTACATATAAAAGTGCGGATCGGTTCCATATAGTACATAAATGTACATGCATATGATTATAGGATTAACCTCATATACTGATGTAAATCAAAAACTATATATAAAAGGAAATAAATCATTATTAGCGAACCGCACCACACATTTACACGCAGAATACTTTACTTAAGTACATAAACAAAAAAAGATACTTTATCAACCACTAATTTATTATATTCTACTGATTTATTTTATTATACAACAACCACCAGAATTAATACATTATATAATACACATTATATAATACACATTATGTATACCAATAAATAATATTGCCTGTTTTTTAATGAACGCCTTCTAAGAAATGTATGAATTCTGTTAAATAAAAATTTTATACAGGAAAAACATAAATGGGATAGTTTTAAACTTGTTTAATGAAATGAAATGAATTATTGTTTAATCAATCGTACATGAGGACACTACAGAATGAAAGTTGAAAAAATTGCTATTGTATTTAGATTTATTGAGAGCCCAGTGGTTTATTACTCTGAATTACTCCCAAGATGTCGTGAGATAATATCAATAAAGACATTTATTAAGCATTACATCATTAACACTAGCGTACAGCTTACAACTTAAACCTACTGGCGAGATCGAAATTCAAGATCAAGTATGATAATAAAACTGTGTGTCACTTTACATTTCTGACCGATTTTATGATGCAGAAAATCCCGATATCAAACCAAATAAATAATCTGAGAGATGGCGGTGCGCTCTCCCCCTAGCGATGAAAAATAGTCTGTGTAAACATATAATGAATATATATTTTTAATCATGTCAATTGCTGCGTTCACCACAACATCGCTAGTTGACAATTCCTCTGCCCATCTGGGATAACCGTCGGTATAGTTATGTATGCAAACTATTATTACTATTAAAATACCTAAATATAGTATACAGAAATATCTAAAACAAAGTTGTATTTAGTTTGGTCACATCTGTTTACTGTTTATAATTATAAAACAATAATATAATTTATATATATTCTATATAATAATATTATGTCAAATGTTAATTTCCTTATGTAAGAACATTTATATTTTTTATATTTATTTGAGGAGTAACAAAATATACGATTGAAAGCATTCTCAAGTTTAGTGTTAAAAAAAGCTATATACGCAGTAAAAGTTATAAATTTCATTATCAAAACATCTTCGTGTATTTCGAGTGTCTTCCTTGTATAGAATTACTGTAAGATGTAAAACATAATCAATCTAACTTTTTTTTTCAGAGGGATACACGAGTATATCGGTCCGTGAACCTCTAAGCAACATCCGGGCACAAAGTACAAAAGCAGCACAGCCCCATTACGCTACAGTATCGGATGACTCTGGTAAATTTAATTTGTAATTTGTATGTGTACTTGTGTGAAATGTGCATATGTTCGTATAATTCTAAAATTTCATTTATTTTAACTTTCTGATGTTCTTGTATTTTCGTTCGTTATCTAAGATATATTTGTCTGAATTTAAATAATGTGCGCTGCCTAAACTTTTTGTATGTTACACATTATATTCTATTTATTTATAATAATCCTATTATCAAATCCTAAGTGAATGTATTAGAAATTAGAAAATGTGAAGACAACTGAATATATATTATAAATACTTCCTCGCCAACTTGATCATAACATAACGTAACATGTTTGTTGGTGGTATAGATGAGACGTACGCGGCGATTGAAGAAGCGAGCGTGGGCGAAGGCTCGGATACATATGCACAAATCGCACCGGAACCACGTCGTCGTGACACTATCGCTGCCTCCGTGGTCGCTCCCGTTCCCGCTACTGTTCACGCCCCCGCTCCCGCTCCTGACTTATTGAGTGCCGATATACACGGATCCCATTCCGCACGGTATACTATTTAAATTACTGACTACTTAATCATTATTAACCTCTACTTCATTAAAGAATCAAACATGTAGTAACTAAAATTTACCTACATATAATAAAATTCTGATGTAAGGAAATACGAAACGGGATAAGGGGACAATCCTGCTCATGTCTATGTCCGATGTGCTAACTATTTTGCCGATAACTCTCATTATTCCATTATGCTATGTATACAAATAAAATTCCAGAGGTAGACTAAAAAATGTGTGTTGGTACCAAAACATGAAAAGTATTGTAAATATCACCTCTCTTCAGACTGATAGTGATATAGACAGTATTGTTCATAGTTATCGTGTTTCTATGCAACAGTTCAAATGACAGAACACAATTCTCTATGATAATAAGGACAATTTCTTATAGATAAAATGTTGTTATCTTTATCTATATAATGATGTACATAAAGTAATTTCGTTCGATGCATTTTGTGCTATTAATAGTTATCATTTTAATTTTCATTAGATTATATAGTAATTGCTTGCGGAATGCTGGTTGCTAATACGCATGATTCATTTACTCATACACTGTTCACCATGCATAGAAACGTGTGTATACAGTACATACATACTTATAAACCTTTATCAGAAAAAAAGTAGGTATATTTAAAATTTCATTCACAATATCGAACAAATAAGTATCTACATAATTTTAAACAGAATGCGACATTTTTATTTTGAAGGACTTCAAAAAGGATTATATATATATTCAATTTGAACACATTTTTATGTATTGTTAACTTGACGATTAATATTTTATAGAAAATCTGTATAAGGTTTTAGGATTTTAAAATATGAATCGTAAGGTAATTAATAAATAAAATAATTAACCATAAACTATAAAGCTTTTTTCATTGACAGAAGGAGTGCTCCACCTGAAATGGGGGCAACTTCATCCAACGCTACACATTCCAGACAAGGTATATTTTAATTTTAAACTTAGATGAATAAAAATATCTATATTATTAAAAAAATACTACAAGAAAAGAGGATATAATGCACATTAATTTTATCTAAACGAAATTTGGAGACTTACGAAGTAATTTATAGATGTATTGATGAGGAGTTTATCTATACAGACCAAAATAACATTTTTAACAATTTTTGTCTGTTTGTTTGTTCCGGCTATTCTCTGAAATGGCTAGACTGATTTTGACGGGACATTTTTGGCAGGCTGATGTAATAAGGAGTATCTTAGGCTACTTTTATTTTAGAAAAATAATGTAAATTCCATGCGGACGCAGTCGCGGGAACGGCAAGTATTTAAATAGTATTACTGTGATTATTGTGAGCTACAAAGATCACAATTTTTGAGAAAAAAAATCATGGTTCTTGCCAATGTACATTATATTATTGTACAGCTACATCTTGACTTGTAAACTTGTAGCGTCATCATCATCATGTACGAATTCGACGGGGCCCACTGTGCCGGCAAGTGTGGGGGCGGGGTCGCCAAAGCCGGAGAAACGGCAGGCGAACTCACCCCTACCGCCGCCGCCACCGCCGCAGGCTTCGAGACATCACCACGCGCACCAGCGCATATCCAGCACGGGTACGTTTACATTTATATATTAATTCAAATAGAAAGCTAATTCACTTCACATTTAATTTGGCAGTTCCCGCTATTTTTACGATACTGACTCGTAGAGTACGTTATAAATATGCACTACAAATATTATCGATAAACTAGCTGTCCTGGCGAACGTTGTTTTCCCATATAAATTAAAATCGTTATTAAAAATAGGGGTTGGTGCTAGAAGGGTGAATTTAAGACTGTGTATTTTTAATGCTACATTATAAAAGAAATGTCAATGAAATGAAATACTTTTTTTTTTGTAGTGAGCCACCTTTAACACTTAGGGGTATAAAAATTAATTATAAACCTATTCTCAAACCTACTTGACATATTTTGATGAAATTTTATATGTATATTCACATATAAAATTTCATCAAAATCGGTCAAGCCGTTTCGGAGGAGTATAAACACGAATCCTGTGACACGAGAATTTTATATATATCTATATAAGATTAGACTTAAGACTATATAAACTACAACTATTGATATAATAACTTAAATAGATAAAAACCGTATATTTTTGTTACCACTAAATGTAACTCATCATCCATAATATATTTGAAGACATTTAAAGTATCTATATACAGTTGATTATGTAAAGTTGTTTATCTTTTATTAATTTGTAGATATAAATTTATTATAGCCTCCTTATTTCTGCATATTTGTAATAAATTGGGTTCGTAAAAAATAAACAATCACTATGTTTTTAACATCTTTTTCAGGAGATCTCCATAGTCACGACAAGTTACGTCGTAGTCTCAACGAAAAACATCAACGAAACAATAGTTGTGTCAGTTCATCGGACTTTTACGGCTGCAACTATCCCGTGGAAAAGCACAGGTTTAGTTCCAGTGATCTGATAAGGCCGCTAGTTGCTAAAGAGCTCAATTTTGATATAGACCAACGACAGAATCCCGCCGACAATTTATACAATTCCATCGATGGTCCTGGTTACAGCGATTATTCGTCCGCTGATGCCAATACGAGTATGAACTCTGAACAACGAACCACAGAAAGCCCTTCGCGAAACGTCGAAGATATGTATGCTAAAGTAATAAAGAAAGCCAAGGGCAGAACAGATGAAATTGTAAGGAGATCTAAAGATATTTCAAACAACGAAATCGATAGTAACAAGTCGAAATATCGAGGTGACGACCCTGGTTATGAAACTATCGATCGCAAGAAGTCTATAAATCATGGCTACGAGACTATCGTGCATAAAGAACGCAAGTTATCACAAAATCAAGACCCCGGATACGAAACTGTTAAAGACATAAAAAAAGTTGGTTTAAACACCAATTTTACCAATAATAATTTACTGAAATTGAACCATGCCACCATGGATAGTGGGCCTAATAGCATTATCAGCAGTAGTGACCATGGATACGAACATATTTCAAAGACAGACAATAACGCCTCAGATTCAGACCCCAATTATGAAGTATTACGAAATCAACCACCCACGCCCCCATATGCGACTATACCGCCTAATTTCAAAGTACAACCGACTTATTCCACTGTTAACAAGAGACCGGCTAAATATAATAATTGGCCAAATAATAATGAAGAGGCTACTTTAGAGCCCAATTATGAATCTATGACGCATGACCCGTTGTACACTACGGGCAGTGAATCAGATCCAAATTACGAGTCAGTTCGCCCCAAAGATTCAAATTATGAAAGCGTAACTCCTCAGGATCCCAACTATGAGTCACTAAGATGCAAGGATCCCAAATACGAATCTGTGAGGTCTAGGGACCCAAATTATGATTCAGTGCGATCTAAAAAGGATCCAAATTATGAAAGTGTTAAATATTTTGAATTATCTAAGAGGGAGCCACCTTACGAAAAGGTGAATAACGAAGCCACGTCAAGTGCCACAGTCGAGAGATCAGACTCGGCGGCTGGGTACGAAAAAATTAATGTCCCTAATAATAGGGAACCCAAAACCAGTATTAACAATGGGCCCGAAGGTATTGTCAGTGATTACTTTCAAGTTTAAAGGTGCACACCTAGTAGAAAAAAAAACAAAAATTCCAATCAGAGGTATTACTGTAGAATAAACATGTATTTTTAGGAAGAATCTGAAGTTAAGTGCTTATTTTAGCTTTTTTGTAATATGTGTATGTATAATACCTCGATGACAGGATATTAAACAATAATATCTTCCTTAGGTATCTGTGATATGTATTATGACGAGTATGCTTTGAATTTTATTTTTTGTTATTATTTTGTAAGATTATTTATAGCAAGTATTATCAATTATGCAATATTATTTATATTGTAAAGATAGAGTGCTAAAAATATTTGTCGATCAGACTTGATACAAATATAACATAATACCCAAAGAAATCTGCTACTAAATTTTCCTTTGAGTCATTTCAAATATATTTTATTTATTGAAATAAAGCATGAAATTAAATAATAAATAAAATGTTCTTTTTTCTTTTGGTTAACAACAAAATATAATAATTTATTCCACTATATAGTACACAATTATTTTATACACCTATACAACCAGATAGTGAAGGTATATAACAAAATTTTAGTACAATCTTTATCCCAAATACTGGATATACTCAAGTTCTTTAAAATTCATGTATCATAAACCATTTGGTACTTTACGTACGTACTTAGGTATGTGACAATACTATAGCAGCCACTGACTCGAGTACTATCTAGGTGTTATCAGGGCTATAGGTATATATTAGTGCATAAAGGTTTTCACCAAACAGAATTGAAACAGGCCTGTCTGTAACTATGTTCCAAATATTTTATAAGTCATTCTAGTAAAACGAAAGGAAATCACAGCAGGTAACTGTAATTACTATTGTTTGTAATCTCTTTTAAATTAATGTAATTAGTGTGTTCATAACTGTTAAATTTGTGTACCTATACTAATGATTAAATATATATTTTAAGTATACTAAGTAATGTACAAAAAATATTGTGCATAAATTTTACATCTAAATAAATTATTATTTGAAGGATGTGTTATTAAATATGGAATGGTTGTTGATTTTAGATACCTGTACTCATTGCAGATGCAAAAATTAACGTGAAGTGGTTTGAATGATTGAACTTAATACATAAGACTGTCTCATATCTTTGATTAAATCGCATAAAACTATTAGAAATACTACACAAAAGTAAAGGCGACTATTTCATAAAACTAGACATTACAAAAACGTTAATATATTTAGGCAACACGCTACCTCAATTTTGTAAAAATAAACTTACATGTGAACTTATAAGATGCGATTTATTTAAAGAACTTTTTTATAAATATTTTGGCATATGTGACTTCATAATTATTACTTTTTTATATTGTTGTGTTTATTTTCTTGTGAATATGTTATTTAATTAAGGGTGAAATGAGTATTCAGTGTCATAACATTAAATGATTTCGTGTGAGATGGTTGTTAAAGTAGTACCTGAGTATAATGCACTTAGGGATTATCCGTTCAGTGCCAGTTGATATTTCTGATCGTAGTTAAATTTTTAATAATGTATTACGTTAAATTTTAAAGTAAGTTAAATTTTCCATAATGTATACAACCTAAATGTTTTTACTTAAGCTTTGATATTGTTATGATCCAAATAACTAATTTAAATATTAGCTCTTTTACAACTTTTACAAACAAGGTACTATTGTTTATATTATACTTTTTATAATAAAGGGCTTATGGCTTCCTTCACGAGTAATATTTATTGGTGCAGAATGCCAAATAGATGAAATCTATTTTTTGATCTCGAAATCAGATGCACATCGACTTGTTAAAAATTGACACAATGTCTTTTATCTAAGTACTTGTAGATATTATAATCTGTTATATTAGATTAATTGGAATTTAAACAAAACGCCTTTAGAATATACCTACCTATGAGTACGTATATTGAAAAATAATATTTTTGGCATGTGACCTATTTACTGTTGTCACAAGAAAAGTCTCAAAAGTGATATTAAAGAACACCACAATTTTGTCACTTGACTATCTATGTAAATATAACATTATTCACTATATCTACTATGAATTGTATCTAAATTTTAATGTACGCGATATATTCTTCTCTACACTATATAGAAATCCATTCCATTTAGACACAATGGCTATTTAAAGGAATAAACTATGCCATAAAATTAAACCGTTTTATTTAATCCCATACCAATTAGTCTGCTGATATTATTGTTTATTATCATTACATAGTATAAAACCAAGTCGCTAACGCTGTCTGTCCGTCCCTATGTATGTTTAAATCTTTAAAATTACTCATCGGATTTTGAAACGGTTTTTTAATACATAGAGTAATTCTAGAGGAAGGTTTATATTATATAATACATGTACACCCGTGCGAAGCCGGGGCGAGTACCTAGTTTTTATAAGATAGAGACAGAATCTCAAAACGTGTACAATTCACTTCTCTGTTTAATGTAAAGACGTCATCGCAGCCCGGAAGACGTCCACTGCTGGACATAGGCCTCCCGCAAAGATCTCCATGACGATCGGTCTTGCGCTGATCGCATCCAATGCCTTCCAGCGATCTTGACCAGATCGTCGGTCCACCTTGCTGGAGGCTTTCCCACGCTGTGTCTTCTGGTCCGTGGTCGCCACTCGAGGACTTTACTGCCCCAGCGGCCATCTGTCCTACGAGCTATGTGCCTCGCCCATTGCCACTTCAGAGTCGCAATTCTTCGGGCTATGTCGGTCAGTCTAGTTCTGCGGATCTCCTCGTTTCTGATTCGATCACGCAGAGTTACTCCAAGCATAGCCCTCTCCATTGCCCTGTGAGTGACTCTGAGCTTGTTCATGGGGCCCATAGTTAGCGACCACGTCTTTGTGCCGTAAGTCATCACTGGCAACACACATTGGTCGTAAACCTTCGTCTTGAGACACTGCGGAAATTTGGACGAAAAGATATATCGGAGCTTCCCGAACGCTGCTTATCCGCCTTGGATTCGACGATTGACCTCTTTCTCGAAATTGGATCTACCTAGCTGGATAGTTTGCCCTAAGTATACGTAGTGATCGACAATTTCGAGTGTAGAATTTCCGATTTTTACGGGAGCAGGTACGACATAGGCGTTTGACATAATTTTCGTCTTGTCCATGTTAATCTTAAGACCTACTCCTTGTGAGACTCTACTGAGGTCTTCAAGCATTTTGCTAAGGTCTTCCAGGGTCTCAGCCATGACCACGATATCGTCGGCAAATCGAAGGTGATTGATGTACTCGCCGTTAATGTTGATGCCCAGCCCGCTCCAGTCCAGAAGCTTGAAGACATCTTCCAACGCAGCGGTAAACAGCTTTGGCGATATAACATCGCCTTGCCTGACACCTCGCTGCAGTTGGATAGGCTTCGAATTCTGGTCATGGAGGCGAACTGACATAGTGGCGTTTTCATACAAACATTTCAACGCTTCGATATATCGATAGTCAATTTGGCACCGCTGGAGAGACTGTAGCACAGCCCACGTCTCGATCGAATCAAAGGCTTTTTCCACATGTGCCAAGCAAAGTGGCAGGTTGTATTCTTCGGTCTTCTGAATTACCTGCCGCAGCGTATGAATGTGGTCTATGGTACTGAAGCCTTTTCGGAACCCGGCTTGTTCGGCAGGCTGGAAGTCGTCAAACCTGCGCGCGAGACGTTTCGTGATGACTCTCGAAAACAACTTATAAACATGGCTCAGCAGTGTTACGGGTCTGAAATTCTTCAGAAGCGATTTGTCTCCCTTCTTGAAGAACAGAACCACCACACCTCTTTGCCATGCTTGAGGCGTTCTGCCCTCGAGGATGACGGAGTTGAATAGCTTCTGGAGGATTCGTAAAACAGGTCTACCTCCAGCCCTCAGAAGCTCAGCAGTAACTCCATCATCGCCCGGCGCCTTGTTGTTTTTAAGTTGTTTAAGAGCCATACCAATTTCGTACAGGCTGACGTCCGGGATATCTTCGGTATAGTGTCGGGTTAATTTGGCTCTAGAGTCTTTCGCCGTGTTGTTAAAAGGTGCCCGTGTTCTTCTCAATTTCCCTCAAAAGTTCGGGTTTAGACGATACGATCCTGCCGTTATCCGTCTTAAGTCGCGTCAGCTGGCTCTGTCCGGCAGCCAAATCCCTGTTAAAGACTTTTGCCCTTGAGAGCCCTTGTTTTTCTCAATAGACTCCTTTACACAATTTGTGTTAAAGTGGCGTAAGTCACGAGTTAAGGACTTAGAGATTTGCCTGCTAAGTTGCCGATACTGGGAAGCGTCAGTCGGAGACTTCAGGACCATACTTCGCCTTTCATCCATCAGTTTGAGGGTAGAGATAGACATTTTTTCTTTCTGCGCGGCGGGTTTTGAAATGCTTAGACCCAGCCGCATGGACAGTTTCCACGAACCTGTTGTTGTATGTGATTATCCACATCAACGCAGTCACCAAGGCATTCGAAACGGTTTTGCAATTCGAGCTGAAAGCTTTCGAGGTTTTGGATCTGTATAGGCGTAGGGCGGAGCGTAGATTTCATCAGTCGGAATCGTTCCAGATTCGGATTCAATGTGCCTCTTACCATCGGGTGATCGCTTCCAATTTTGACGGCATTGATCACAGAGACATCATTGAAAATCTGTCTTCTCGTTGACAAGATGAAATCTATCTCGTTTTTTGTGGCACCATCGGGACTAATCCACGTCCATTTCCGGTGTTCCGGCTTCCTGAAGAAGGAGTTCATCACAAATAGGCTCTCCTTCTCCATAAAGGCGGCCAGCATTTGACCTCAGAAGTTCCGATCACCGATACCAAATTGCCCCACTATCAGCTCATCACCGCTTCGTTTACCCAATTTTGCGTTAATGTCCCCCATGATAACGTTAAAATGAGTCTTTGTATGGCTCTGGAGGTAACCTCATCGTCGGAGTTCGTCGAAGTTGGAGCGTATACTTGGATGACCTTCAACGAATACCGTTTGGTAATTCTGAGTATCAGGTACGCTATACCCTAGTCGACACGCTCTCGACCTTGATAACATTATTTACAAGGGACTTGTGGACGAGGAACCCAACACCGCATTGGGACAGTTGATCGCCTTCCCGGAAGTAAAGTAGATTGCCGGATTTCAGGACTAGTCTATATTGACACCTTGCCTTCTACAGTCGTATTTTTAATTAGACGAAGCTAGCTGACAGTAGCTAATGTCACTTTGTAAAATAATGTTGCCATATTTAAAGTAATAGTGATGCGTTCAGTTCTCGTTCAATCAGATGAATGAATGTGAACAGTTAATCATTTCAAACTATAAAAGAATAATATTTCTATTTTACAATAAAATTGTATAAAAGCGCACTGATATAAGTTATTAGTAGTATGTAACAACAATCAGCTTTTTGACGGCTTATTACAAGGCTCGGCTCGCGGCGCGGCGACAAATGCCAACACCGATCAATGCCGCGCGCGTCGGTCGCCATTTTGTTTGTATTCGGCTTCCAACCTCTGGTCTGATAGCACGAATGTTGTTTCTGCGCTCACGCTGTTTAGTTATTATTTTTGTTAAGTTTTTCGTTACGTTGTGTTTATTTGTTGCTATATTGTTTCGTATAAACGATATGGATCCTCAACCAAGCACGTCAAGCCAAAGCTTGTCTCCAAGAAAGAAGAGACCACGGATAGCTTTAAACGTAACCGAAAAAGTTATGATACAAAACGTCTACAAACACGTATTTGAGGAGAAAGCAGCTTCACTACTACCTATTGAGACTCCTGAAAAAAAAGAATGTGTTTCGAAAACAGCTGACATTTTGGGAATTGGTGTAACCTCAGTTTATAGTGTATTAAAAGAATACAAAGAAAATTAACAATTTAAGTCTCCCGAAAAACGAGGACCGAAACACAGTTTCAAAGATAAACTAGACGATTTTACTTTTGCCGCTATAAGGCAAAAAGTACATCAATTTTTTTATGCAAATGAGCCACCCACCATTGTAAAGGTAACTTAACCTTTATTCATTCTACTGTATTATATTCTGTGTCTATCATAATGTTCTTTGTAAAACCAAGTATAAGATTGCGTAGACTTCCTTACTTAAAAACTTTTTACATTACTTTACAGATTCTTAAGGCAGTCAATAATGACCCAGACTTACCCAATTTTTCTTTGATTACATTAAGAAATGTTATGAAACATTTAAATTTCAAATATGTCACAAAATCAAGACAAAGCATTTTAATTGACAGACAGGACATTATTTTATGGCGCCAGCGATATCTTCAAAAAATTAAAGAGTATCGAAGGGAAGGAAGGTATATTTATTACCAAGATGAAACCTGGATCAACGAAGGTAATTACAATTTTCAGCTTTCTTTACATTTAATTGTACTTTCAATAATTAATTAATATTTTTCACTATATTGAAGGTCATGCACCGAAGAAGGCATGGATTGACCAGACAGTGTTATCGTCCCGCCAGGCCTTCCTAGATGGCTTGACCACTGGCTTAAAACAGCCTTCAGGAAAGGGCAAACGATTAATTATCGGCCATATAGGCGGGGAAGAAGGATTCGTAGAAGACAGCTTATTAATATTTGAAGCAAAAAAAAATAAAGAAGATTATCATCAAGAGATGAATGCCGATTCCTTTGAGAAGTGGTTTAGGGGGATCTTGCCAAAACTAAAACCAAATTCCGTGGTAGTGATGGATAATGCCCCATACCACTCCAGGAAACTAGAATCGCTGCCTACAATGTCTTGGATTAAACCTAAAATACAAGAGTGGCTAACGAGCAAAAATATTTCATTTGAAGCAACAATGGTTAAAGCTACTCTTATAGAAATTGTACGGCAGCACAAACAAGAACATTGCGATAAGTATGTTGTGGACGAGATGGCAGCGCAGCATGGGATAATTGTTTTACGTCTGCCCCCATACCACTGTGAGCTGAATCCCATTGAGTTGGTATGGGCGCAGGCTAAAGGATATGTTGCAAGAAATAACAAAACCTTCAAAATGACAGAAGTAAAAAAACTTTTTGAAGAAGGCCTTCAGCACATCACACCTGAAAAATGGAGTAGCTGCGTATCTCATATAATTAAAGAAGAAGACAAAATGTATGGTCTCGACCACATGATCGACAATGTTTCAGACAGATTTATAATTAATGTCACCGAAAGCGATAGTGATGATTTTTTATCTGATGATGAATAAAAACAATTTATGTTATAAGCGATTTTTTATTTTCATTACCTACCTATAAATGTTATATTTTATACATCAATAGTTTCAACTACATGATGCATTGAGAATAGGACAGTCTTACAAGTTTCCTCGCAATGTTTTCCTTATTGTCTAAAACACTCGGTATTCAGTATAGGTAGATACTATAGGAACTTAGTCGTCGAAAACTCGTTGATATGTACCAAGCACGACTAAAATTCGTATCCCGTACCCGATATCGGTAGTTTGGCACACTAACTATTCACTAGACAATGGAGGCAATTTCATTTATTAAAGAGTTTTTTCAATGATTCACTTTGTTACAACACTATTTTTATTTCATCAAAAACTGACAACACAGTAAACGTCAGTTTACTTCGTTTAATTAAAAATACGACTATAAACCACAGACTTTTTCATTCATACCGTTCTATACTTACTATGTTGCTCTGTGGTAACAATCTATTCTTTGTTGGTAGACAACTGATGACGTTTTCTTAATCTGTGATAGCAAATGACAACTCTGTCTTCGCTTCGGTTCTCTGCTATCAAATCAAATCATCAACATATTCAAATTAAAACTATAATAGTTAATTTTTTTAAACAAAATTCTTATAAGTTTACATCGTTTAGTGTTACGTCGATTCAATTTCAGTATGGCTAATTACAATCCCAATGATTTTACTTGGCAAACACAGAATAATGCACAGAATTATTCCTTTGATACTTCTAATACTTACGCAGATCCTGCTCAGGCATTAGGTGAGTATTTTATACACAGTAATTAAAGGTTTGTTATTTAACATTCTAAGAAAAATTATGTAAATAATCTACTTGTTTCAGATTTCCAGACATTTCCCACTGAACAACAGAACTTCTCTTATGAGTCTACACAGGGATCTGTACCTGCTAACAATAACCAATATTATAATCCAAATATATTCACTCCTGCACCCCTCGCTGGAGAAACTATTGCTGATACAGATTTTGATGAGCCACCTTTACTTGATGAATTAGAGATATATCCTGATAGGATTTTGGAGAAAACTTTAGCTGTTTTAAACCCTTTTCATGGCCAATCAAAAGCAGATGATGCTAATTTCTTGTTAAGAGATACTGATATAGCTGGCCCTATAGCCTTCTGTTTAGCACTTGCAGTGTGTTTGTTTCTTTCAGGGAACAAGGCACATTTTGGTTATGTATATGGTCTTTCTGTAATGTCAGTTATCTTAATGTATTTTTTGTTATCCTTAATGAGCCGTACTGAGGGTGTGTTTACTGTTTTAAGTGTTGCCAGTGTATTAGGATATTGCATGTTACCAATGGTGGTTTTAGCAGGCTTGGGAATATTTGTATCCTTGGAAGGAACTATTGGACTAGCATTATCAGCATTGGCAGTAATTTGGTCTGCATTATCAGCAAGCAGACTGTTTGTAACAATGTCTGGAGATGCAGAACAGAGACCTCTTATTGCATACCCCTGCGCTTTAGTTAATGGAGTCTTTGCATTGTTAGTACTTTTTTGATAAGTGACATGTTATTGTATTGTTACTCAATTATAATAATTTTTATATAAACATAGAGTGTTTTGTATTTAGATAGAGTGATTCTTAAACAGTATACCTAGTTTAAAATTATTTTTTTTCTGCAACTTGCAACAGCAAGTGATGTTTATTATTCCAAGTTGAATGAGAGTGCCAATAATAATAAAAATCCAGTAATATATGGCTGGTTTTCATAAAAACCAGGATTGTTCTTTTAAAATACTGTCATACAAACATAGCTTTTAACAATAATTTATACATCTGAATTTCCTAGATACAGAACAACAATACTTACATATGTTTATGGATTGATGCAATATTTTGCTTATACATGTAATTTATGGTTAATGATTGAATACTAAATACAATTTAGTATTTCTATGTACTGCATAAAAGAAATATTACATGTGTGAACCTGTATGATAGGCATATATTAAATAATATAAGAAATATGAGAGTAAGAAGTAGTATTTTTTATATATAATTAAAACAATTATTATACTAATGTTACTATTATTAAAATATCTACCCTTTATATTATTTTCATTCAATAAATTGACTTCATAATTATGTTTTGTATATTTTTTTATTTAAATAAACTACTTACTGAAAAACTTTAGTAATAAACTCATTACAGCAGCTTGTATTGCTATTTCAAAATTATTGTTATTTAGTTAGTGGAAGTCTTTAAGATTTAGTCTGCAATTGTAAGAATTGGATGTACAGATACAGCAATACCTGATTTTATTGGTGAGGTTTCATAGTCTACAGTATTATAATATTAATCTGCAATAAAAACAGGTACTGTATACCAGATTTCACACAAAAACAAAACTTATTAAAATATTCTAATATAATTTGAAAGATACTAAATAAATACAAAATATAATGCCACAAAATATTTTTAATGAAATTAAATATGCTATTGTACTAACTAATTTTACATTCGACTGTATAATGTAGGTTTGTCACTAAAGAAGTTTTTCAAAATCATAACTTGAGCGAGAGCCACACACAAAATTGCAAAAGTCTCTCCCATGGACCACCAAAACACTCTCTCATTGAGATCTTCAGCTCTTTTCCGGCTCTGAGCTTCACGTAATCTGTGGTGAGTTTGATGATCAATAATTTGGTTTAATGCTAAGTGAATATCATTTGCAGATGTCTCCAACTGAAAATAAAACAAAATGATTTTATATAATTGCCATACATAATCCTCTTTTAAAGTTTTGAGTTTACACGATAAATATTTAAATTTTGAGTTATGTTATGCATAATATCAAAATTTGTATTGTAATTATGTAGACCTGTACTAGATGAAAAAATATCGTACTTTATATAGATCAACCAGGGTAAAGTAGGTGTTTCTACTCTAGCAATTGATTTTAGGTAATAAGAACTGTAGAATACCTACCTGGGTAAGGACAGTTGCATGATCTCCAACTCCTGGAAGGGCTTTCTCTGGTCCCACATTCAATTCCATATATACAAGTTTGTGGGAGAAAGTACTGAATTCATTGCTAAAACAAACTTTGTATACACCTAAAAGGAAAAGCACATATTTAATGAATTAAATTAGTAATTGAAATTTTATTTTTTTTATACTACAGTATCTATGATTGTACCTGTTTGTTGAGCTGTGAATTGATGTGAGTCATATTGCATTTTTTGTTGTTGGTATATTATCTGCTTATTGGGTCCTTCCACTTTTACATCTACATCATATTGGCCACCGGTAATCACCTGTAGTTTTAAGCAATAATCAAAGAATTTATTATTTTATTTAAATAGAAACAGAAAATGAAATTAGAAGTGACGTAAAATATTTTTTTAATGTAGTGTGTTAGTTATCCTCTCTATTACCTGATATTCCAAAGCAGCAGAGGTGTTTTTTTCAATTTGTTCATAAAAACATTCTACAGCACTATCGGGCAATTCAAATGTCAGCTCAACACTTTTGCCGAGAATTCCATTAATTATGGTAAACAAGACCGCAATTAGAATTGGGGAAACAGTCATTTTTTCTAAAAAATAATCCTATAGGATAAAAATTAATACGTATTTTATATAGATAAATAGAACAATACACAGACAACAGAGACTAAGAGTGACACTGGTAGTGACTGACAGATGTGGATGATTTGGACTATCTGGGGTGTTAACATGCCATGGTGACAACATGGGAAATACCGTACAGAAAAAAAAGGCGGGAAACGTTAAACTTGGCGGGCGCGTTTTTTCTTTTGATTTAAATTTTATACATATTTTTCATTATTTAGTGATTGTGATACTGTATTTAGTTCTTTAATATCTATTATTTAGTTTGTTTATTGTAGTTAGTATAAATAGTTAGCTGTTTTATTGGTAAGTTTTTCGTTTTTTCATTTCTATGGACGATCCCCCCGACCCGGGGGGATTTGTCCCTCCGGCTTCTAACTATGTTACAATTTCATGCGAATCGGGTATGGAAACCGATACGTCTTGTTCAAACCGATCGATAAAACGCAGTCGGTTACAAAGATTTTGTAAAAGTTGTAATAAACGGAGAAGAAAAAATTCTTCAGATAAAATTACAGATTGCCACTGTACAGATGACATAAATGATGGCATTGAAATACAAAAACCTCTCACGGAAGTGATTTTCACTCCACAATCTGTAAATTTAGATCCCCCTCATCCATCCACATCTAAAGAAACAAATGAAAATAATAATATTTCTGAACCAGTAGCAAGGAAAATGTATGAACCCACAGACCATGCCCCATACTTAGTTCATGTAGTAAGACAAGAAAAGTCTCCAAATGACGGTACTACACTTCACCCTGTGACATTTGGTAAATTCCTCAAAAAACAGTATTTTAAAAACATTATTAATGGAAGTGTAAAACGCATTGGACGAAATAAAATTGCATTATCTTTCTCAGTTTACCATGATGCTAATACATTCATTAATCATAACAGTTTAAATGATTACAAATTACAGGCTTTTATACCAACATTTAATATTACACGTATGGGTCTGGTACGAGGTGTTCCGAGTGATTGGAGTCCAGATGAAATATTACAAAATATTTCTGTTCCTATCGGTTGTGGCAATATACTTAAAGTAAGACGGCTAAATTACAAAGTTGTTGTTGATGGCTCTCCCACTTGGAAACCTTCTCAGACAGTAGTAGTCACATTTGATGGTCAGGTACTACCAAAAAGAATATTCATGTGTTATAATGCATTACCAGTGGAATTATACACTTATCCAACTATACAATGTTTCAATTGCTGTCGTTATGGTCACACTAAAATTCAATGCAGGTCAAAGCCACGTTGTTTTAAATGTGGTCAAAATCATACAGGAGAAACATGTGATGTTGAAGATGCTTTTTGCTGTTTATGTTCAGGAAATCATTTTTCTACTAGCAAATCTTGTCCAGAATTCAATAGACAAAAACAAATAAAGTTATATATGGCTGAAAATTGTATTTCATATGCTGAGGCCTCAAAATTGCACCCTGCTGTTACAAAGCCTTTTGCTGAAGTCCTTTCCACGCCATCAGCACATGGAACATCATTCAGCACTTTAAAAAATATATCTGAATCAAAAACTTATAATGATACTGCTTTTAAACAATCTTATAAAAAAACTGTATTCTTAAAACCTAAATCTCCTCATCAATCCTATGTTGGGTATGATAAAGTTGCCCATGAGAATATTATAAAAGATTTTAATATGCCCTCCCCTTCTAATGGCTGTGCGCTTAACAGTCAGTATAAAAATGAAAGTCAATCTAATATTAAAGAAGTTATTATTTCATTAATCAACTTACTTGTAAGTTCTAATATAATACCGTCCCACGTTGCCCCATTTATAGAAATATTCAAAAATCTACTCCATAATGGATCAAGTAGTCCAATGGAATTGCAGAAGTGTACTTAGCAAAAAAAGTGATTTAATTCATTTAATCAATAAATATCAACAACCACTTGTTATTGCACTAACTGAAACTTGGCTTAAACCTGATTATAATTTCAAATTATCAGAATACTCTTGTATTCGAGATGATAGGCCAGATGGGTATGGTGGGGCTGCCTTACTCATCAATAAAGCTACTCATTTTTCTTCTATTTCTTTACCTCTTTTTGACAAAAACAATATTTCTATGGTTGCTGCTGTTGTCAGCGATATTTGTTTAGTCTCCCTTTATATACCTCGTCCTTCCTCTTCAATTATTGCATATTTAAATGAGTTATTTTCAATTCTTCCTAAACCTTTTTTAATTATGGGTGATTTCAATTGCCATCATCAAGCTTGGGGCAGCTCCTATTCTAATTACCATGGTGAGCAATTGTTAGGCCTTCTTGATTCCCATAATCTGTGTGTTTTAAATGACCCAGTACCTACTCGTATTACTGCTCCCACTGAAAGAAATAGTGCTGTAGATCTCTCTATTTGTTCTTCCAATTTATCTTCCTCTCTATCATGGTCTATCCTTTCATCTGCATATGGGAGTGACCATTTTCCTATTATCATTTCATTACCAATTCATAAAAAACATCCTCGAAAAAGAAATTATTTTTACAAACATAAGTTAAATAATAATAATAATTGGGATAAATTCCAAATTGGTGTACAAAATAAATTATCATCTCTCCCTCCTATTACTTCTGGTAATGAATCGGACTGTTCTGAAGCCCTCAGCAAAATTTTGATACAAGTCGCTGATGAAGTTTTTCCTGTAAACAAACATAATAATAATAAAATTCCTTCTCCACCTTGGTGGGACCATGAATGTACTACAGCTATTAAATCCAGGAAACTGGCAGAAAGATTATATTGTAATGATATGAGTTCAGAAAACTTCACCAATCTATCTGCCCTACTAGCCTCCACCCGGAAACTTTTAAAGAAAAAGAAGTCAGAAGGATGGAAACGTTTCTGTTCTTCTATTTCGCCTCATACTCATCCTTCCCTTGTATGGCGTAATATAAAAAGATACAGATCTGCTTTCCAAGATTCTCCTTTTTTTACATTATCAGAGACTACAGCTAACGAGTTTCTAGATCGTTTAGCACCACCCTACGTATCTCATATGGATCCCATAACGCGGCCACTTTCCACCAATAAAAATATAAACTCTTCAGCTCTTGACAGTCCTTTTACATTTACGGAACTTAAAACCGTTCTGTCTCATACGAAAGATTCATCTCCAGGAAATGACCACATTCCATATTCATTTTTAGCGAATATTAATGATGAATGTATGTTGTATTACCTTAATCTCATAAATTCAGTAATGTTAACTGGGAATATTCCGTCGTCATGGAAACATCACACGGTATTGCCAGTTAAAAAACCCAACAAACCTTCCGATGACAGTAGTTCATATCGTCCTATAGCTCTTTCCACAGTTCTTTTAAAAATTGCTGAAAATTTAGTAAAAACTCGTTTAGAGTGGTATGTCGAAAGTAAAAAACTATTAGCTGAAAGTCAGTATGGGTTTAGAAGGGGTAAAAGTACATTAGATGGAATCAGTCTGTTCGTTTCAGATATACGTTTGGCATTCTCTAAAAATCAGTCGGTAGTTTCAGTTTTCTTAGATATTAACTCTGCGTATGACAATGTCAATATTAACATATTATGGAAAAAGCTTTGCGATTTGAATGTTCCTCCCATACTTTCTAACTTTATTATTAATATTTTGACGGAAAGATCCATTAGCGTTATATTGTCTGATTCTAATATTTTGTCTCGAGTTGTATGGAAGGGTCTCCCGCAGGGATCACCACTCAGTCCTCTTTTATATAACATCTATACATACGACTTAGAGTCATATGTAAATCAAAACAGTGAGAAAGTCGTTGTACTTCAATATGCGGATGATTTATTGATGTATTTTATTGATCATTCTGTTCAAAAAGCGTGTTCTTTAATTTCCACTTCTTTAGAAAAATTAAAATTTTGGATGGATTGTAACGGTCTTGAATTGTCTGCGGCTAAGAGTGCAGTTGTTCTGTTTTCTAGAATGCGAGTTCCACCCCCTATAAATATCTGTTACAATAATCAGTGTATCCCAGTAAAGACAAAAATAAAATTTTTAGGCATAATTCTCGATTCTAAATTATCTGGTTTACCACATTGTGAATACGTTTCAGCTAAATGTGAACGACTTCTTAATATTCTAAGATGCCTTACGGGTGTGTGGTGGGGATCCCATCCATTTCAATTAAAACTAATATATAATGCTCTCATAAGGAGTGTTATGGATTATGGTACATTTATTTTGGAACCTGCTAATGCTACAGCCCTAAAAAAATTGGATAATATTCAAGCTAAAGCTCTAAGGATTATATTGGGCGCCATGAAATCTAGTCCCATTAATGCGATGCAAGTAGAATGTTGTGATCCTCCATTGTATTTAAGGCGTCAGTATTTATCTGATAAATTTTTATTTCGTATTTTACAGTTTTCTAATCATCCTCTGATCCCTAAATTGCAATCGCTCTCTGATCTTGTTTCTTCGTCATCCTATTGGTCTCATAAATCTCTACCTTGCTTAGTAAAAAGTTACAGAACTTTTACTGCCATCCGAGCTCCCACTCATCGATCTCCCTGTCTTCCATTATTTAGTTCAGCATATGAATCTTTAACTTTTACCCCTGATGTTCATTTTGATATTAACATAGAAAAAGAACATCCTAATGTAAATGCAATGTTTAATCAAGTAGTAAACTCTAAATGGGAAAGCCATCATCAAATTTATTGTGACGCATCGAAACACTCACATACAGGAAATGTTGGTGTAGGAATTTACCACTCACAATATCATATAATTCAGAAAATTAAATTTCCACCAGAGACCTCTGTTTTTACTGGTGAATGCTATGGAATTTTTAAAGCAGTAGAATATATTAAAATTTTTAATCTTAAGCAAACTGTTATATTTACGGACTCTAAAAGTGCTCTTCAAGCTCTAATTAAATGTCCATTCAAATCATCTAAACAGTATCCTCTAATTTTTGATATCCGAGATATGTTGAATAGCATTCGTCTCAAAGGACATATTGTATCTTTTGTTTGGATTCCGGGTCACTGTGGCATTCGGGGCAACGAAAAAGCAGATTTGCTTGCGAATGAAGCTATATTATCTGGAGATCTTTTTCCTTATAAAAACTTTTGCCATGATCTGACTGCCTTGTCTAAGTCTTGTCTTCATGATTCATGGAGTCAAGATTGGACAATAAGTAGCAAAATTAAAGGGAAACAGTACTGTTTAGTCCAACCGTTTATAGCTCTTAAACCGTGGTTTTTCAAATTACATCTTGATAAAAGATCAACTAGTGTTTTGATTCGTATGCGAATTGGTCATGTTTGCAGCCCTGAACATTTAACAAAACTACGTATAAAAGACAATAATATCTGTGAATGTGGAGAAGATGTGGGTGATCTAAATCATATTGTGTTTTCCTGCTCCTCTTACGATCGTTCTTCATTTATAGAGACACTCATCTCATTAGAAATTCCTTTTCCTTCATCCATTGTATGCCTATTAGCTCATCCTAATCCTATAATTTATAAATCTCTTGCGTCTTTTATTTCCCATAATAACATTAAACTTTAAAACCCATGATCACTAATTCCGAGTATATTCAAAATTTAACCCGTTCCTTTCCATTATCCCGTCTCGTTTCCTGTTTTTAGTGGCATAATAGGCAACACTAGCCTCTTGCCAAAGAAGAGAAAAAAAAAAAAAAAAAAAAAAATACCGTACAATTTACCACAGATAAGCGGAAAATGCTGTCACTTCCTTAGAGTTAGTTGTAGTCTCTATGCTTTACCCAATACATTTCGTAATATAAGAGCCTTAATGAAACTGATATTAAGTTTACGTAATAGTGCATTTTCTAACTGAATGTATTGTCAATTATTGACTTCTATTGTCAATTGACTTAGTACAATTTCCCAACTTTTCGTAGAATAAGTTTACGGGCAACCGTATGATGATGTTGTAGTGATTACTTGCTCAGAACGTGAAGAGGTAAGAACAATGAGTATTTAGCGACTATATTGTTACCGCTATTATTTATGTTTGTGTTTGTAATGTAGCAGCAGCAGGAAAGGAGATGAAGTGATAAGTCCAATGATTGCTATTTACATTATGTATATTAACAAAATATTTACAATGAATATATATACAAGAAAGATGATTCGGTCTCGAATGACAAGCTTGTTATTCTTCTTGCCCCATCGTAACTAGGCAACGGTGTTGCCGCACGTTGATAGTAGATGCGCCACAAGTACAGTAAATATATCAAAAGAGTAAGAAACATAGACAGACAGGCATTAATAGTATAGTAGATATAGTCATATAGTATGTGACACATATATGTTACAATTTTTAGTTTGCGCTCGAGTTTGGTATACCATAAATAATATTATATTTGGGAAGTTAAACAGTGCTGATGTTTGTTTCGAATCGTAACTTTTATAACATTACGACATGGCTTTTAGTCGTTTCTTTTGTTTGGTTTGCTGCCTGGGAAGGCCGCAAATATCTTCTTTAAATTCCTGATTTATGGATATCGACGACCGTTAACAATTAAATTTATTGAGTTATGTATTTGGAATTTCCGGTATTTCGGGAACAAGGGTAGGGGTTAAAGTTTACGCCTTAAGAAATGCCGAAATCAAAAAAATCACACAGCCTTCCGTACCTACCATATCACCAGAACAGGGAAGTGTCATTCTGCAGGATAAAGTTAATACCCAATTAGTGACGGGCATAGAATACGGGTATCCACTATACATTTGTAACACAATGTAATTATATTTTTTGGTAACATTAAATAACTATTTTATTTAGTAACATTAGAAGTATTATGAATGACTTGGGATAAGGATGGTATTAGGAAATACTTAATAAATAAATATCCCTACAACGAAAATTATAAACAAAATAAAAACAAATTAACAGTAAACAATATTTTATTTAAATATAAGGCGATACAATTTTAGAAAATCAAATTCGATAGACAGAACAACAATTCTTTGCTTAAAATAAAAGTAAAAAACGGCCATGATTCCAACAAAAATACTGTGGTTATAATGTCTTACTTAAAAATAACACTTATGTGCATAGGGACTAAAATGAAGTCTTTAAAATGCAGACAATACTTTGACTTTATCTAATGAGTGTTTAGAACGCAAGGCCTGCGTCGGCGTATGTGGTCACAATCTTCTCTATGGAGTTTGCATACGCAGCTGTTCTCAGATCTAGGCCCAAGTTGAACTTCAAGGCAGTCTTCATGATGGCCTGAAAACGTAACAAATTCGTAGATTACAAAACTAACAGTATTAAAGAAATGAGGAAGATTCTTATTTGGATTAATCTAACGCGTTTTCTACTTTTGGAATAGTTCCCAGAATTTATACTACGGGAATTCAACATCTAACAAGCATAAGTACTTAAAATATTTTTTTTTTATTTTATTTTTGAAGAAAACTTGTTTTTAATTAAATATATGCATCTTTATCCTAGACCCTTTTATCTTTTGAGGTTTAGTTGTTTTAGATTAATATATAATCTAGTTATTTATTTTCGTACCAGCGGATGTATCAACGTAAAATAATATAAGACACAAAGACGATACGCTAGTCTCTCCAGTCTTAGTACATGAAGATTTGAGAAATCTACAATTAACTAAATATAAGAATATTAGATTTTTGTGATTAACAATCACAAAAATGGTTTTAGAAGTAAAAAACTACATTACAAATAAAATGATGAAAGCAATCCAGCCATGTGTATTGTGGACAGTCAGACAACAGACTCTCTTTATAGCATCAATGTAAACAAAATTTTATTATATTTAAAAATGCTTACCCTTGCAGACCTCTCCATAGTGTAGTCAAGGCCGGAGTGGACAATGTCCTTTTCGGAGGCACCAGAGATCCTCTTCTGGAACGACTCGGAAGGCGTAACAGGAATACGGCCACCGACACGACCGAAACGCCTCTCTAATGATTCTTGTACAGATTCTGAAATAGATGCACATATATTAGCTTGATAATAAAAATAAAACAAATCTGTCAATCGAAAAGGACTGCGTTTTCGTATCTTCGTATACCTACACAAATATATTAGAAGAAGACAACTTTATCATGACTTGACGATTAATTTGACCACCTAAATGAACGAAAATGTAATGAAATACAGACATACAAGTATGTAAGTACTTCAAATCCTCATAGGATTTGAAGTAAACTTCATGAGTAGCCACGTATCCTGAAATTTAGTTCAATAATATTTCATATTAAGTATATAATCGAATAAAGAATCTACTTTCGGCATATCGTTGATATAACAAATAACAAATGCAAAAAAATAATGTAAGTAGACCGATATTTTTAGGAAGACCAAGAGAAATTTTAAGTATTTTTTGTGTCATAAGTAACGGGATTATTACCTAGAAGATGGTGGTTAGACTCGCGTTCATATTTGAAGGTGAGACGTCCGTATGAGACGTGGTTGAGGTTCTTGAGCCATTCGAAGAATGACACGGTGACACCACCAGCGTTGATGTACAAGTCTGGGATGACGAGGATGTTGCGGTCAATCAGGATTTTGTCGGCAGCCGGGGTAGTTGGACCGTTGGCAGCTTCGGCAATGATCTAGAAATAAAAAAAATAAAATATAATCTGTTATTAAACTGAAAGTAATATATTAACACGACTCCAAAACCCTAGCAAATATACAATTTGTAAACATGAATTTAATTAAAAAATGAGAAAATGTTGCATTACATTATTGATAGTACCGTAATGTCGCATCAAATATTTATTTTGCTAAAAACGCACTACGGCTTCAGAGCATATAATGTTATGTTAGCAAAAACCCATATTTGTGTGTGTTGCGAGTAGCAACTACTTAAAACGAATGTAGGTATCAAATGTCAATACGTGCAATGTTTGCTGACTACTAAGGGCCGTACGTTTATCTGTCTGTAGGTACAGGTAGGCCGTACCTACACCTGCAAAGTTCTATAAATTTCAATTTAGTACAGTGGACAAGCTCATATTCGCCCGCTAAACAGCACTGATTTGTAGTTTTACGTAATCTAAATCAGGTAAGATAACTTATTATTAGTATCTTAATATCTAAGATTATTTACCCTGACTGAATACTACTGCGTTTAATACCTACACTAATTTTATCGCACAGAGACAACATTTAGAATATAATCACAATAATTTATGTCACGTTTTCAAATATATCTGTAATCACACCTATCAGTCTAGTAAGTAATAAAGTTAGATTGTTAAATAAGATTTTGTAAAAATCGATAGCAATACTATGTGTAAATCTGAAGAATTTGTATGGCTGAACGCGCTAATCTCAAGTACCTACTGATTAGAAATAAAAATATATTTTAGGCTAATCGTCATCATCGTGCTAAGACCAATAGGAGCGGAGTATCAATTATTATGCAAAACTGGGTATTATAATAAAATATGATAAAAAGTATATCATTAATATAATAGCCGAAACTATATCGTTTTTGGTTTTAAGACTAGCCGATCATAGCTAGTATAGGTAATAAGATATTGTTGTCATTAGTTAAAATAAAAAAAAAACAAAGATAAACATGTTTACATTATTCACAAATTGGATCAATGCCTGCTCTACCGACGTAGCCGGCCATGTACGCCGACAGGCATTGTTGTTAAACCAGCAACATACCTTAGCCTGAATTTTGTGAGCATTTTCTTTGTGGATGACTTGTTCAACTGCAGCCGGTACTAAGATGTCGCATTTTTCGTACAACATGTTTTCACCTTCGTAGGGGGTGGCTCCGGGGAAACCAACAATCGTGCCTCTCTCGATCCTGTAGTCTTCCAAAGCCTGAGACATACAAATATTATTATTCAAAAAAGCTTAGGTATATTAAATTTATTTATATTCCTATTTTATTACGGGTATGTATGATTATTTAAATGCGTTTACTTGAATGCACTATACTGTAAAAAATTAACAATGGAAATAATAGTTATTCTCTATCGACTACAAAAACCAAATATTATCTGATATTCATCTTAATAAACCTCCCTGCTTATTATATTTATAAGAAATAGTAGACACTGTAAATAAGTTGGTACTCTACTATACAAAATAATGCAAATACTAGGTAATATCACAGATAACATAATATTACATAGTAATATTATTATGAAATAAGATGGATGATATAATAAACATAATGAAATGTGAGTAGTCGATTTCAGACTTCACGAATAAACAAGCATCCTTGGTACACGTGACTACCGTAAAAAGGTTCAATGTTCGGTTATTCGCGTTGGTTTCATCAGTCACGTGGCCGTCTCGATCCACGAATATAAATTGCCACGAACAACACACCTCCAAAACATCTCAACAAGATGTTTCCGTACTTGCATTTTTTCATGTAAATATTATATAAAATTTTACATGAAGTGTACATTACATAGTGACACACCCATAAGGAAAAGTTAACAACAATACTAGCAATTGAATGCGTAACACATTAAATTATATACCTACTTGCTATTTCACACAAATAGTTGGGAGTAAAAAATGAACTCTACCACCTTTTACACAAATACTAATCGTCTATAAAGCCATTTTAACAATTACAGTGTTTTGTCACTTTCTTTCTAATGCTGAAAATAGTTGGTATGAAAAGGTCAACAATGTTCTAAAGCTATAACAGGTTTCTAGTAAGTTTGTTGTGAAGAAGCCGAAAATAGGATCACTGCGGCGTGACACTAATGGCTCATACTATAATAATAGACTCTTAAGCTTTATAATATAAAAGAGTATACGAATTTTGTATTTAGGTATATATATGTGGAAGTAAACACTGCACTAATCGAAAAATCTAAAATTTAAAAGGTACATTAGCCATAAAAAACGAAAATAGACATGAGAGAATGGCACGCTGGATCCGTCCACATAATAAAACAAGTTGCGCCTTGTTTTCCTTCAAAAAATGAAGAAACAGTTCTCTATATTTATGATACAAAAAAATTAATACGAATTAGCAACTAAGAAACCTGGTAACGAAACAGGTTTGTAAATTGCAAACGAGCAAACGTAGTTTTTTGATTTAAACATCCACTCTGGAAGTTTCAACCTTAACAAGTAACCTCATCGATGAACGACGAGTAAACTCGTGAAACTATAGTGGAATTGGTCTCAAACAGGTTCAAGGTAACAGCAATTAGACAACCTGATAGTTGATAACACACAATATTAATTTATTTACACGAAATTGCAATATTAAACAAGTCGGAGAGGCATTCATATTGATTTCGATTATTAATCGCAATTTCGAAATAATAAGAAATACGGATATATTTTCCTACTTAGTCAATCGATTCCGTGCTATAGCACATTGACAACAATGGTAAATACTCATTTATTTTATATGTACCTTAAATATTATTTCTTCCAAAAGTGACAACAAGTGTACAATTTGCACAATTAGTAAAAGATTAACTTTAGAAGACTATTAAGTATATATACTTTATTAATGTGACGCGGTCATTATTTATACGTAAAATTAAGAAAATTACGAGATCTTATCATGTTTTATTCATAAATATCGATGGCGGCAGTACTTCTGCTGGAATTCGGGAACATAATAATAATAAATAAAATCTGGTAATACATAGAACTCGTACTAAGTACAGTATCTAATTTTCCAAAGGACATAAAAACAATTTTATTTCATAAGTTTTTAACAATTCGAATTTTGAATAATAAAATATAGACAAAGAAATCAGTGTATCTCACCTTAGGATTGATACCTTCTGGGTTGTAAATAGCACCATCATGTTCAATAACACCGATGCACAGTGCGCCGGCGCGTACCAGGTAGCGGCAGGTGTGCAGGCCCACGTTACCGAAGCCCTGCACGATGAATGTTTTGCCACCCCAGCCAGGGGTCGTGCCTATTTAAAATAATTAAATATTCGTCGTATGAGAATATATGGATAATTCTTTGATACTATTTAGAGAATATATAGGTATGTAGTGTACCTACGTATTTGCACGCATCGTGACTTAGAGTTGAAGTTTTCAAAACGTTATGTTACTTAGTTGTTTTGACTGTGCATTGATTGATACTAAGGAGAAACGATTTTACAGGTAAAAATTATATAAACATACCATTGCTTCACAAATCAATAAAATTATTATGCACCCCATTTTACTGATACAGCTTCAATCATATTTTAGGTAATATGTAAAGTTCTAATCAATCAAGTCAAGAGTATAATCTATGTTACAATATAAAAAGTACTAAAATATACTAACCAATCATACTCATATAGTTGGCCTCATTGATAAAGTTTTCCAGACCGTGGAATACTCCTCTCCCTGTGGCTGATACTCTGCCGTGGATGCCTCCCTAGATTAGAAAGGTTTAATCTTAAATCAATTATGTTTAGTTATTCAAATGACTATATACCAACATATAATATATACATATAATCATAATTTACACTACTAACATAGAATCATAATTTAGTAATTAGTCAAAATATATATATATATATATATTTATATATATATTTATTTTATTCAACAAATAGGAGATACTTCTTTGATAAAAAAAATAATAATTGAAGCTGAAGCTGAAATACACATAAAACAGAGATTACTCAAATAAGAACGATGATACATTTCTTTGCCTGTTTTCATTTTAATGTTTTACCTGTTCGTATTCATAGAACTCATACCTGATTGATGGGTTTTCCAGTAACGCAGGCATGAGCATTGATGTCCTGATAGCCAATAGTCTTGGCGTAAGTGTCAGCGATCCATGACATCTCACGTTCTCCGGTACCCATGTCAGGGGCGGGTACATCAACGCCGGGTCCTGTAATTAGACATTCTCAATTGTTTTGGCTTTTGTCAATAGTTGTGGATTTTTTCATAATAGGGCAAAACGTCATCGTTAACCACCGCTTCGTTTCGATTTTAGTTAACATGATGTCAGTAAAAATATAATACCTTTCAGTATATCGTTATCTAGGCCACAACACATGAGTAAACTAAAATTATGACGGGGCGAGGACAGTCATTATATTAATTAACCTAATTGTAAAAGAGTACTATTAGCCTTATTGTTATCAATGTCAGTTCGTACTCCATGAGGTTTACCTCGGAACCTTATGGGTTCCAAGGTAGGTGTAACACTGGGCTACGAAATCATCATGATAGGCTAATTGACCTTCATGATCTATCATTATCCACTTTCATCATGTTACATTAAAAAAAAAACATAACTATGAGTTTCCGAGATAAAAACATTGTTTATATGTTAGAGTCAGTAGTATCTACTATATTATGTTTATGTAAACAATTGCCATTCCTATTTAAATTCTTACAATCTGCATTGGAACATATCTTAATACGAATAATTTATTTCGAAACCACACAATATCTCTTATATCTGGATATGACGTGATGATACGCTATGAAATTATTGTGGAGGTAGCAGCTAGCCTACTAATCAAGGTGGATGTAAACGTAAATTGTACTGAAATGAATGTAAACTATCACATTACACATCAGTTTTGTTATGCCTCAGACATTCTACGACTTCATTGAGTGAATCTTTTTGAACGTAATTAGGCACAAAATGCATACGAAATCCGAATCTAAATAAGTTTTGTACTATGTGTTGTTTCTTACATTCTTTGTACATAATTCACACAGATAATAATAAACTCCATTTACTAAAAAAAATATTATACATAACAACTTAAAAGCCGATTTCGATAACTTTTTAAATTATTGCATTTTATTATTAAGCGTTAGATATATGTATACTTAGAAAGACTTAGGTATATATTAAATATTACATAGGTACTCAAACTAGCGACCATCGGAAGATGAGTTAGATTAGGAAACCGCTACATCATCATGTCACAACGCTAAAATAAATTAAGTCAATTGATTTCATTGCGATTAAGATAAGATAAAAATTGTTAATTATTATTATCGGTTGCTACACCAAATGGCGGTCGTTTGTTTGCAGATATGAACATTTACCTACTACTCTGCTAATAGTGATTTAGAAAACTGAATAACTTTTATCACAGCTTTACATAATGTATGTGCGATAATTTTTTGCGTTAAATTAAAACGTATAAGATGACACGAATACGTAATTTAATTACTTACTACATTTGTAGTATAATGATATTATTACTTGTCGTCAAGTGTGATTATTAAATTAACAGGTAGGCAAGTTACGTGCATGTGTAATTTTCTTGGTATGCATTTTACATTATTGTGCTAAACTATTAGGAAACGAAGGGTTTACTTTAGATAATCGGCATACGAATCTATCGATGGTAGCTGGTGAATACGTATAAATATGTAAGTATAATTTATAAAATACTGAAATATTAGTCTTAAAAATGATTGTGAAAGGTATATAATATGGTACTGTATAAAATTCCGGAGGGATCTTTCAAATCTGTAGTCTGAACTAGGGTGAAACTTGCAGTTTCACCCTAGTTCAGACTGCTCAGACTGCAGACTCTACGATATCTGACGTTTACATACTGAAAATAAAAATAACATTATAATGATATTTGTGAGCGGTAATAAAAAAAAAACGATTGGGAACTGTAACATTTCTTGAGAAAGAAGAGAATGTCTCTTCTTATGTATTCATGTAACATAATTATTTCTAGGTACTCTAGTCTCTTCATATTTTTATTATAACAGGGAAAAAACTATAAGCAGCTGACTGTTGATAACAATGTCACAAGTTATCATGCAATTTTTTTATAATTATAATTTAGGTATAGTTTGTTGTCTTCACTAGAAGACTATGCCATTTCATAAGAAATATCTAAACATATCTTTTGTAAGATCTTTATTTTAATTTAATGACAATGTAAAGGCTTATAACTAGAGCTCTACCAGGAATACAGTTTGTTACAAAGAAATTATTCTGCTGAATTATGACTGAATACAGATTTCACCATTCCGGAGAAATATCTAGAAAGATGTTAAACTTTTTCTATTAGAAATTGTTTACTAAGGTAGACTTTCAATTCCATGGGTACTTTCATTTTCCCTATTTCAGCAGTTAACCAGCAAATTTGTAGAAAAGAAGGATGTGGCATAACATGATAGTCCTCCGAAATTGTAACACTCAAGTCATATAATAACGTTCATATGTAACGGTTACCACTTACCATCAGGTGGCTAGTCACCTTGTTTGCCATTCCAATTACAAAAAAAACCGTGTATAGTAGCGGCTGGCTATTTTGATACATAGAAGTCGAATCACAACAGACCATTGTTTGCTGTTCTGCGGTTAAAATCTTTGATTAGATAAAATTATAAGATCACGAGGAATAAGAGGTAAACAATTCTAAGCCTTGTTACAATAACAATTCACTGTTTATGTTGATAAAATGTTAGGAGTTGTCAATAATGCAACTGCGACAAAGTTTTAAATTGTTTATGTAGTGCTCCTATACATACATACGTGGGAGGATGTTGTGATAATGTTGTGATGTCCAATTTACTAGGAACTACTGATCATGATATTATTTTCAGTGTACGTGGCAGTTATTACTCTACAATGCTATTTCTGAGAACCTCCCTAGTACAAGTTATGCCGGTATAAATGATTAAAGTATTTCAAGAATTAACCTTGGTGATATTTTTGGGCCCATATTATATTAACACTACCGCTCCTATAAGAACTAATTATGATATTAAGTTAAAGTAGGTATGTGCTTTTGTCATTGCAAATCACAATCTTCAATGCCACTACTGGGAATTTCGTATTATCTGCTCGTATTTTGTCCTTCACATGGAATCTTATACGCATTATAATTTCATAGCAGAAATAACAAAGATGAAGGTGTTTTTGTAAGCTGTCAGTGTTTTAAACATATTATCTATGTCTTTCATAACAAATATATAACACATGAAATCATATGACATGTCTTATCACCATATCTCATGTTCTATTAGATGACATGAGTAAATAAAATATCGTTTCCCAATCATTACACACGTAAATAAAACATTATTTCAATAAATATATAATGCGTATACATGCATTTAAAAATTTCATAACCGACGTGTCATAATTAACAGCAGTTTTTTACATAAGTAAACTAATTGAGGTATTAGACTAAATACTACTTTAATACGATCAGAGCCAATTTATATAATACAATAATCAAAATATCGATTAGTTACATAGCGATATGATAATCATTTATTTGAAATAGGTTTCGCATTTCTTCCACTTAAATAGATTGATTGAATTGCTTGACATAATCTTTTAGTTAATTCATAACTTATATAGATATATTTAATCAGAGGACCTCGGTGGTCTAGCTGTCTAGCACACCCCTTTACTTTCGATGGTCGCGGATTTGATGATACGGGAGTCATATTATATAATTACCTGATGACCGTTGTGCTGGTCATTCATGTAGGCTACAGTTATCAATTATTAATCACTGGATCGTCCGCATGTTTATCTGCCAGTACATTAGCATTAAATATTTGAAGAGAACATAAATTAGAGAAATATGTTTTACTTACCAATGAAACCTTTTTTGGCCAGCTCAAGTGCAAAGCGACGAGTAATTTTCTCCAGTTCATGCTCCGAGTACTCTTTGGGGTTGATTTTAATGCCAGCCTTAGCACCACCGAACGGCACATCCACACAGGCGCATTTGAAAGTCATCAAAGCAGCGAGGGCCTTCACCTCATCTCTAGTCACGTCCGTTGAGAATCGAATACCTGGAGGTACAAAAATAACCATTTGATACTTACATCATTTTCTTAAAAACTCGGTCTAATAATTCAAATTAAAATGGGACCAATCGTAAAGTATACTCTTTCAAATAAAAAGTATTTTTTACTAGTTTATAAATGAAGGAATAATGTAGACAGTATACAAACATTAAAAAATGTACAGCAGAATTAAGAATCTTCTTTTTTTTGAGAGTCATTTACAAAATATTTACAATTTGTACCTACTTTCTTTATATAAAAATAATGGTAAAATATTTATATTATTATAGGTTTTATAAAAGTTCTAACAATCTGATTATGCGGTATTTTAAATATGTTACTTATTTAGAAAGGTGATTAAATTTTTTCTGTTTCAATTTTACAAATAATTTACGCGGCTTCGCATGTGTGACGGCGACATACGCATTTATAAATATATTGATTGACCGGAATAGGTAAAACTAGTCCATGTCTTTATCCGTGGTATGATATAGCTGTTAAAGTACCAAAAGATAACTAACAAACATTGATACATCGATTGTAATGTTCTGAATGGTTAATAGATAATACTATTTTCAATATTATCTTAGAGAACATAAATTCAATATAATGTAGTACATAATATTGAATTTATGTTAAATATCTGAAATATATGTCTCTAATAATGTAGATAACAGCATAGGAATACTTGTCTATGTCTATCTTCATACCTATATTATAATTTAAACAAAATACAAGAAAAGCCTTCTCCATGTAGGTAATTAAGGACTTTCAAATTATCGACGTTACATATATTACGTATTCCTAATCATACTTAATTTGACAATTGACGAAAGTAATTTCATAAATTTAATTAAGTACTAAGATACACTATTAAAATTGTCTTTAAAAAGTATGTCTTGATTGCAAAATCAGATTAATAGGAAAAATTATTAACATGCATACAAAAAATCTTTTCATACCAACTTAACGTACGTAATATATGTGAAGATTACGTGATGTTTAATGTATAGTCAATTAAAAAGAACAATTGGGTAATAGTAGTAATTAGTAGTGTATATTTGCAAATTTTTATTGTCATTATAGGCTTTTACAATAGCATAAGTGGGAGCAAATCACGCGGGTTTATCGAGCGGAGACCTAATTCCCATGTGAATTTACTTAATGTATCTGATGTTTTAGGACTAACTCTTTTTTATACATATAATTATTATCATGAGACATTACTTTTTAGCTAGGAATTAAGTAAATTCACATCACATAGAGACCCTAAATACATAAAACGAATTACGATTGTAATAACAGATGTGTGCTTATTGTGCACTTCGTTCTTTCTGCCTATCTTGTAAGTGTTTTTTTCAACTAATGTTGACCACTTTACCGGACTTAGTATTGGAGATAGTGGCGGAATTGTTAGTAATGAGGACTAGTGAACTACTAGCACATCGCCCATATTAGGTCGACGGCCACGAGGTTCCCCATGGAAAATACCATTGGTAATTCCTAGTGAACGATGGGCTAGCTGACCTGGCCTCATTATTTATCATCATTCACGGTGCCACGCCAGCGTATACCGTTAGCGCAGACAGGTGCATCATAGCATTATCACCCATAAAAAATAGTGGTTACATATATCTTAAAATATACCTACTGAATTATTGTATATGTAACAGTAAATATTTAGTCTTGTTGAATGTCATATTTCATCATAATAATGTTGACAGCGTTGATAATTAGTATAATCGTTCAATTACCTACAGAGCAACGGTGACGTGATGAATTACTGAGAGGAAATGTCATTGCTCTGACGATTATGTGTAATGATCTAGTATTTACCGAATGTTACGTTACTTTAACAAGTTCTACAAAATAGCCGTAAATAACCGTAGTAAAGAATAGACTGCTCTAAAAGCATTAGGTTTACTAACAGAAATGCTGTTATGTATTAGATATTTCCCACGAGGAAAGCACTTCCGTCACTTTAATTAGCCTATGTCCAAAAATAAACCTTAATGTTTCAGACTAATATAGTAATAATTTATACAACCTATTGTATAAACATTTATTCATTCAGACTATAGGCAATTTTATAATTCATTCATTATAAACATGCCTATAGTCAGAAATATAAAATTTATTCCTTTGTGAAACTGTATTCCGTTATATATTCGTTTGTTTCATGATAATATTCTACTTATTTATCTTTACCAATCTCTTGAGATAGATATACTCGTATTGATTATTATAGATGTGTAATTTTAATCTTAAGTTGCCAAAGATTATCTATATTTTCAAAGAAATATATATAGTTAGCACTTAGAATATAAAGACCATTTCAGTTTTGTTATTGATCTTTGATTCATATATCGTCCTTGGGGTCATACAAATAAATGATAAGAAAACCTAATCTGTAAGTGGATGGTCAAAACCATTATTAAAAATAGGTACCTACTTACTCACATGTATAAATAATAATAATTTCATTATTTTATAATAACAATATTTATTAAACAAACAAGATACTGTTAAGTTAGACGAAAACGTAATTAAATTATGACGATAACAAAATTAAATCAGGTATCATTAAATGAAATGTCTAGAGACCGTATAGACTCCATCATTAGTAGCCCATCGTCTTTTGTTTGTCAAAATAAAAAAGATAAGCTTTATTTTTCTAGTAAATATATTTTGGTCTCTGAAATACCGTCCTGCTGTGCCCTACGAAGATAAAAGAGCTACTTTTCTAAATGCGGCAAGAAACGTAATTTTACTTTATAAATAATGAGTGATTTATTTAGTATGTATTTTTTATACGAAATGACTAAAACACAGTCACACAAGACAATAAAAAATTGAATGTCTATTTCGGTTCGTTTAGAATATTATATATATGTACTATATTGTCAGTTTGTTGTATTGAAAGAGTCACTGTCACTTATTAAAGAGGCCGTTCATAACTTGCAGTGAAGTGAAAATAAAGCATTATAACAACGATTGCACGATTAAAAAAACAAAAATATTTTTTAAGTGTTATTTTTAAGAAACGCTATCTGTCATTTCAACAAATACTTATTCGTTACGCAGACTACTTTGTACAAAGTTTGCTTCGGTAAAATACATATACACGTCCGAGTCTGTTTACAATAAGTTGTTTATCAGTTTGTAAGGGTTTTGTTATGATTTTAAGTGATACATTAAACATCTATCCGTGAAACGTGACAATTCTGAAGTCATGATATTTGTATGTAGAGTGTATCCATAAAATTATCACCAGGTGTTGATACTTCAGATACCTGTTACTTAAAGTATGTGTAATACTAATGATAATACTTGTTATTTAAAGTCATTGCGCAACAACCATTATGACGCAGCTCCGCGTCACTGACACGCCTTCATGACTGGCGTGCTATTGGAGAAGTAGGTTTAGACAGCTACTATTAGCTACCCATATTTATTATTTATCTTATTGTTCAAAATCATCTATCGCAGTAGATATTTTTAACAATAGCTTTACACGTGATCTTTATTTCCGTAATCAAGTTACTAAGCTGTGAGATAGAGGCGTATCTGATCAACAAACACGAACGCTGAAACCAAGCACCTATAGGCATATATCTGCCCACATCTATTTAGTTACATAGGAACGACAAAAAAGTCAAGGTCATTAGCAACTATTACATTATTTTTAACTCGGCTCAATATTCTCTGTAACTCACAGAGCAACATTCATTCATATATTTCATATGTACGTTTTTGTATGACCAACCAACAATTATGACAAATTCCGAGATTTCAGTGGCCATGTTGTATGCCGGTATCAATCTTTGCTGTGTGTGAAACAACGGTGTATCACGATTGTGGATGTAAAATAAAATAGGTATAACTGGCAAGAGGTATAAATGAACTGTATTATCTATTTTATCTAATACCTGTGGACCTGTGTTTCATTCATCATAAACAAGTGATCCGTTCAACGATCTTGAAATACATTTAAGAGTATATAAAAAATTGTATATGGAAAGTTTTATTATAAGTTATTGGAGAGGAAGGCAAGAGTTGTTGAATCCTTGGCTCTTGACTCTTTAGCCAATTACCATAAACGTACCGTACTTATGTAAAAACAAGGCTATCCTAACACTTTGGTTCATACATCTGTATGGAAACGAAATGGGTCTAAATAGTACAGCAAGTTGGCGCAATACGCTAGGTACTGCGCCAACTGGACACAGCGCAAATCACTTGAGAGCCCCATGTACCGCTGGAAGGACAAAGCGGTCATAGACCTTTGGATCACCTTAATATTACCGATTGGCAAAAGTCAACACGGAATTTAGCACAATGGTACGTTATCCAATTTACGGGTTTCTTAGTCGTGGTTGTTTACGTACGTAAATCAGTCGCTTTGCAATGTAGAAATAAATTTACATTTAGGATTTTATAATAAATGTCAAGAATCTTTCTAGATAAATACGCTTCATTACGCGAATATTTAAATAAATAAAAAAAAATAGGCAATAGAATCTATCAAGTCTAGAATCATCCAATGCAGCGCAAATACAGGTAGCGTTCGTAAAATTTTTGACAGCAGTTTTCCATTTATGATTCGTTATCATTTATAACAAATCAGTTTGATTTGTTAATAATTTATGAATCCATATAACTTTTCCATTGTCACGCTATTAGGAAAATTAGTTTTATATATAAAAACACGTAAAGTACAAACAAATAAAATATATATTGGTAATAATTAGTAAAGTATAGTGACGTTTGTTCTATGCAAAATAATTGCATACCGATATTATGATTATACAGTTGAATGCTCCATTTGGAGTATTACAGTAGTAAGGGCATTTATTTTTTATTAATCTATTTTGAGTAAGCAGTAGCACAACTGTATGAGATAATATTCAAATATTCACATTGCAGTATAGTATCAAGATGTGTTAATATTTAGAATCCATTTGGGCATTAAATTATATAAGAGTCAAAGTTGTATAAATAAATAAATTTTAAAGACAACGTGCACGAATAGGTAAAAGTGCAGTTTATATAACTCGACAGATTGAGATAGCTACATTTCAGATATAATAAGTGTGTAAGATTATTTTAGTTCGATGGCTGATCTCGAGGTGACGATTGCAAAGCTTACAATGTAGCATTTGGAGGTTATGTTTAGCAAAATTTCGAAGTCTGTTAAATTATAACGTTTTTTGTTACTAAATAAATTAAGTTGTTTAGAAATAGTAGAAAATGTTTAATTTATAAAGAGAGTGAGAATATACACCGAATTTTTGCTTTACCTAATTGATGCTAAGAAGTAAGCTTTATTCTGATACCAGGTGAAACAACATTGACATTTGAATTAGGTCAAAGTATAATAAACTAAAATAATAGAAGTTAAATGTAAATTTCAGGAAAAATACTAGTTCCGATCACACATGTCACTGCCCACGTAACGTCACGTGTCTCATGGGCTATAAATATAAATTTCTATTTAACAATTACTATGAGCCGTATAGTCTCTTAACTTAATTTCTTACATCATCGAGACATCAAATCATGATTATAATATTGATTAAAATGAATTGCTACACATACCTCCCTTAGTAGGCGTCCTGTGTGAGGAATGTTGTGCCCGGTATCCAAGAATCATTTCATAATCACCAGAATCACGCCTCAGCGGAAATTGAATTTCAATTATTTGATCACATGGTTGCATCAATTTTAAGATACCGGCTACCTTCTTCTTCTTTTCTTCAACGGATACTCTAGATTTCATGTCCTCTACTAATTTGTCTTCTACTACTTGACAGGCCCTGTGGAAGAAGTACTCCACCATGTCGAAGAATTTTGGATTAGCACTTGTTGGTATATCTTTAAGCCTGTCTGGAATTTCATGACTGGCGTAGGTACGGCAACAAACGTTCATAGCAGCTGGTGTAATTCGTATCAAATTATTGACTGCCTCATTTTGAATTGTATTTTTCAGAGGTGGAACTACCGATTTTGCAATAGTTTTTAAGTGCAACATATTGACTGATTAATTAAGTACTTCGTCGGGTAGGTATCGGGTCGCCCTACAGTGAAGTTTAAATACACAATTTAAGTAGTGTAATATGATAAATTGCAGTGACGACCCGCCCCGACGGACTCGGACTCACTGAATGATGGAACAAAAGGGAAAGAATAAAAAGCGTGAAGCGCAGATATTAATGTTCCTTCTCGCTCTTAGTAGCGAATGTAGATAAAGATAGAGAACATCAATGACTGTGAAGTTAGCTATGAAGATGTGCTAAGAAAATTAAAAAAAATAGAAAATAAATATTTATGTTCAATTAATGCAAGTATCAAGATTATTATGACATAATTTATAGTCAGTGTTAGTGTTGAACTGTCATTCTGATTCCAAATTTAGTAGTGTTAGCGCTATTGTTATGTGCGTGTGCTAATACCACTATAACCTAATATTTTTCATGCGTAATGTGAAACGAATTTTATTACTTGGTTTGGTTGGTTGGTAAACATTCAAATGACAAGATTGACTTTAGTGTGACAAACCTTTCTTCCTCACTTTATTTTGCGTTTTCAGTTGTTTCTTTTGTTTAATTGATACTAGTAATATCTATGCTTATGTTGGTAGAAAGTACGATATACGCAAAATACCTAATTTGTTATTGTATTTCTAGCTAAAATTAGACCCTGAAATGATTTGCATTTTTGACGTGCATATAGGGGTTTTTGAGTGTGATTTGCGTAGAATTTCGTGTATTCAATTTAATTCGTCCAAAGAAGAGTGTACAGTTGTAAAATAGTATCTATTTTCAAGTGGTAATAATAACCGGTTTATAAAGTAAGTTTTTCTAAAGTTTAAATATATAATAAGGTTCTAATTTATATTACTATTATTGTTTAACACTTATTGTTTTCATTTGCAACTAAACAACATTATAATTTTAGGTTCACAAGTAACTATGACAATTACCGAGGAAATGGATTCCTATGATGAAATAAATGAATTACCTGATGAATTAATAATATCAATATTTAAGCTATTACCTCTGGAGTCGCTGTTAGATTGTGAAAAGGTATGTCAACGCTGGAGAAAACTTGTTCGAGATACAACTCTATGGAAGTTTATTGTTATGGTATACTCAGGAAAACCAGGCCAGAGCAAAATAAGCAATCGAAATTTGGAAATTATAAAGACACACAGTGAATTGATTCACTGTTTAAAAATGCAATATGTATATAACTATTCGTTTATTAAGTCAATTCTAGAAAACTGTGATAATCTGACATCGCTTGAACTAGTCATGTGTCGTATAGGAAAAGAATTTGAGTGTGATATTACTAAATGGCCCAATTTAAAGAAACTGAATTTAAAGAACTCTCTACTTCTTAATAACATGAATTTGGAAATCCCATATGATCAATTTAAATATTTAAAATATCTAGCACTGTCCGACTTTGGGTTGACTGCTACTAATTGTTATGCTTTATTACATTGTAATTATTTGAGTAATATCCTTATTGAAAAAATTAAGGATTTAAATTTAAGTTATGTTAAAGAATTGATATGTTCCAAACAGAATATATTGGAAACGTTACATATTTATGGAGGTGATGCTATTGACGATCACTGTTTACATTTGTTGTCACAATGTCATCAGTTAAAAGATTTAGCAGTAATCAGGTGTGAAAACCTAAAAGATGAGGGTCTGGTTGCTCTTGCAGATTTACAACAAATTCAACATTTGCAAATATGGAACAACAGAAATTTCACTGAATTAAATTTGTTAAGAACCCTTAGCAGTTCCAATTTGGTTAAATTACAAAGTTTGAGTTTATCCAGGATAGAAAATGTTTCTCCAGTTATTGTAGATCTTATATCAGAACATTACAAAAATCTAAAGTTTCTGGCGGTTTACCAATGTCCTAGTATCGTAAATACAGATTATGAGAAACAGTTAAAATCTAAATTCCGAAATATAGATGTTGTATTATATTAAAGCCTAACCAAGAAAGCTATGTGATGTACTTTATCTAACTCTTACGTTAATATATTCATATAAAAGTAAGACTAATTCTTTTTTCTAAAGTAAATGTTGTGTTCATGACAATTATTGGAAACAATAATAACCCATAGTTCCGTATAACAATTATAAGTGAATTGAACTTTATATTATTACGGTACCGACTGCCATAAATTACAATACATTACATAAATTACAATTTTTTTAATGAATAATGTCGACCCCGTCAAAACTATGTGGCACTTTTAATGTTACGTGTGCACTACAGTTCATAACATTAATATTAGTCATACGATGGAGGATATCTTGTTTTATTTATTAATACAAATGATTAAATATGAAACAAGATGTCCTGGCTGATCTCCCACGGGGAAAAGGAACAGGGTCGCGGCGAGGAAGACACAAGTTACTACTGATGGAAAACCCAAGAGACTGTTTTCACGTCAAATCTGAAATTTATATTTAGTATATTGCCTAAGGATATATGTACCAAATATACAATTTCAGACCGAGTAGCCATCTATCATCGCCATATAAGCAGACTCGACTTCCCCCCTTATATTGTAGTGCAACTTTTATAAAAAAATGTACAAATTTAAGTAAATCTTAATGTAAATTTTTAGCTTAAACATTTTAAAATTATTATTATAACATGTGCTATTATTTGGAAACATGGATTGTTGTAAATTATGTTGCTAATTCTACCCGAGCGTTTACATAAACGTTATTGTAGCCTCTGTACCAGTTTGTTTAAAATTATATTGTTTTGATAAATTTATATACACGCATATAAAATAAAACAGTTTTGTAAAAATCACAAAAGTATATTCACTTTATAAATAATGGCATTTGAATTACAGAAAATGAGTTTAAATATAAAATAAAACTATTCGCACGAATAGAGAAGGGAGGATTACTACAAATCTATAGTGCGCGGAAAACCATGTACAGTGGATTTGCTTTTGTGTCAGTCTTAAATTAGAACGGCAGCTTGTATAGCCGTGCATTTTATTGTATAAAATTCAAAGAGTTTTACACTAGTCTATTTTCAGTGTTCATATATAAGAAAATGCAGTTATCCTCCCTTTTTATTTTAATTCAGCTTGTTTATATTCCGTACAAAAGTATGTTAAAAATACGAAAATGCTCATCTATTAATTTAATGCTAGATCTCGGTACATACAATTGTTGTAAATATAATTGTTAAGGAATTTAAAACATTAAAAAAATGTGATGTTTATAGTATCTTACATTTCAAGTTTTGACTTTTGTATTGTTTTTATCTGTATTTCTTTTACAAGATTTGTTGGTTTTAGAAACTTCTATTTAACAGAGATATTTCTGGTGCAAGTGTGAATATTTAAGAAATGTGTGAGATAACGAATTGATAAGAGATATGTAGTATCGTAAAATGGGATTGTTCGTTTACTCACAAACATGAATTCAACGATCAATCCCATATCGCTCTCTAGCTCATTTACCACCAACTATGTTCTGTTATATTTGTTCGGTGTATACTCTCCGTGACAATAAATTCAATATTATTTAATAAACATTGGAAATTGTCTTTATTAATACTTTATTCGCCAACAGGGGTTTAGAATAAAAAATAGTAATATACAGATGATCAAGTAAAATAGCTAACAACTTATGTGTTAACGACATTAAATATAATATGTAAATGTACTACATTGTATACAATGAATAGACTGCATGCAATTTTTTAAGTATGACGATGAAATGGTGCTTCTGGTAATGTTATACACTGGTGTACTACTAGTGGAAGATGATATGATGAGTATGAATTCGGGCCAGGACCTCAACTGTGGCGATTAACAAGAATACTCACTAAGGATTACTAGGTAGACTACCGTGGACGCTGAGACAGGTTTACTCTGAAAACGAATTCCCATCCAATGAAGTTGGATTGCCGTCTTACACATTTAGTACTAGTAGAAAGAACTAAGTAAGTTATTATCAATTTATTCGGTTCATCAGTCGTAAAATTAAACAAGAGAGTAGAAGTGGGTCCACTAGTTCCCATAATTAACAGTCACCACCACGCACCATGTGTTCATGTGTAATTTGAGGTGATAATTATGCTTTTAATTAATTATGATGATAATCGGGCCTTATTTATTTGTGGGAATATGAACTTGAGTTAAAAACAATGATATGAAAGAATATTTATACGATTAGTTATCCGTAGTGAAAATAACAGAATAATTAAGACTACAGGCTTGCCTACTACGTCAAGCATTTGTCATACTCAAAATACCTATATTCAAATATCAAAATGGAGTACTGTGATTTAAAACATCTAATTGAACCTAGAAAATTGTAATTGTGTATGTGAATAGAGTTACCATACAGTATGAATAATAATAATAACGATACAAAAGAAATAATAAAAAAAAAACTTATTGATGTTATGTTCAATTTAATAAATAGGTATATTATAATAAGTATAAAATAATTTACCATTAATTATTACATTCTTTTTAATTGGATTTGAGCTTCGTAATGAAAATCATTAAAGAAATATTCCCACTGGTTTGTTGATATTTTTAAGGACCAATTTTAAAATGATTATTTATAGATATTTAAGTCTGTCACGTCGAGGGCCTAGGGTTCACAGCAATAAATAATAACCACTCATCAAATTACTGGAAATACCATATATTGACAATGTTTTATTCATTAAATGTAACCACGTTACTCATTCATATGAATAGGAAAACAAAAAACATTGGTTTTCTTTGTGAAAGTAAAGTTTTATATACTCAAGGCTGTAGAACTTTTCCCGTATACATTATCATATCATATAATTTCATTCATTTAAAGAAAAAATGCAAGATCAATTTTCAGTAGTATATAATCAAGAATTTAGTGAGTGGTATTCAAAATTGATTTTCATACTTTCATTTTCTTGGTGAAAATGCTTCAGTTTCATGAGTATTATATATATTTTTCGGCTTGGTATATAAACCTTTAGGTCTACACCTACGTTACGTACGTTTAAATTTCTAACATTATGATAAGAAGTAGTCTACAAACATTGGTAAGTACTTACTGCATGCAACAAAATACATACAATTCTTGTTATTTAAACTTCAAACTATGAACACTGTTACATACAGAATACAGAACGCTCACAGCGTTGCATTTTAGTTTACTTGTTAATGGTTTTCATCAACATACAGTAACTAACATAGTTTATAATTGATACGATAACATCTTTTGCCTTTCGGAGGAATATAGGTATGTAATTTATATAAAGTAGAAATACTATAAATATTCACACTAGAATTACAATTAATACTAAGCTATTTGAATTTCCTCTGAACTTACAGTAAAAAAATCCACCCTACACGTTGTATACAACGCAACTTAGGTAGATAAGTACAGAGTTTTATAATCGCGAGTATGGTTACTGTCTTATAGACATGACAAAGTATAATATTTTATGGTGTAATAATGAATTTTTTTTTAATTAAAGTTGATTCTACGAACTGAATATATTATGAAATAGTCATGCACTGAATAAGCAAAAAGGATTTAAAGATCGAAACGCCTTCGTATAGTCTTTATATCACATTTTTCACACGATAATCAAAGCAATCCGGTACAGGTTTGTGTATGACGATGGAAGTCCTACAGAGTTCAAGAACATTTTTAACTCATTCCCACCTAGCTGTTTACATTTTGATGGTTGAGATATGTCATATTTTTACTAAAATTGAAAAATGTGACCACTCCCAAGAGTGGGATGAGTCCTAGATTTCATTATTTTACACAAACCTTGTGATTCCTTCAACCCCTTTTTATACAATGTCAGTCCAGCCCCCCCCCTCCACCCCTCCACTCCTTCTTCCTTTAACGTGTGCCTTAATTTACGGATGGTCCCCTAGCCATGTGCACAAGTGTGTGCGTGAAAAATCAAAGTGATAAGAGAGGACTAAGGAGAAAGTTGTAATAGCATATCCACTAATGGAATGCTCGTCATCATCAACATATTCGGACATTGGATGCCAAGCTCAATTGATAATAACGGATTGAAATGAAAATCAATTTATAGCAATAGTTAAAAAGGTCCATACACGAGCTTTCATCTAAATACTAGAAGTAAATGCCTGACCCCTGTTTATTTGGCCTGAAGTTGACATATATAAGAAACATGTAAACAATTTATATTGATAATATTACTACACTACGAGAAATACAATCTAATACATACTGTATTTAATTATACTTCTAACAAAGCAACGTATTACAGCGTATTGTAGAGAACACAATACATCTACATCACAAAATAATTATGTTTCGAACATATCACAGCAACCCGCACTTTTCGTTTTCGTTCTCACAAAATGCCAATAATTCTAAAAAAAACGACGACTCACTACCGGAAAGTATTATAAACTACAAGATCAAGTGTATAAAGAAAATTATTATATTCTATTTACAAAGAAGCAGGTGTGTGGTTGGTAATGCTTAAATTACACTATTTACATACGTAAAGCTAAGTTCTATAAATTTAGATTGGATTAAATTTGTTCAATTTTAAACATTTATGTTTTCATGTCCACTGTCATTTTTGGTTTAAACAAGGAACAAATATTCGACCATTTTAATATATAAAAAATAGACAGTGTAAATACATTATGTATATACTGATAAGAGTTACTACGCCAAGTATAGTTGCTGCTATGACATAAAATTGTATAAAAAAGTAGATATTTACATATTAATAATTGGTATACATAAAATAATTTTAGTAAAAATTGATAGTATTATACACACACAGGTAGTACCTAGTACCTAGTACTTAACATATAATTGAAATAATGCAATATACATTATATTATATAATAATAAAGAGACTTATTATAGTAAAAATTTCATTGACATACCTGTTGACGAAAGTTCTTGTTACACGTAATATTAACGGGTTCTTACCGCGATTATTCATTTATTTGAGCGCGTCGTTATCTCCCGATTGTTCTAGAGTTACTATCACAACGCAATATAAGGTTATGTATTTATTTATACATATGTATGTATAAGATCTGTCTGTACCCATTAATCAAAGAAGCCATTGAAATCGTCAAAAGTAACAAGTAAGTAAATAACCTGCTATAGTCAAAATGGGCATAACTTGTCAAGTATCTGAAATTTAATGATAAAAAGACTTGAAACGAACTAATAAAAGTGTTCATGATCAAGTAATATCATATATGCAGGCATAAAAAATAAACGAATTGATAAAAATAAGCAAATATGTTCTATCTAACAGTTTTTCATTTGTTACACTCCTCTAGTCTTAAACTAGTAGTAACTAGCTTGTATTATGGGACAAGATAATCTATAGAAATACTTAACTATATTATATTTTGTATAAATATAAAAACCCAATAATGTAAACTTATGTAGTTTTAGTGCTAAGTAAACACATTTTTGCTATTTATGTTTAGAACTAAAGAAACAGTAAAAATAGAATTTGAAAATATATAGATCAATTCAAATTCATACTAAACCTTGACCGTAGGAAGGTGTTAATCGTGGCAAGAACCAGTTTATTCTGTAAGTTATAAATAGCGTAAAAATATTCATTCACATCATAAGTTTGTTATTTTATTACTTAACTGATCTGTTAAGTTTCATATGATCTGATGATATTTATATTTACCATTCTACATTAATTTTATTGAGATCATATAAAAATTGGTTAGTATGTATTATAGCAATAATAATTATATGGAACCTACACAGTTTTTTTTAATTACACTGACAGGTTCTCATTCTATTCTGTCCACCGATTCGTCCATTTTATTTAAAAGATAAAAATAGTTTCGTATAATATATCAATACTATTGTATATCCATTAAAACAATCTACATGTGTTAATCTACGGGTATGTTCATGGTATATCTAGTCGACATTCACTACATCTACATACACAATGATTCGATATTTTATTGAATATATGATGATTTTTATATATCTAAGTAACATTGAAGAAACATAATTTACACTCCGGGTTATATATTCTATAGTTAATAAATTCTATTGATACTTAATTTACTTTCATTCACAGTACTAAATTAAAAATGGATAAGCAACTATACTAGTCGATAGCGCACTCTATCAATTGGAATAAATAAGTTTCTAAGTCCTGGTAGAAAATCGTAGTAAAGATCGAACATCACAGTATACCTACCGGTGGAAGTAATGACTGGTCTATCATCGCTTACGGCCGCGCATAAATTGTAACGCTTTCTGCATGAGAGGTGCTTTCTTGGGCTTTAGGGAGGCCAGGGAAGCGATGGGGGCGACCGCGGATGATGGGGCGGGGAAGGGGCGGCCGGTGCCGGCCCGCAGCGTGTGTGAAGTCGCTAGCGAGGGTACCCGGGCAGCAGGACTAGCTGTCGCCGCTCGCGCTGTACCGTGCAGGGCCTGCGTCACATACAAAACCTTATTAAAAAGGGTTTACAATAAATCATATTCAGCGACACAAACGTTCCACAATAAATTATGTTCTGTCACATACAAAAAGCTATAAGTTCCTCGATAATCACATTTACTTTGCAAAGCCTATTACTCATTAAACGGTTATTTAAATAGTCAGTGTGAAAATAAATTTGTAAATATTTCGTCATGACAGGTAACTGTAGATGGGTTAGTCAGACATTGTCGACATAGTGGTAGGTAGGTATAACAGTGGACGATCTTGCTTCCGTCTCCCCGATAATAAATATCGCTAATATACTCATGAGAAGTATCGATATTTTCGAAGTACTTTCTCCAGTAAATTTTATAATAATTTAATCTTATTACCATCAAATTAAATTATTATAATAAAAGATTAATTAGAAATAAATAAATTACTATTTGCAACAAATTAAAATTCGCCAATTGAGTTTTAAGATTACCTAGATAGTTATCAAGGTTTCGCTATATTATATCCGTGATATTATCACTAGACAAAACGTCAATATTACTTCTACAAATGAAAGTTTAATTGTTAAATTAGTTGTTAAAATATTTTTAGATTCTCTGCAAGGTCTTAAAGAACTTGGACTTTTCTAAACATTTCACAACTTTTTAATAAAAGGTCGTGTTGCTGAAGTCAAATATATAAAATAATTGCAATTATTAATGAATTTACTAATTATTCGACGTGTTTGAATTTTCTGAAGTCTGAAAAAATTAAGGTCGTCATGGCCTGTTGTTAATGCCATGGTTAACTACCCTGAGTTATTATTATTTCTAAGGAGCAGCAAACATTTATACATACACTCTGATATATAAGTAAACTATAGGACATAGTTTGGCTGGCATTTTACAGGCTTTTTTCCGGTGAAGGAGAAATTCAATATCTAACCACAATCGTAATCTAGGATAGATAAGTCATTCTACAGCTCCATTGTAGAATAACTTGTCTGTGAATGGTTGACTGCACTATCAGATAATATATTTTAAAATTTTTTATCTAATTACCTTAATCAATCTCCTAGATTTGTTTGCACTTCCTTGAATAAAAAATCCATGTTTGTCTTTTTTGTTTCCGGCGACGTTTCTGAACGTTAAAAAAGTAAATAGTAAAATATTACTATTGTAGAACCAATAGCAAAATATTACTAGTTTTTCTTGTAGTTTTATTTGTTTTTTGTTATATCGGAATATTAATGAACACGTAATTGAAATGTACAGAACAACGAAAAAATCAGTATTATATAAATAAAATTTGTTATTGATGGATGTTTAGACTGGTTTATATTTCTATGTCCATCTGTCCGTCTTTCTGTGTACATATCTATAAACATATGTATTGCACTTTTATATCTGAAATTTGAATGCATGTACAATATAAATTGTTGTCGTTACCTGTTTACGGGCGACGTTTCGAGGTGGTTTCACAATAGTATCAACATAAGCCATTTTTGTTTGTTTAATTGGCGCTTTTTTTGCTTCCTGTGCAATTTTAATATTGGCAGTCAAATTCTTCAGTTTGTATTCCTGTTCTTCTTGGCATCTCTGAAATTATAAGTTTAGTAGAATGTTTTATTTACGTACTACATTCGTATGTCTTCCAGATCAAAAACTTGTCATTTACAATCAAGCAAAAATTTTTACCCAAGTGTGATTGGATTTTGAACAGGTGTGTTCGATATAAGTTATATGCAATGTAAGGAGTGCATTTCTAATATTATGAAGTTGGAAAGTATCTAACTCTAAACTTTATAATGGCAAAATTGGTGTTTGAATAATTTTTCTCGAGCAAAAACTGTAAATAATACTTATTGAAGTATGAATTTAATAATGACATTTTATTGTATAATTTGGCAATCAAAGCTAGGTGGTAGCCGTCTAACTTGTTTGTGTTGGATTAAAAATTGATCACAAACTAAAAAAAGTGGAGACATATACCTAATGCATGTAACATGTAAGATGGATAGTCTGCGTTCATTTGTAATATATTTTTTTTGTATTAGGGAGTTTTCTGTCATAATAATATCCCTGCATAATTCACACAACGCCATCTAGTCCCAAGGTAAGCAGAGCTTGTGTTATGGGTACTATACAACTGATATAAATATTTAGATATTGTTTTTTGGTAAATACATACATAATACACATAGAAAATACACAGACTGATACAAACAATCTACTCATGTATACAGTGCGAGGAATCGAAACCGCGACTATCAGTATTAAAGCGGTGTGCTTAACCGCTACACCACCGAGACCGTTTAAAAGCATTAGGTTAAAAGTCAGCTGCCTTACAATATACATTTCTCTCCATGTCTCCATCTCATGTCGCTGCTGTTTCCTAAAATGTTTCTCGCAAAACTTTTGCCACAGATGATCAGTATCCTCCATAAGGTAAGGGTTGTAATGTTCCAGCACGAACAGCTGCTGAGGACTTGCTCTATCTACGACGGGCTTCAAGAGTTCATATGGCACGCCGCCCGTGTACTCAAGTGCTGATGACATTTAAAAAAATGTATATAAAAATAGAACCTAAAGAGTTGATGTAAGTTATATATATTATATTACAGAAAGAGAGGTCTGTGTAGGTACTCAATCTCACCTATTTTAGCGACCGAGCATTTTGCTAAGAATTTTTTTTATGTGTTTCGGTTGAAGGGAGTGATAAGGCTGTGATATTTAAGGATTAGAGATATATCTGAATCCTGCAGAATGGCAACACATGAGTGGTATCACAGTGTATATACGACGGTTACCACTTACAATCTGTCTGCTTCCTTGCCATTAAGTAACTTAAGAAGAAAGAGAAATAAATCATATATTTACATTTGATTATCCTATTACTAGATATTTATCATACATTTTTTTTCCTTGAAGTGAAATAACACATATCAAGAAATAAAATTTTATGTATAAAACAATACTTACCATCAATGTGCTCCTGTAGAAGTTGAACACACATTTCGTAGAGAGTTGGGATTTTTCCTATTACTTTATTACCGGAATATACTTTAGTTCTGAAATTTTAAATAATATAAGTTCTAAAAATTGTTTATATCAGTTTGTTCAAATTGTGAATTTATACGTTATAACATTTATCGTCGTAAGTAATCGTGCACAAAAATAGCAACTACCTATTCTTTTGCTTAAGTGGCATAAAATTTATCTATTATTTTAGGAGTGTAGCCTAAGTGTGATATATGTATTAAGAGCCTATTGGACCTATTGAAAAAAAAAACAGGAACATATCCTTGTGATTATGTTGCTTAAGATAACTGATACCTAGATATGTATATATTTTTTGTAAATACATGCGTAAAAACCCCAGACCGATACAAACTATCATACTCATGATTACAAATATCGGTACCGTGCGAGGAATCAAACAAGCGACCGTCGGAAGTAAAGCGGCGTGTTAAACCGCTGTTTTAGTAACGATGGATATCGTAATTGAAAGTCATCGAAGAATGTCTAAAATTAGATAATGTCCGAGTTTATTTTTTTAAGTCGGCAGTCTGGCAATGAATCACATAAATCAATCAGGATTTTTTGTTTATTTTTATCTAATTTGTTACCCGTACCGTAATAAATCTGCCTTTTTGTTACCTTTACTCAACAAAACGGCTTGATGAACTTTTACTTGAAGATCTCACCATTAGATAAACAAAAGCTCATGCTTTTGTTTATCTAATGGTGATTGAATCTTGTAATGAGGGATTGAATCTTATGCAGATGCAGTAGTGGGTGAACAGAATTTACAGATGAGTTTTGTTGTTGTTTTGGGTAGTTCTCTAGACCTAGACGTAAGTTCAGTTATAGGTAGTAAAGGTAATTGCGCAATTATTACAATCAATGTAGTCATTTGGTAAAAATAAATAGTTTATGAGAATTAAGAAATAATTGACGTACTGTAAAAAAATTTTCAGCCATCCAGAACAAAGAACAACATCTGCACTCTTTGTACAGATGTGTTTTTAATAAGCGATAGTAATTAAACTGATCTAAGATACGTCTACTTGAAAGAATACGTCATAAAAATTAACAAAAGAGACTGTTTTCAATTACCGTCAGAAAATAAATAAGTTTCAAGGAAATTGTTTTACAAAATACACGATTAAACAATGTTCATCAATAAAAAAAAATATATTAAACATTGTTCATTAAGACTAGTCAATATCAACAACGCAATAAACCCTTCTACTAAAAATATGCAGCATTAGACAGATAGATGTATTAAATAAATATATTTTCCTAAAAATAAAGTAACAAAAGCATTTACCTTTGGTTTTTAGACGATATAACGGCGCTCATGGCCTCGTCGTCGGTGAAATGTGGAAGTAGTTTAGGAGGCGGTCTTGGCTTGTAGTTTGGGGATATTTCTGGCAAACCAGAGATTTCTGGAGTAGGCAGCGGTGCTAGCTTGGCGCTCGGTGCAAGAAGGGCGGCCGGACTCAACTGTTATAGTAAATTATGTTTCCTAGATCATTTAGGTGATTTTCAAATCAGGAATTGCGTTTTTAGGCCAATTCTCTAATTCAACCACGACTAATTAAAAAAATAATTTTTGAATAGCTTAATAAAACATTTTTAAAATTTATCATGGACAGAACGAACCTGAGTGCTTATGGCCTTGTGGTTTATTGTTTGTTTGTATTTGCAGATTAAGGACCCGAATCAAAAGTCGTTTGAAAGATCTGGCCAACGACACTAAAAACTATGTGGGCTAATTTGTGTTCCTGACTACACTTTTGGTAATAGAAACATCGATATCCAACCAAATAGTTACAAACACTGCCGCAGATAGGTTACTAGTCAACTTTGCTTTACTTTCTTGTAAGTTTTAATAGATTATAAATAATAAAATTATACTCACATCATTAGAATTGGGTGACTGAATTTCTTTTACAACTGTAGATTTCTTTTTTGGTTTTGCTGGACTTAGCATTCCCAGTGCTTCAGCAAAACTAGCACCTGGAAAGCATATTATGTAAACATTGTTACATTCATATAATATTCAGTAACAAATTAAATTGTTAATGGATCTTATAGGAATTAATTTTAAACTAAAGACTCACCTGATCCACAATCAATGCCATCTTCACTATCTTCACTATTATTTGCTTGACTTTTTTTCTTTGGTATATCTTCTTTTGACTTACTATTGCTTGTTTTACTGCTCTTATGAGAGGATGAGGAGCCACTTGCCTTGAGCTTTTCATGTTTATTTTTACTCTCACTACTTTTAGATTTACTTTCACTAGATAGTTTTTTCTCATTTTTATTATCTGACTTTTCTTTTGAGGAACTGCTTCTATCTTTAGACTTTTCCTTACTAGAGGAACTATGCTTTTCTTTAGAGCTACTACTACTGCTAGAGTCTTTTATTTTGTGTTTACTACTAGTTTCTTTTTCTGTTGAACTTTTGTGCTTATCTTTTTCAGATTTGTGTGACTGACTTGAACTGCCGTGTTTCTCCGACTTGCTAGATTGTTTGTCATTGTGACTTTTATGCTTCTCAGATCTACTATCATTGCTTTGTGTAGAAGATCTTTGTTTTCCAGAACTACTACTATGTTTGTTTGACGATTTAATTTCATCTCTTTGTTTTTTGTCTTTTTCAAGTATATTGCTATCAGGTTTATGTTTTTTTGCAGAGCTACTCTCTTTTTCATGTGTACTCTTTTGTTTATGACTATGAGATTTTTCTTGTGAAGATGACTTTCGGGAATCACATTTATTTTTATGTCTTGATTGCTGTTCAGAATCATAAGATTTTGTAGACGACTTTTTATCATTAGTATGTTTGCTATGTGACTGTCTAGATGATAACTTATCGTAGTTCTTGGATTCTGTTTTTATTTCTTTTTTAACTTTTACATCTTCTTCAGAAGATTGAGATACATCAGAATCAGTCTCGTCAGTATTGGAGTGATCTGAGTTGTGATCACTTTCACTTCTTGGTTCTGATTTTATTTTTACATTAGTTTTTCTGTTATAAATATGTTCATTACCATTGTAAGTAGTGTTTTTTGTTTTCTTTATTTCATGATCTTCATCCTAAAATTGCAGTTGTAATTGTTAACATTTACTCCGCACATTATAGGATAATGCTTATTGTACATATAATCAAAATGAGGAAGATTGGTTCAGTAAGGTTTAACAAAATGATGGTGAGAAAACAGCATTTCTGGCATTCACTTGCACTATTAATTTCAAACATCTAATAAAATATTTTTAATTTTTTTACAGCACTACAATGATACATGTCACCATCATTATGCTAAAGCATGTGAAAAATATATTAGAATGGGAATAGCGGATTAGTAAATAGAGCTGACATAGTAACTAAATATTCTAAATCATTCCAATATAAAAATACTAACCTCACTGCTTTGATATTTCCTTTTAATTCCACTGTAGTTACCATTAACTTCTTTATTATGTTTATGATCATCAGTTCTATTACTGTAATTATTTTTTTCCTGTCGATGTTCTTCCGTTTTTAAGTGTTTTGTGACGGTATCTCTACCATTATTACCATGTCCGTTATAGGATGAAGCTGGCAAATAAAATTAAATATAGTAAAAGATAATTATTTTTGTTACTACTTTAAAAACTATAACAAAACTAAATCAAACTATTGGAGTATTAGATTTTCTACAGGTTTTATTTTATATAAATAGTAATCAACTCACTGTCATTATTTTGATCCATTTCTTGATCACTTTCCTCAGCAGCAACCATACATTTCCATTTATAAATGAGAGCTCGGGAAGCTTTTCCGACATCATCTGGATGTTTCCGCAGGGCATTGACCGTACGGCCTACCCCAGTTTCTTGCAGATGTTGAACAGTGACATCAAGATTGAATAATTTATCAATACATTTTAAAATCTGCAAGTAATATTAGTAGAGATGGTAAAAGATTTAAGTATATGGTTTTGTCTGATTACTTGTCTTATTACTGATAATACTACTGATAATATATATCTATACCTTGTATACAAACAGGCATTTGTATACAAGCTTGTTATATGTTCTAGAAATAACCAAATACTATGAAATACTTAACTTACAAAATACATAATCAAAGTATTTTACAATAATGTAACTCTTTAACATTATGATATGTCCATATGAGTTAACCCTCAGTCCAAATGAGAGGCTAATTGCGGACAATAGAGTCCACATTACATAACATTATTATTACAAACAATCCTGCCGGAAAACAATTCCTGAAGATGCTATGCTAACTGACCTGACTTCATCATCATTACATCATCCTTCACTGGTGTTACAAAAGCATACTGTTAGTGTTGGCAGGTGTCCCATAACACATATTTTTTATTATAAAATTATAATTAAAAATTACATTTGACTTATTTTTTAAGTGTGTTGGCATAATATATACCAGAAACAAGAATATAATTGGTTTATTATTAGTGAAGAGTCAGAAATATAAGTATAATGTAAGACAGATTTAATGTTGAACTGACATCCTTTTGGATGTAGGTTCAGATAGCAAAACAGTAAGCAATGACACAAAATTTTATAGTATTAACTATATTACTTATTTATAATAACCCATCTTTGATTTGCCATGTGTGGACATTGTATGTGATAGAGGTAACATGCAAATGCATGTAACCATTGTATTATAATTATAAATATCATCAACATCATTATGATTTCAGTCCAGAAGATCTCAACTGCTAAGCCATTATACATATCTTCCAAATCAAATTTCTAAATGATAAAGAAAAGTGTGTTAAAATACATTGCATGATTTAAAGATGTAAATTGAGAAATAGATGATGAATGAAGTTATAAGCAAATAGCTAGTTTTTAATAATAATTTTCGAACCAGGTATCAGAACTGTACAAAGCTTGCAAAATTTATGTTACTAAATATTGACTATTACTGAAACATAATAGGATAAATTTAAATTAAATTCTTTAATTTTTTGGCATGTAGCTGATATAATAAGTAGTAATTTAGGCTACTTTTACTTTAGAAAAAGTTTTTAATTTTATAAAATAAAAGTTAAATTTCATGCATATGAAGTCGCAAGTACAGCTAGTATAATAATAAGACTAGTGGTCACCCTGTGGTAGAAATCACATGAAGATCATAATAAAAAATTTAAAAAGATCTTTTATACAGTAATAACAAATAAGCCAATGAGTATATATGTGTGTGTGTATAATTTATGGTATTGATTTAGTGTATTTTATACATAAGTAAATTAAAAAAAATATTAGCATTCTGTACTCCTTATCCATACAAACTTTAAGTGTGCGTAATTTAATACTACTTCGTCATTTTAATCCCGTCACAACTTAACAAAATATTACAATAGATTTAAGAACATCATCCTTTTGAAAGTTGGTTAAAAATACATTACTCTGGCTAAGTCTTTCGAATACTAAGGTATAGAATATAATTCATCAGATTTCGTCATATAATATTTGATTATGACTTACTGGTTAAAATTGCTTTAATTACAACACAAAATCAACTCTAGTATATTTCAATATTTAATAAATGTGAAGTCTATATGTTGTGAAATAATGTAATGAACACAGTAGATTACGTTTGAGAGGTTCGACTTCGTATTTTAAAATTTAAAAAGATGGGTGTTCCAATAGTATTTTTGAATAACCATATGCAAGAGTGATCGGTACTGATATTGGTATTATGCTTAACATTAATATAGATAGATATATAAAGTGAAATCGTTAAAACTTTTCATCAGATAACGCTGCAGCTGAATATTGTAAACGAAACTTTTGAAGCATATAAATTCCATTTTCTTCAGTTTTGTTCAGGAAAATAACACCAAATGGCTGACTGCTACTTACCTTTTGTTCGTCTTCAGGGTATTTCTCTATTGCATGCTGATAATGTTTTACTAAATCCAAAACTGTCGCCATGCTAATTACATATAGGGACTTAGACAACAAATAAAAAGGTGTTGACTTTTTCAATACAAAATGAATGCCAGCTGGTAAACGAGCACCATTTTTATCAAACACATGTCAGTGACGTATTCGACGTTTTGTGATTTCATGCAAACTACTATTTTGAACGATAGTGCGTTTGTTTCGCGTTTAGAAACTTGCAATTTTTCTTATTTAAAAGGTTAAAACCAGGAAAATATCTGTTGGTTATATCATTTTATATAGGTATCATATTTTTTTATTGATATATCTGAATGGATCATTAATAATAAGTAACGAACGTATACTTGAACTAAAAAATAAAGATAGTTATATACACACTTATTATAAATTTAAAATTTATGACTAAAATAATTTATTAATAAGTCAAAATAATAATAATAAACCATTAGAATTGACACAGCGCCATCTATTGTAGTGCATATATAAACAAAACTTGTCATGTTATGGCTTTTAAAAAGACATGTGGCAAATTAATTTACATCGCGCGGTAACACTTCTGCGTAGTTCCCTGAACTGATCCCTTTGTGCCTTTGTTTGCCATTTTCTTTCACCTTCCGGCTGCTGCAAAAAAACACGACATGCGACATAAATATTACTGATACCATAGTCGCTGAAAAGTAATAGATATATTTACAACATAAAAAAACACTAATAAAAAGATTCATAAGTAAGAATACTAAATGGTTCTGTAGAGCGGGGATTCGAACCCGGAAGTAAGGCGATATACTAAGTTCGACTAAACAGTTAGATCGAAATCTCATAGTGTACGATATTAACGATGAAAGCCAATTTAAGCTAATATACGAGATTTTGTCTTAATCGTACGGGGCTATGTGCTTTAAGGTTGGCAACCCTACACTCAGTAGTGTCATTTATATAAGTCAGAGCAATTAATCACTACGATCACTAAAAATATTTTTTATCAACGACATAAAAAGTTTCATACATTTGTTTATAAGTAACGTATAACTCATTAATCTGTCTTTAAATAAGTAGCTAATAGTCTAAGATACGTACAGGCCGCGGCATAGGGGTGCACAATTATTATATTAAATATTTATTATTATATAATATATATTACAATAAAGTATTGGTGGTGTTTGTAATTTGATACTGAAACTGATTTATTTATCAATGCACGGAAAAATTCTGAGACATTAAACTTTGCTCGAAGTTTTTAGGTATCTATACATCCATACTAATGATAAAAATTAAGTGTCTCTACCTAGCTGTTTGTTAGTTTTTACGGGCGGATATTACTGAAATTTGACGTAAAGATTGTTTGTATGTATGTCGTAATAGCTTGTTTTCTGGGATAATTAAGAACATTAATGAAAGTACCCACTGAAATGGAATATAACGAGAAATTCCTCAAACTATCCATCTAGAGGTAAGATAAATTCAAGTATTACACCGTAATGTCCGACCATAATAGAACTATTGCTTATTACAAACAAGCCCGGGGTGTATTGTGCGACAGCAGTTATGTTCCTTTGTCTGCATTACGAAAAGTCCCGACAATCGACCGTATCTACACGTGTATCGCATGTCCGTATCACTCTATAAGGAGACCATTCTATTATCACATCAGGCTGTTGGGCGCGCAGTCGCACGGTAAGGGCCGTATTTGCATACAAGTAAATATCGCGATCTGTAGAGTTGGCCGGATTATCGCTGCCACTTCCGCGCTGTATTGAATTTGGTACCAGGTACCTAGGACCCATTGCCATCGCGTTTACTTGTTACTGTGATTTCCCGATGATAACAATCTCCACAGCCACGTCTGGCCATGTATTGTGTGATACAATACGTGAAGCTAGAAAGGTACCTACTTGTATTGGTAGGTAGGTACCTAAGCTTTTGTGACTTGTATAAAATTATTTTTCGTTGAGGCATATATTTATCTATTTTTATTTTAAATTAATGTCTACTTAATAAAATACCGTGCCTGAATGAAATACCTACAGTATTTTATCCTTGGAACGTTGGAATTTAAATAATATAATTGAATGAATCGACGCCTGTTTCAAAATGGGTGCAATAAGTTACATATCCATACAATGAGTATGCTTAAAGTGGCAGATAAGTCCCACAAACACCAATGATACCTACATGGTATAATATTAGCAAATGCCCAAGGATCAACATATTATCTTTATAGAGTTTCATTGTAAGGTTAATAAATAGCAATAATAATTATTCAATCAAGCATTAAATGGTATTTTTATTATATCGCTTGCTTCTAATCTTACCTACATGTGAAATGAGAAACAAGGAAAAATGCAGTATTTTAATTATTAGTATTTTTTTAAGAATAAATATCTAATGATCCATTTTATCTCACCATGTATGCTGTGGAAGATATGATCAGGATAAAGTCAGGTTCGTTAGCCCGTAGAAGCGAATAGAAATAGAAATAGAAATAGAAATAATCTTTATTCAAATAAACTCATTACAAGCACTTTTGAATAGTCATATTTTGATTCTACCACTCATTCGGAATGCAGATTCATCACAAGAAGAATGAGCAAGAAACTTGTGTGTTGCTCTTTTTAATAGATGTTTTTTTTATATAAATAATTACAGTATAACAAGTAAGAGGCATGCGATAATCAACATAGAAGTCGCTACGCACTCATTATCAATAATTAATCAGAGTAAAGTAATCAGATAATATTGTCAGTGCTATAGATTTAAACTTTTTCTATAAAAACATTATTATCGTTAACGAATTCTTCAATTTTATAGTAAGCTTTTTTGCAAAGGAACTGTTTTATTTGACATTTAAATCTTTTTTCTGGCAGATTTATAACAGACTCTGGTATTTTATTGTAAAACCTTACGCAATTGCCATAAAACGAATTACTAACTTTAGCCAAACGACATTTAGGTAAAATCAGTTTGTTATTGTTACGTAAGCTTTTATTAGTGCAATCACTAACTCTTTTGAAACTGTCTATATTCCTTCTGGCATAGATGATATTTTCATAAATGTATTGAGAAGCAACGGTGAGGATATTTGATTCCTTATAACACTTTCGCAATGACTCCCTGGAACCCATACCATAAATGGAGCGAATGGCCCTCTTTTGTAAAGTAAATATTGTATTTATATCAGCTGCTTTGCCCCATAACAAAATACCATACGACATAATGCTATGGAAATAGCTAAAATAGACAAGTTTAGCCGTTGCCACGTCTGTTAATTGTCTAATTCTTCTTACCGCATAAGCGGCAGAACTAAGTCGACTCGCCAATTTAGTAATATCAGCACCCCATTGCAACTTAGAATCTAATGTGATACCTAGAAATACAGTATCGTCAACAAAATTAATAGATTTATTGTCCAATACGATTTTTGAATCTACCGGCCTTACATTGGGGAGAGTAAATTTGATACATTTAGTTTTATTTGCATTTAGTAGCATATTATTTGCCGTAAACCATTTTAAAACATAAGAGAGAGAACCGTTTACTTCGTCCATATCATCAATATGTCGATTGACTTTGAATACTAATGAAGTATCATCAGCAAACAGAACTATGTCAGCTATCTTTTCTACCATATAAGGAAGATCGTTTATATAAACTAAAAATAAGAAAGGACCTAGAATAGAGCCCTGAGGAACACCCATTTTAATACTAGTTCCCTCAGACTTTACACCATTTATTTCAACAACTTGCATTCTATTATTTGCATTTTATTATACACAAGGAATTAACCACGGGGCTTCCCGGTGTCCGCGGGGAGGTCGATCTGATATAGTACCTACATTTCTCGTATTGGAGCCAAAAGTACCCATTACTAATAACCCCATATCCTAGAATCTCATACAAAGAATAGAGTTCGTAGTATTAGATTTAGACGTCACAGTAGGATATATAGGCGGTGTAACATTAAAAATGAATTTCAATTCTATTTTCTGTTGTATTCAGTGTAAATATAATCTCCTCATTATATACACCTCATATACCTCATTATAATGAATTTTATTGGGAAAAAATCGATGTCAAATAGCACATAAAAAAACAATCAATTCATATGAAAATAAATTACTATAAATAGAATCAAGTAAAATTATAAGTATACTTAATTAGGCAGATAATTTGTTTTATTATAGGAAATTTATTATACAAGTGTCTGAGAGATTTATACTACACGATGTGATTTATAGTCTCCTTGTAATAGTTAATTGTAGCTCCCACACGAAGGTACTAGCTACAATAAGGGACTGTAGTATCGCACAAATAACGGGGACATTAACGCTGGCCATGTACTAAAGCGGAGTAACTACAGAAAGTTCAGAGTGTTAGGTGCAGTTGGCACCAAGGAAGCAGAGGTAGACAGCAGGTCAACCGACGTTGCGTGGGAAGTCGAGTCTAGAGAGCACGATATGTGGCACGACAGATAGCTATCTTCCTACGTCGTTACATAGCCACTCTTGTATGCCTATGATATTGGCCGGATAATGGGTTCAACCGCATCAGGATATCAACTAACTTCCAGGAATTTAATACTTACGTGTACTTTCGTGTTTCATACAGATACAATGGGTCTTCGCACAAGATTGCGATGTATATATATATATATGCTAATAAATGACATAAGCATGATTACGGGTGAGTTCAGTAAATTTCTTGAGTACTAATTAGTATGTAATATTATATTACCTCTGGTATTAGTAAAAAATAGTTTTTAAACCACTTTCGATGATCGCCATTTCACCAGTGGCACTATGAGGAAAACCTAACCCTGGAATAACGATCCTGTTTCATACAACAATAAAATATGTTCTATATCTAACTCCAACACAATTCCTGAACACAATTTAGTGATGATGGGTCAAATCTTTATTTGATTGTAGGTTATTTAGTTTTTAATAGTCGTGATTTCATTTTCCTAGGATTAAAATCTAGTCTTCGCACTATGTCTAAGGAATTTATGTGTATTTTTCAGATCTGAGGGTTGACTAGACGAAGTATAGATTTTTTCTATCTCTGACAAAACAATTATATGCACCTAAGTACTTATAATATTCAACACAATTTGCTCACACTTAATTTAGAATAG